ATTGAATTCCGACCTACAAAAGGTTTCGGTATGGACTAAGAACTACGGACTTCTTTTAAATGCACAAAAGTCCCAAGCCATAATTATTGGCAGTCGCCATTCCATCTCCAAGTTTGAGTCTATGGTGATGCCCAATTTAGTTTTGAATTACACCATTATTCCTTTTTCCACTTCAGTTAAAAATTTGGGCATCATAATGGATCAGACACTTTCTTGGTCGGAGCATGTCGCCGATGTAAGTCGTAAAATCTTTGCATCACTTCATTCCCTCAAGCGGATGCAGTACTTTCTTCCTCTGTCTACCAAATTTATGCTAATACGCACTCTTCTTTTTCCTATTCTGGACTATGGTGACGTCTCCTATCTTAATCTTTCGGAGGACCTTCTTAATAAATTGGAGCGGCTGCAAAATCAATGTATCATATTGGTGTTTGGATTGAAAAAGTACGACCACATTTCCAAGTTTAGAGATGAGTTGAAGTTGTTGCCTATACGTTTACGTAGAAATGCTCACATTTTATGCTTCCTCTATAAAATCCTGTTCCATCCCACTTCACCTAGCTATCTACGTGAGCGTTTTCAATACCGCCAGGCTATGGGTGACCGCCTGCGTTTTGGCACCAATTTGTCCCTCGTCCTTCCACAACACAGTTCCCAAAAATATAAAAATATATAACTCGTTCACAGTAAATGCTGCCCGTATGTGGAACCCTCTCCCGGTCGAGGTCAGACAGTCGCCTTCGGTTCGGGTTTTCAAGGGTGCTCTTTTGAAGTTTTGGGATTGTTCAGACTCCACATGTTAGAGCTTTTGAAATATTTATTTATATTTGTTATATTTATTTATAGTTTTATTTTGACAACTCAATTTATTATAGACTTTGTATGTATTAATGTATCAACATTACTTAATATATATATATTCGTATGTACATTTGATTTATTAAATTTATCTGTGTATTTATTGAGTATAGTATATTTCATTTCTTTACTTATCTATTTTTAGTGCCACCCCAAAAACCAACTTTCCTCTCAGATTTTCAAAGGTTAGTTGGAAGAAATCTCTTTATGGGATAAGCTAAACCTTTGTACACAAATATTTAAATTGTTTCTGAAAATTTGTAAGTTACTTTGTGTTTAAATAAATAATAAAGCTTTTAATATAACCGCCCAGAAGTGCAAAAGCTTGTTGCGTAGGGCAGAGTTCGACCAGGGTTTGACCAGCTGGACCTCTTATCCAGGAGGTAGCAAATCAAACTGACTTTTGTCGCCCGTCTTTGCCACCTATGCTGAGGCCGGACGGCACGTTGGACTATAATGCAGAAGAGAAGGCTAATCTTTTTGCCTCACTCTTTGCAGAGAGTTCACATCTGAATGCCGCAGGGAACCTACAACCTACCTTGCCTCAGGCTGGCTGCACTATGGCGCCAGTTTTCATACGCCAAAAAGAGGTACTTAGAACTCTGCGGAATCTAGACGTGAATAAAGCTAGCGGGCCAGGTGGAATTCTAGCAATAGTCCTATGTAACTGTGCGCCTAAGTTGTCTCCTGTTGAAGCAGAGCTGATCCTGTCAACTATAAACCTATGTCAGTCACTTCCATACTCTGCAAGACTATGGAACGTGTACTCCACATCCGTTCCTTCTGTCCTTGTTATTGTTCTGTCGTACTTTGAAGATAACGACCTCCTCAGTGATCGTCAGTACGGGTTTCAGCGAGGGCGATCTACTGGGGATATTCTTGTGTATATCTGTTATATATGGAGCGAGGCTATAGAAGAGCAAGGCTAAAGCACTTGCAGTGTGTTTGAACATTTGTAAAACCTTTGAGAGGGTCTGGCACGCAAGCCTTTTAAGTACACTTCCCTCTTATGGGAAAAGTACACTTCCCGCTTCCCACTGACCTTTGCAATTGGATCTCGGATTTCTTGAGCGAAAATTCCATTCGAATGGTCTTAGAAGGTTACTCTTCCGAACAAAGGGTGATAGTTCCTCAAGGTTCCGTACTATCTGCAACTCTGTTTCTACTGCATATCAATGATGTGTTAATTCCAGGTACCTTTGCGTATGCTGATGACAGCACAGTTGTAGATTTATTTATTTATTTAATCAATATTGCGAGTGGGCTCACAGAGCGTATCCAAAACACCTAGAAGCTTAGGCAACATTACAAATTATTGATAAAGAATTGCGATACAATTAAAATAAAATAAAATTATAGATACAGTTTAGCTTACAAATGTCAAAACCTTAACCTACTTAGTATCTAATTTCCTACACGTAAAAAGTAATTATTTAAAAATATGTTCGCGTTCCTAAGAATTTGTCCAAAGGAATCAGCAAATAAGTCCATGTCATAGTGGTCAGCGAGCATATCTCCGATGAGCGTGAGTGCCCGCACGGAGGGCGCGTGCGCAGCGCGAACGGTGCGCACTGCCGGCCGCTGCAGCAAGCGCAGCCGCCTACGCGGCGTCACTATCCCAGCCTCATCCCAACTAAGAGAGGGCATCTGAATGCTAAATTTCTCGAGAATATCTGGACTATCGATTTTATTATGAACGATTGATAGGTAGTGTAGTACTAGCATCCATTTTCGCCTAAATGCAAGTGTTTCTAAATCGACCATAGCAGTTACAAATAAGGAGGGGTAGAGAAACGGATAGTACCCATAAGTTCTCTTATATAACCATCGAGCAAATTTACGTTGAAGCCTTTCCACCATAAGGTTATATTTATTTTCATTAGGATCCCCAATGATAGCGCCGTATTCGAGTTTACTGCGGACATACGCATTATACAAAACCTTTGCTACTCTACTGTTCTGGAATTGTGAAGCAATTCTCATAATAAAACCCAAGGTTTTGCTAGCTTTCTTGCACATTTCAGTCACGTGAGTATGAAAATCCAGTTTGTCATCTAATATTAAACCTAGGTCGCGAATGTTATTAACTCTATCCATAGGAGCGTCATTTAAACTATATCTAGTAAAAAGGGGTGATCGTTTACGCGTAAAAGTTATCACTTTGCACTTATTTTCATTTAGTGGCAATCTATTGACTCGACTCCATTCGGAAACGGCGTCAATATCACATTGGAGTGCCTCAACATCTGCCGCCTTACTAACCCTCGTGAAGAACTTTAAATCGTCCGCGAATAGAAGACATTTGGCGGATCGGACATAGTGTGGTAGTTCATTAATCATGAGTAAAAATAGCGTTGGCCCCAGGGTACTTCCCTGACTCACTCCGGATCTTGTACAGTATTTAAAAGACTCATAACCATTAACTCTAACATACTGGTTTCTCCCACCCAAGTAACTCGCAAAAAATTGCAGAAGTTTGTGCGTAAAGCCTGAAGCTGCCAGTTTCTGTAATAATATGTCATTATCCACAACATCAAATGCCTTTTTAAGGTCGAAGTAAGCGGCGTCTACTTGTCCTCCCAAATCCATTTCAGTGCATGTATAATCAACTAGAGAGACGAGGTTGGTATTTGTCGATAGGTACTACTTGAGTAATGCAAGGGGTTACGCTTTCATATTTAGGTACATGGCGAACGGCTATGAAGTGGAATTCCCTGCCTGCAGTCTTGTTCCCTGACCATTATAAGTTGGACCTTTTCAAGGCCAGAGTGAATAGGCATTTTTTAGATGTGTCGACCTCATCGTCACTTTCCAACAGGTGAGATGGAGATCAAATGCGCACTTATATTTTTATAAAAAAAATGTTGGTTGGTGACTAAGTGTAACCGGTGCGGGTCAGAATACCTAACCAAAGTTTAAATATGGAATATCAATAAGTGACAAATACTTCGTTGTGAGGTCATATGTAATCTGAAGGCCCATATTTTAAATTAATTTTCCTCAAGAACACAATAATGATGGTGAGTCTATATTTACCACTTAAAAATAGGTCTAAAAACAAATGACGTCAATGGTTTAGTGTGGTCCCTTACTTCCAGTTCATTGTTTCTGTGATATAAGATGTAATTATAATAAACGCCAAATTGAGTACAGATTAGAAAAAAATAGTACGAGTGTTAGGAGATTAGTAGGTTACATCTGTGTTTAATTGTATGGTGTTTAGTGTACACTCCACTTGCCGGTCTAATGCAGCAAGCAAATAGCAACAAACAAAAAAAATTGCCATAGGTGAAGGTTTATTTAAATAAATATTAGGCAATATCACATAATATATGTTGCTCCGATCCCAAAGTAAGTAACTAAAGCACTTGTGTTATGGAAATCGGAAGCAACGACGACGGTAACACAAACACCCAGGCCCGAGACAATATATAGAAATCTTAGTTTTATTACATTGACCCGGGCGGGAATCGAAATCCGGACCTCGGAGATGGCGACACCATTGTATGTCTTATGCAAGCCACTCGACTACGGAGGTCGTCAATAGGACTGAAAATCGCAATGTTGAGTCTTCATCCTTTTTGTCCACACTACTTACTAAATAAAAGCTAAAAATAGTTTCATTTCCTATACACTACTTACTGTTTTTGTTTCAATTGTACTGTGGTTTGTGGATAAATAAATGTCTGTTATTGTTAATATTATTTTATTTTAGTTACATAATTTTGTGTTTGTTTTTATTCGATAGTAGAATGCCATAATTTTGCCAGAGAAAGATGTAAAAATGACGATGTTAAAACGACGAGTAGAAAACGCGGGTGAAGTCTTCTTCTTCTTTTTGTCGATAAAATAAAACCGATGTTAAATTTCTTTAGTCCAATAAGCAGCTATCTCTATGTTTATATCCGTTGCGTTTAGCAGGTCTTCGCAGGTGCAGCTGGTCGGAGACAGTGGGCATGAGAGCAGATCTGATATACTTTATGTGTCGGTTGATGGTTTTTAGTCGACTTGATGTAGCCTCATTTCGCCATGTTGTCTCTACATCCGCCAATTTGTTTCCCGAGACGGTTCAGGGACTTGCTACAAGTCGTGTCTGAGGGGAAGTATCAGCCTTCTAACATCTTGTATAATTATGTTGGTAGACTGAACACCATCAATGAGGGTCGCGCAGCTGTGGGCGACTTGTCCGCATTTATCCCGTGCACACCAGCGGGCGTTTTGGAACTGATTAAGCAAACCGGCGTGCCTATCTCTGGAAAGAACGCAGTGGTGCTTGGTCGCAGTCGTATTGTTGGCACTCCCGTTTCTGAACTCTTGAAGTGGGAGCATGCTACAGTCACCATCTGTCATTCGAAGACCAAGAATTTGAACGAAATTGTAAGTTATATCAAGTTTTTTTTACATTGTTATTGTGGCCATCTTGTTTATTTGAATGTCGAACATTTTTTACATCCGGTGGAATTTGATCAAGGTGAAGTGCACAAATATTCCCTCCGTATATTATAGTTTTTGGAGGCCGTCAGTCACTCTTTCATATTTTCCACATTCAGTAGGTCCTCTCCTATTTGAATTTATGCTTTGGAACGTATCCGCCTACGATAGAAATATCTTTTTTCCACGCTATCGAGAAGTATTCGTTCTATTTCTATCAGTGAGACTAAACTTGTAGCTTTATATATATATAAAAATGTAGTGTAGTTTATATAGATAATTGAGGATTTTTTCAAATGCAGTAGCACTTTCTGGACAGCTTTAAGGCCTAATTAATAAATAATTAAGCCCCCTAATTGCTTCCGAGGCCCCTCCCTAGTACTTTTCAGCGGTAGGGACCACTTTGGGGAACTATGATCTAACAGCTTTTAATATCGCACCCTTGAGTAATAAGGCCACATCTGTTAAATAATGAAAACCAAACGTGCCACATTTTTTGTACCCACTATGATGTCACAAGAACTATTTAGTGATGGGAAACCTTATTCCGCTCTAAATCGATTGATTGAATGGAATACGCGTAAGTACGCGAATTTCATGTCACAAGAAGAAACTACATTTTGTATACAAACACTACGCGGTCGCTGGCGGTAACTGTCATTGTAATCTCAAACCACCTCTGGTTTGAGATTACACTGGGCAATAAAAAATCGGAAACCATTGCACAAAATCTTCGTTTCCGTCAAAGATATATAGGCAGGGTGTTCCATGCACTTGTTTAACGTTAATGGAACCTATGGTTATTAATACAAAAACTTGAACAGAAAAATTTCTTCGACTCAGTGGGATACGATTTTCTATGTTTTCGATCTTTCTTTATTAATCATAACAAAATTATTGGAGATATGTCACAAAAAAATCTCCACAATACATTAATTGAGCTTGAATAATTTATTATTTACGTTCGTCGGAATCTTGGAACGTTGTGTTTACTACAGTTTATAGTTCTATTATACATTTTTTTCGTTTTGTTCAGACAAAAACAGCGGACATTCTAGTGGTGGCCATCGGACGTGCTGAGATGGTCAAAGGGTCTTGGATCAAGCCTGGTGCTGTTGTCATTGATTGCGGCATTAACCCTATCCCTGGTGAGTTTGTACTTGATCAACCTGGCTTTTAGAATCAAGCTCAGCTTGCGGGCTACGTACGTTTCTCGCAGAACTTGGAACAGATTCGGAAGAAGCGAGATCATTAACTCATAGGCATAGATTTACAAATTGTCATCTGTTATAGACGTCTTTTGAAGCACCATGACATGTCGATCCATAGACATGAGCCTTATTTTAAGCGATTGTCAAATGATGTGGGATCCTATTTTAAATAGAGACTCAGACATGTTAACTAAAATAAGTCACGTACACACATCAAAAGTGTCTAGGGATCAAGTGAATATTTTTGAAATAAAAATTATTTAAGCAATATTTACCAAATCCAGTCTTCCAGGACGACTTCTTACTTTAATGCTTATGTTTTATTTAACCGCTTACCCCTATATTTAATTAAAATAAACTAAAATTGTTGTTTTTGCAAATTGTGGGAAAAAACTCAAATTAACGGCGTCAATTAAATGACAAAAAAATGGCGAAAATGATGATTTTGCTCATTTTTATTGTAGAGATAAGAAAATTAATAATCTGTATTTCCACCATTAACACGAATCACACAATTACAGCGATTTGGCATGCTTAAGATGAGTTCATCAAAATCACTTTGAGGAATGGCCGCCCGTGTATTTTGTAACAAGTCAAAATATTGTTGTAGAGTATGTACGGTATGCATACTCGGCACAGCTCTTCTTTGAAGCATATCCCATGCGTGCTCAATTGGATTGAGGTCTGGCGATTGAGCAGGCCACGGCAGAACGTTGATACGAGCTTCGGCAAGAATGCGTGTTACGACTCTAGCCGTGTGTGGACGTGCGTTGTCATGCATTAGTTGAAATGAATCACCCAACTGGCCTCGCAAAGGGATGATAACATCTGAAACAATCCTCTCTGCGTAAACTTGAGCATTGAGGTTACCCCTGATCCAAATGAGATCGGTTCTTCCGCCGATCCAAATACCGGCCCATATCATTATTGTTCCCCCACCATATGGATGAACTTCCTGACAATATCTCAAACGTTCATGACGTCCAGATGTTCTCCAAACTCGAGTACGTCTTGTATCCGGTCTCATACCGAAGCGGGATTCAACCGAAAAGCACACATAGCGCCAGTCTTCTTCCTCCCAGTTTCTGTGTTCGCGAGCCCATCGTAAACGGGTCCTGCGATTGCAGGGTGCAATAGGTGGAACTCTGAGCGGCCTTCGGGATCGCAGACCCACTTCACGTAAACGATTTCGAATTGTTTGATCGCTTATTAGCAAGCCTGACGAGCTGTGGAGCCTCGTAACCAACATCATGGCGGTCATGGTACGATTCCGTCGAGCAGTATTTTGGATATACCGGTCCTGTCTGCGAGTCGTGATGCGAGATCGTCCTCCATGTCGCTCGGCCACGCTGCCCGTCATGCGATAGCGCGTCCAGAGGCGACTTATGACGCTCTGTGTAGTGTTAAGAGTGAAAGCCACAGCACGTTGCCTGGAACCAGCTTCCAACATTCCGACGGCTCGCATCATCACTTCTCGGGTTAAATGATGTCGTCTCTCCATAATAATGTAAATTGTTTCGGTTCCGATGCAGATATTGTAATGATTTTGTCAAAACACTATAACTCATTTTTATACAAAACCACATTGACAGTCGATTTTCTTCTTATTATCGAATTTTAAGCAATATTCCTTATTTAAATGTTAAAACTCACTAAAAAGTATCAATAGCGATACAAAAAGTTAATATAATTAACCCTAATTGCAGCAATATTCTTAAACGTACTTGATCCCTGGACACTTTTGATGTGTGTATTTAAGTCAAAATTTTTCTCGACATGATTCGAACCAGTCCGTGGTGCTTATTCATTAGATTCTGCGGCAGCGACTCGACGGAAACTGCGCGCCAAAGCCCTGGCAGCATACGTGACTTATCTAGTTTAGTTAATATGTGGGATCTAATGCGATCATCTTTTTGATGACCAGATGTTCATGCACTGGGACTAGCAATATTATTGAATGAATATTCAATATTGCTAGTCCCACTAATGCCCAAGTATGAATGACTGAATCTCACGGTAGGTCACATGACGATTATGCAGCATCTGTTGACCACAGCATCAATGTTTTCCGGAATAACAACCAATTTTGGACGATCTTTACGAAATCCGTCTTTGTGTCTTCAGTCTCGATTGAATTTCGAAAACCATCGATAGACACCAGTTCTTGATGGAGCTTCATCACCAAAAACAATCACACGAAAATGTTCACGGCTTAATTCCATTTTATTATGTGAGATGAATTTTTCAAATTCTTATAAACAATACAAATTATGTTCGAATGTCAAAATACGTTTGCCGCCAAAAATGTTTAAACTATGCGGTAGACATTTAATTCATTCACAAGCAGCTCTACTGCAACTAATCAACGCTGCTCTTAATCTGATTGTCTGGTATACCTTATACGGTATACTTTATACTGGTATATTTTATTTTATTTTATTTTATTTTCATTATTTTACAACAAGATTAGAATAGTAAGTATAATACACGCCTCACGGACCAGTGAGGCTGATGGCTAACTAAAAGTTTCCACAGATAATTATTTCCAGTGATAGAAACAGACTATAAAGTAAGTTGCCGACTTAAAAAAAACAAACATAATAAATATAAATAACGAAATTAAATACGTTAAGCAGTTATAGTAGCTACATATAAGAGAAAAACATATCACTGAGTAAGTGTTTTAGTTTACTTGTACTGGTGTTCAACACCAGTCCACCTCACTATATCTTTTAACTAAGGAGTTAAATGAGCGAGACGCTCTATTTAAAAATGCATTTTGCCTATAATTTGTCCTAACCCTAGGAACGTAAAGGGTGATAGGATTTCTCAGTGCCTTGCTTGTACGAAGTTTAGTAGCAGTAGAGCTCGTTGTGTAAGAGTTCGTCCAGGGAAGTACTGCCACCTTGCCTATTTCTGCCGCCAAGGAGTAATGTCAGCATTACTGCGTTCCGGTTTTGAAGCGTAGAGGTGCTGGCGAAATTACAGGCGCATGGGACTTGTCAGTTTATGTCTTAGGGTGACGGGCACAGTGGCAGTGCCCCTCAGATCTTTGCGATTTAAAGTTCTGAGTGGTTGTTGTTGTATTCTAACGTTCAGTATTTCCGTATGGCATAAGTCGTAATACATACCCACTTCAAGACAAAACAAACAAAATGCTCTGTTTATCGTCGCAAGACAAGTAATGTGGGCGACAATGGACGGAATCGCCGATTGTGGGTTAATATTGACAAAACAACGCGTTGCAACGGACGCGGTGCGCGGTCGCAGTACCTATCTCCGCGGTTGCAGGTTACGAGTACGTCGCGCAGAAATGATTTCGTACGCAAACCATAAACTGCAATAATGCATTTTCGTTTGATTGCGGTTCGATAACAACACAGAACACCATTCGCCACACAATACTTCGGAATTCAGACGCGACTATGTATTTCTAATGACTATTGCATGCACAAAATGCGACGAATCCGATAAATTTGCTTTTTTACCTCGCCTTGGTATGTATTTTGTTAATTAAAAATATATTTTACAAAAATCCATTCGATCATTTCACATAGTACAAATTTGTAACTCAAGCTATCTGTTCCAAAACGGGCCAAAACGTAAATGTACTTTGGTTTAAGTGTACCAAATTCCAAAACAGTGTGTAATTAGCTAATTACTAATTGAATAAACAAATTGTCCTAATGACGGTCAATCTGTGATAAGCGAGTCGGAAAAAGTCAGCATAAAGGTTAAGAGAAGTGTCGTTTCGACAATCCGGATTTTCGGAGATTGATGAATTGATTGACCATCTTCATTACTGATCACAAAAGTGCAACACTCAGTGCTATAACATGTAGGAAGAAACGAAGCACACATGTTTCCTTATAAGTTGATGAAAACGTTTGTGTAGACGCGACAAAGCAAAGCGGCCAACGTCTGGTGGGCGACGTCGCCTTCCAGGAGGCACTGGAAGTCGCGTCTCATGTGACGCCAGTGCCGGGCGGCGTGGGGCCTATGACCGTGGCGATGCTAATGCGGAACACCGTAATGGCTGTGCGCCGCCAGCTAGACCGTCTACTCGCGCCGGCCTGGCCGCTCAAACCGCTCAGGATCCATGTACTCTCTCCGCCACCCTGGTACGTAACATATTTATAGATAGAGCACTCCACTCCTCACAGTTAATAGCCAGCACCTTGACATCCATATAGCTGCGCGCTGTGATCTTCTTTTTTATTTGTTCACTATACGCTATTCTTGGTCTTCATCTCTTTCTTTTCCCATCTATCTTCCCCTCAATTATCTTTCTCACAAATTCGTCATTACGTAACAAATGTCCAAACTATTTCCCTCTTCTATTCTCTATTGTATTCAAAAGAATTCTTTTTTTTTTTTTCAACCAGCAAGTAATAACGGATGTAAAAAAGAATGGGAATTCCCAAAATACGTAAAACTGTTACATGTAAAATTTCCGCGAGAATCTGCCTTATCTTGTTTCACATTTTAATCTACCCAAAAACCCCTGCATTGTAAAGAACTAGACTTCTGAGAAATCTATTACACAGACGTGATAAGATGGCAGATAACAATTTTTCCGTCGAATATATAGTAATAAATTATTTATTTATTGCAATTCACATGTAGGTATCATGACGAGAGCGTCAAGCACTGCCTGTGAGAGCCAATACGTGAGCTTGCAGATTCGCTAACTGTTCTATTAATGCTAAAATCACACTCTTCGCAGATTACTGTGCGCCTTTCTACACAAGCGGCCTGTGGATTACATTCAGTCAGAAACAGTACAGTGCTCTGCGTGTTAAGTACAATAATGCTGATGGGGCTGCCGAGATCTTGTAGCGCATCAGGGATGTTTGCGGAAGCACGTGTCGATTGCTTCTACACAACGATGTGGAAAAGTTGCACATCCCTGGCGCGCTAGGTTCGGGCTAGCACCAACAGCATTCAGAGCAAGATAGCGAACGCGCTAGACTGTCCCTGCGTGAATGATTGTTCTATGATCCACATACATAAAAATAAATAGTAGTTTAGAGTGTTTGTCTTCTCTGTTGTTTTTTGTATATATACTAATATTAGTATTTAAGCGTAACTGTTACTGACTCTAAGGCACATCTCACACTGGCACAGAGTCGAAGCATCGCGTCCTGTCCTGTTTTTTAACTACAACGCATGGCGACACGCGTCGTCGTGCGACGACGCTCGTATTAGCGCACCCCGATCACAGTGCGGTCGGCGTCTGACGCGTCACTGTACACAAGTAACGCGCGTCGTCGCGTGTCGACGCTCGATTTCGTATTTGCATAATACAAATTCGTTATAATGGGAAATTAGAGATGAATATGCTATAGGCGAAAAACATGACGCTTCGACTCTGCACCAGTGTGAGTAGAGCCTAAGAGTGGTTACACACGGCGACATTTAGCAGCGGTGTAAACGCGTGTTCGTGACACGCGCGATTGCATCGTTACCCTTGCGATTTATAGGCGATTGCAGCGATGCAGTCGCACGTTTGAATCGCTGCTTAAAATCGCGTGCGTGTGGAAAGGTAGATACGGTAGACGGTAGATTAATAATTTCATGTACAACGTTAAACATAAATATAAAACCATGAAGGGCGTAGCAGTGTCTGAAGACAGTCTTAAGTCTTAATCTGTTATAATTCTTTAATCTAATTATTAATCTATTAATGTTATGGTATACAAGAATTAATAAATAAATATTACACAACATCACGTTAATATAACGTTGCTCCGATCCCAAAGTACATAACTAAAGCACTTGTGTTGTAGAAATTGCAAACAACGACGGTATCACAAACATCCAGACCCGAGAGAGTGTAGAAATGTTAGTTTTTCCATATTGACCCGGCCGGGGATCGAACCCGGTACCTCAGAGATGGCGACAACATGAAAACAGCTGTGCAAGCCACTCGACCACGGAGGTCGTATATATTAATCATGAAAATATTCTTCTAACTAAAAATGTTTATTTAGCAGAAATTGCTTTAAAACTTTATAAATTGTTTTGTCATATTGTGCATTATTTAATTGATCGTTTAATTTTTATTGCCATTGAATTTGTGCTACTCCTTTGTAATTTTAATTTTGATCTTGTGTCGATAAAGTTATCCACATACGATAACGTTAACTGTAGGTAAATTGTAAGATGGTATTTATTATCAACAGTGACATAGTAATAGCGCGTGGTCAAAGGCCGAAGGACATTGCAGTGCTGGCAGAAGAGATCGGTTTATACTCGAGTGAAGTGGCACAGTACGGGAAGACAAAGGCGAAGATCGCGCTCTCTGTGCTCGATAGGTTGAAAGACATGCGCTCTGGGAAATACATCGTGGTTGCTGGGTGAGCAATTTTGTTTAAATTTTTAACCGACTTCAAAAAAGGTGGAGAGTCTCAACCTTTTTTTGAAGTCGCTAAAATAGGAGTACAATTTGAAATACAAGTACAAGTGAAAAACATCCTGTATTTGTACGATGCTAATGGAAAAAGTCAATTTTAAAGATTAATTCTTTTTAAGTAACATAGTGTCTTCATTTTGAGGGTACTTTCAATTTCTACAGAATAACTCCCACTCCGCTGGGTGAAGGCAAGAGCACGACACTAATAGGCCTGGTGCAGGCATTGTCGGCGCATCGCGGACGTAACGCGTTCGCCGTGATGCGTCAGCCCAGTCAGGGACCCACCTTCGGCGTCAAGGGCGGCGCCGCAGGTGGCGGGTACTCGCAGGTATTTTATTTTATGTCACCGAGCATCTTGACCCCTAGATCAGACTGGAAAAGCTACGCGATCATATGATGAGACGCGAACTGTTCAGTCATCTAACTAATAACATCCTCGTAGGACTACATTACTAACATCATTAACAACAACTTTTGTTCCACGACTTAATAATTCATCAGATTTTGCTTTCGTACAAAAATAAATATATTTAAATAGGTCTGAAAGAATAGAGGGTGAGGAGTCTAGAGGAATGGAGGGGAGGGTCGCTTGCACTTTTGAACTTAATGCCTTAGTACCAAATACAGATCTATAAAGTGTCACATAGTACGACAAAAACTTTATAGTTTATTTTCTCAATTTATTGTTTCGTAAAAAATAAAAAATTAAATTTGTTTATGTTGTCAGTTAGAGCATTTGCACACGGCGTATTTTAAACGCACATTTCACGTGGCACCGTAAACGCGCGTCATCTGCGCACTAAACGCGCGTCATCAGCGTGTATACGCGCCGCAGATGCTCTGTGGTAAATCGTCAAATATCGCGTTGCAAGCAAGAAGCTTATATAGAATTTCATGTAGTTGCTTCATTTCAAAATTTAACTAAAAGTAACAAAAAAAACTAAAATTATAACTGTCTCTTGTCAAAATGCGCGATACTTACGCGCGTTTACAGCGCGTCTACTGCGCGTATGCGCGCAGATGACGCGCGTTTACGACGTGTATACGCGCGCTGTCGCCGTCGGCGCGTATTTTTATTTCTTTTTTTGTAATATCAAGTGACGTGACGAACAAGTCGTGCACCTGATGGTAAGCTACACGCCTGTCCATAACAGTTGCAGTGCCACTCAGAGCTTTAAGTCGCAAAGATCTAAGGGGCACTGCCACTGCGCCCATCACCCTGAGACAAAGTTGACAAGTCCCATGTACCTGTAATTTCCAGCCCTTACCCTTTAAATGCTGACATTACTGCTTGGAGGCAGAAATGGGTAAGGTGGCAGTTTTACTTCCCTGGACGAACTCCTTCATAAGGAGCTCTACTGCTACTGAATATAAATGATGCCGTGTAAAATATGAAAACTAAAGCGGTTACGGAGTTGTATATTAATAATGTATAATGTATAACTCTCGTTGAACAATATTGTATAATGTCACGAGAATTTTAATATACTCTAAGCCTCCATGTTTTGTTTTGTTCTATATGTTTATAAGATTACAATAATGTATGTCCTTGTGGATAACTATATTTGGGCCTAAGTTATTTGAGACAAATATTTTTCTTCGTACACTATTGAAGTTGGCTGTTGTTATTCTTTAATAAAAAAATAAATAAAATCGAGGGTAATAAATGGAAAAAACTAAATAACCAATATTACTGTATCACTTTGCTATGGTGTCTTTTACGGGCAGAGCGTTATGTAAAATTTGAGTGTCAAGTTACGGACTACACATAAATACTTTTGTGAATCTTCTTGAACATCAGGGCTTAATCATTTAATTTTACCTGAAAGGTATTTCGTACACTATTGACGCATAAGTTGTGATTAAAGACGCAGATATATTATGTTTCAAAGCTGAATTCTGATGAATATTAAATTCATTTCCTATCCTCTATTGACTAACAGTAAAGTACAATTTCCTTCCTTTGTTGTAGGGTTTTCGCGTATAATGTATCCCTCCGGGACTCGTGCTTTTTCAGTAATGAAATTCCGGTGTGAGCGAATTGGGAACTCAGAATTAAGACAAATAAATAAATAACGCACACACTCATAACCCCGCACTAGGGAAACCCTGTGTTGCGGGTACCATGGACAAACACGTAGACAACCATAAATTACACCCAAACTCACGAGCTAAATAAATGTACGCCTTACAAATATTTCTCCCGGCCCGCGAATCAAACCCGAGGCTTCTGCGTGGCAGATCAGCATGTTAACCGTTCGACCACAGAGGCATTTAAAAAGAAACGAAGATATAAATATGTGTAGACATAGGTATATATAGAAAAGAGACGCTAATATAGGCTCCGGGTAAGGCAATTAAAATTTTTTGAACAACATGGAACATCTTTTAAATGTTGAAAACCCACTGAATATGCCTTATCTGCAAAATGATAACATTTCAGTACATGTTTAAAGATTCTACGAATGAAATTAGTAGATAACTTTATTTCCACGCACTAATAACAGAGGACTGCAAATCTCATTACAGATCACAACTCTAAAAATTCGGTCTTGTATTCATATTTTTGTATTAATTTCTTAGGCATACGAAACTTGCTTTGCGAAAGAAACTTGTTTGCTGTTTAGAATGAATTTTAATAAAAATGGATGTAAATTAATTTGCGACTCTACGAACCCAAGTCCGGGTCAATCATGGGTTCGTTCCATTTTTATTAACATGGATTTACGCAACGACACGCCTGAATGTATTAATTATTAATATTTCATCTAATGATTGCTTTACAAACAATTATACGTTTTAGGTCATTCCCATGGAAGATTTCAACCTGCATCTTACTGGCGATATTCACGCCGTGTCAGCAGCCAACAATTTACTGGCTGCTCAAATGGACGCACGTATCTTCCACGAGCTTACCCAAAAAGATGGTCCATTGTACGATAGACTGGTGCCGAAGATCAAAGGCGTCAGGAAGTTCTCACCTATTCAATTGAGGAGGCTTCAGAAACTTGGAATTAACAAGACAGACCCTGATTCGCTGACTACAGAAGAGAGACCCAAGTTTGCCAGATTGAACATTGATACTAATAAAATTATGTGGAACAGAGGTACAAATAAAAAAAGTAGTCATAATTAGTAGTATATTAACAGGAAAACACAAAAATATGTAACATTGACAAATTACACGATAATAATAATGACCGTTATTATTACACAAATTGGCACCCTTTTGGTGTAATTTGCACATGTCTGCAAAATGAAAACTTTTCAGGTTTAAAGTTTCTTGAAAGGAACGAAGTTACTCGATACCTTTTTATGCTTAAGTAGGGGAGAATTATACAATGTCACATATGTATATATATATATATATATATATAATTTGTTTCATGTAGTTCGCATGGTTTTCTTGTGATAACAGCACTTTGGATGTATGACAACATATGGCTTTTTTTTTTTAAAAAACTTTGCAATAGGTGCCGAACCGAAAGTGCCATGAACACATATAAACCACCAACCAAGAAATTAAACTCAAACTCACGAGAGAAATAAATGTAGGCCATACAGATATTTCTCCCGTTCCAGTAATCGAACCCAGGACCTCTGCCTGGCAAACCAGCACGGTAATCGTTCGGTCAGTTAAATATGTCAAGGGTAGATACAAATTAATATGCTTGCTCATGCGAATAAACTAAGTACTTGTATTTTTTTTAACTAAGCGAGAAACACACAGAGAGCGGGTGCGGGTCGGGCGTATGTCGGGTTGAGAGCACGACGGGTCTAATTCCGAGTATTTATATAGACCACCATATAAATACGAGTCGTCCATATCAATACACGGAATTAGACCCGGCGTGCTCCCGACTCGCACCCGCTCTCTGTGTGTTTCACGCTTCAATGTCAATGTCTCCGATCGCAGTCGGAGCAGTCCTCATTTACACAAAAATTCAATACAGACTTCTCTTTCAGTGGTAGACCTCAACGACAGATACCTTCGCAAGATTACAATAGGCCAATCCCCAACCGAGAAAGGATTTACGCGGCAGACGCAGTTCGACATCTCCGTAGCCTCGGAGATTATGGCCATCCTAGCGTTGGGAAAAGACGTTGATGACATCAAGGAACGACTGGCGAACATGGTTGTGGCTCTGGATACCAGCGGCAATGCAGTTACTGCTGATGATTTGGTGTGTTGATATATATATCATAATGTGTCGTCATCACTTATTTTCGGTTCCATCACGTTTGTGTTTTATACTTGACACACATTGACCTACCAACACACAATCAATTGGTAGAAACGCACTTTTAACTACAGGTTGACACATTTTCACGAGGTAATTTTCTGACGATGCTGATTTTGAATAGTGATCGAATTTTATTTTCTTTCGTTATTCTTACGTTGGTTCGTTCCGTCATGACTTCCATCAAAAGTCTCAAAACGAGAGCCGTGACCGTAAATCATCGTCTTTTGAGGTGAGTATTGTTTTTCGTTTGGGTGTGTTTAGTAGGGAGTGTTTTATATTGTTTGTATTTTTCATTTTTTGCAGCCTTTTCATTTCTTTTAAAATAAGTAAATAACATAGATCGAGCCTTTCCTTGCCTATCACTAAGTTGTTAAGTGGCACCTAACTATTAGGTGCCACTAGTCAAACTGTTTACATTAACCATGTCTCTGTATAATAAATTGAAAGCTGGGAAGGATCTACAATTGCCGATAACTGAAGAAGCCACGACCGACAACACTTTTGTGATGTTAGCGTCTTTGGTAATCGAAAAATATCCATAGTGGTGTTTGTACCTCATTAAACAATTCGTTGTAAATGAATGGTTTCTGCAGCATCACTGTAAGTTCCGGTGAAAACTACAACATCACGCCCCTAATATGTCAGGAAAATAATTAACATATACACAAAGCGGCAAGGAATAAAGAAAACTTAATCATTTAATAGTACTGTTTATTTTCCTTTTCATTAAAAACGGTGAGACACCACACGGAATAAACAAAGTAATTAATGTTTAGCGATTTGTCATCAATTACGCGCTTTAGTTGGTTCATTACACGCCCACTTACTATAATAAACTATAAAACAATAGAACACAATAATTTAATTTATGGTATATGCGTCTTTGTAATAATTCTCTCAACAGTGATGGTCTTTGAATATGTTCATACCTTTCATTAACACGAATCACTAAATCATTAAAGTAATCATAAATCTTAAAAAAATGATTAGATAATAAATAGAGGAACAGTTTTTTTTTTTGATAAAGTAGTCATTTTTATGTACAACTCACACTTGACCAAGTAATTGACTATATTATATTAGACAACATCACATACGTTGATTTGATCGCAAAGTAAGTAGCTAAAGCACTTGCGTTATGGAAATCGGAAACAAGGACGGTCCCACAAACACCCAGACCCGAGACAATATAGAAAAGTTAGTTTTCTACACTGACCCGGCCGAGAATCGAACTCGGGACCTCAGAGATGGCGACACCATGAAAACCGGTGTGCAAGCCACTCGACCACGGAGGCCGTCAAAGCCGTTCGTCAAGGCCGTTTTTAAATTGATTGTGAGGAGGTAACCCTTATACTTAATAATGCAAATTGAATAAAGTATAACGAAAACAAAACTAAATAAAAAATGCAAACGACAAACCAAAAAGTAAACGCATAATTAAACCACGGATTAGTACAAGCATTCTGCGTTGTATAAAACATAGAAATAATCTACAAAAACATCTTCGGAAAGATTCCAACAATGAAATGTTACAAATTACATCCACAAGATATCGAAACTACTGCAATAACCTTATTAAAAAAACTAAAAAGACAATATGACCGAGAGTTACTAGCCAAATAAGTTAATAATAATAAACAACTCTGGAAAAACATAAAAAATATAACTTACACTAATAAGATACAAACACAAAGCGAGGAACTACTAAATATCAAGAAATACCTTGTAGAATCAGTAAATACGATTAATAGCTTTTTCGTCAATATTGGCAAACAACTTGCTTACCAACTGCAATCAAATACTTCCAATAATCCTCCTGTTGTATCAGATGCACTGGCTACGCAGCCCAATTCTTTTGTACTTCTAGATACTGACCCTAACGAGGTAGACAGAATACTAATAAACTTGAAATCCGACAATGCCTCGGGCTGGTACAACATTCCTACAAAATATCTAAAATTTGTAAGAAAGGAAGTAGTTCCCATTATAACTTATCTGGTCAATGTCTGCTTTTGTAGAGGTGTTTTTCCCACCACACTTAAACAATGTATTATAACCCCAGTATATAAGAATGGAGAAAAACAAGATATAAATAATTACAGACCCATATCTTTATTACCAGCTTTATCTAAAATTATGGAGAAAATTCTTAATTCTCGGCTACAGAACTATTTACATGAATACAATATATTATCACTCGCGCAATTTGGTTTTAGGGAGGGGAAATCTACAGAGAATGCTGTAACTGCCTTAAGCTCATTAGTTACGGATCAACTAGATAAAGGAAAGAAGTGCTTGACTGTGTTCTTGGATCTCAAAAAGCTTTTGACACTGTATCTATCCCAATACTTTTTAACAAGATAGAAAAAGTAGGAATAAGGGGAATTCCACTAACTCTTTTCGAAGATTATCTTTCGAATAGAAAGCAAAGAGTCAAAGTGGGGCAATATGTTAGTGAGGATGAAGTTGTATCATACGGAGTCCCCCAGGGAAGTGTACTAGGACCTACAATCTTCTTGATCTATGTAAATGATCTCTGCAACCTACAAATCAGAAACGCCCAACTTTTCTGATACGCGGATGATACAGCTATTGTTTTCCACGGCAACTCCTGGGACACCGTTAATTCAAGCACAGAGATTGGAATTAGTCGAGTGGCGATTTGGCTAAAAAGAAACCTCCTCACACTAAACACTTCTAAAACCAACTACATCTGCTTTGGTATAAACATTTCCTCACAACCGAGCAAAAATTTTAAACTTATAGTTCATTCATGTGGTAACATAAATGATAAACACTGTAGTTGTCCAATTATTGAGAAAGTATCACAAACTAAATATTTAGGTATTATTATCGATCAAAGACTCTCTTGGTACCCACACATTGAACAAGTTTCTAGCAGGGTTAGAAAGCTAATCAGGATGTTCAGATCTCTGAGACATTTAATTCCGGGAAAGATGACCAGAAGCAAAGACTCTCATAAGCATCTCCTTAATGAAATATATATTGCCTTGGTGCAATCTGTTCTGGAGTACTGTATTCCCATATGGGGAGGTGCGGCGAAATATAAATTCATTGAGATAGAACGAGCGCAGCGCGATCTGCTAAAGGTTATGTACTTTAAAAAACGTAGATACTCCACAGAAAACATGTACCTTACTTGTGGCTTACTCTCGGTCAGAAAACTTTACATAAAATACATAATTTAAACAAAACATAAAGACTTACCATATGACACAAGCATAGACACAAGAAGGAGGAAAGACAAAGTGGCAAAAGTCCCTCAAACAAAAACTGCGTTTGGAAGCGTGCAATGCATAAAGCGTTCCAGTCAGTTGTACAATAAATTAAACAACAAACTAATCATATACCCAATGCAATATTATGAATGCAAAAAGGTGATAGATGAATGGTTGAAATTTTTGAATTACGAGGACACAGAAAAACTCATACAATAAACACACACACACACACACACACACCCCCATACATAAACGCATTTATGCACCTGCGGATACCCCCACATCCAAGCATGCATACCAACACACACAACACAACATCTATTTTGGGTCTCACTTCATTCAGTTAATGAATATTTATATCACAACAACAACACACATATACTCGTACAAACACATACTTATACAAACGCGTATGCAAACACACCAATTCATACACAAACACATCCATTAATACACAAACAAAAACAAGATCAGTCTTAGAAATCTACTTAATATATAGAGCCATACAGAATGTAAATTAAATTAATTAAATAAACTTACTATATAATAAAATATCAAAAATTAATTATAAAATTATAAATACAGTGTGTGATTAATATTTATGTAATTAAGTTACCAATATCATTATAATTTAGTAATATTAATTATAAATTAGTTTTAAAATGTTTAAAAATGTTTGAATTACAAATTGTATTAAAAATTAATAACTTAATTATTCTTAACTTATGTAATACTGTTATGGAAGAGCGGGGTTTTCTGGCATAGGCATTATATGCTTAAAAGGAGACTCCTCTCACTAGAAAGTAGAAAAGAAGAAAGTAGTAAAGTGTGATAAGATTTAAAAAAAATCAAAACTAAAACTAACCAAACCATACAAGATCAACTGAAACCAAACGTTTATATATTTCTAATTTTTGTCGTCATTGATAAACCCGTCCGTATACTAGCCATAATAATGTTGTAATAATAATGTTGTAACAAAATCCTCTTCCAGGGTGTAACAGGGGCCCTGATGGTACTCTTAAAGGACGCTTTTGAGCCAACGCTAATGCAGACGTTAGAAGGCACACCAGTGCTCGTTCACACCGGGCCTTTCGCCAATATCGCGCACGGTTGCTCATCCATTCTTGCTGATAAAATCGCTATGAAGCTTGCTAAAGAGAATGGATATGTTGCCACTGAAGCTGGCTTCGGTTCTGATATTGGTGAGTATAATTACGCTTTAAAAGTAAGTATAAAATGCTTACAAATTCCCACAAGATTGCATAAAAATTCGTAACTCAGCACATGTATCTAGTATGGACTTACTTAATTGTTAAAACTTAGTTTAAAAAAAATTCTTTGAATGAAACTTTCATTTCAATGTTTCATTGTCAAAATGAGTTACTTGCCATATTATTGTATCAAAGAGCGCTTAACGGTTTAGACGACGTTCTTTTGTGCGTGTGGCGTCCTAAAATCCGTTACATTCGTAACATTTATCTTTTGACCCCATTGACTAAACATTGTTTTGAGAATACGGCAAATTAAATGAACCGAGAACATTGACAATTATGCGTACAAAATAGAACGTAGGCTGGTTGTATAACTTGTCGTCTATTATGTACAGACGACAGCACACCAAGCCACCAACTGGAGGTGATATTTTAACAGTTAGTTAGTGTAGAGCTTGATGTGCTGTAGACTGTACATTCTACACAGTAAAATCTGTCATCAGGTATGGAGAAATTCTTCGATATCAAATGCCGGGCAAGTGGGGATCAGCCCCACTGCGCGGTGATAGTGGCAACTGTGCGGGCGCTGAAGATGCACGGCGGCGGGCCGCCGGTGACGCCCGGCATGCCACTCCATGACGTCTATGTACAAGTGAGTTCAACTGGTTTCATAGCTGCGTGTACGGTCCGTACGGCCTGTTCGCCTGCGGGCCATCCGCATGCGTAGAAACCGCAATGCTCTGAATCGAGTATTTAATTTAATATTCACGGAAGACAGTCGCCTACAATGAACGCACGGGTGGCTTGCGCGGAGTTCACGCGGAGCGTGTTTTGTACGGAGTATTCCGCGTCACTGTAAAAAGATATTCTAACGCTACACGTGTTACTTCGGCCCGATGCTCCGCGCGGACGGTCACGTATGTATGAGTATGACGATAGGAGTCATACTCTGGAAGTACAAAATTCGTAGTACGACCGTTTTTCCCACTAAGGATGACTAAGAATGCTTATCAACGCGATTTGGCAGTTTCGACTAAGCAGTTTCACAGTTTCAAACGGGCCCGTCTTTGCGTTGACGGACTTTGAGTAGTAGTTTTTAAACAGAGAACTGGATCTGTACAAGAAAATAGTTCGTGAATGCAAGTTAGCAATTACTATATCAGTATATATATAATATATGTAAATATACACAAATCAAAATTTAATTCACGTATATGTTTAAGTATATAAACTTATAATACAACTGTTATTTTAGTAACTTCTTATGTATGAGACAAGCAATTGAAATGATACTGTTGAACATGGTATGATAATGTATAATATTGGATATTGTACGTCTCACAGATGGATGACACACATGTACACATTCACACATTCCACACAATTACACACTTACAGATACATATACACATACTTGCACTCACACACTAACACTTAGGTTAATCTATTTTTAGTCTGAAAAGTTAAAAATTACTGTAATTAGTGAAATTTGTATTAGTTGTAACACCTGTTATAGTAGATACTAAAGTAGTCTGTTTTATCATCTTAAAATAATATTAGAGCAAGATTACTATGAATATTATAGAAGAGCGCCGATTCCTAACACAGACCTTAACAAGCCTAAAAGAAAACATCCGCCCCTGTACTGTGCCCTATAAAATGAATGAATAAAACATTTTTATTTTATTTATTTATTTATAGTTCTGTAGGCAATCCATAGTGGGAAAACAGCCGTAACTGCAGATTTTGTGCGTCGAGAGTAGGGCCCAGGACTCATTGCAAAAAGACAGTTCTTAGCTTTTCGCGATAGCTATATACCGAAAATGAAATTCAAATTTTTTCAGGTCTAAGTTTTTTTGAAACAAATCAAAGTTTCGGGATCGTTACAGGTCCCACGCGATTTAGATCCGAAAAATACGTATCATTTCCAAAAAGACAGTGTCTGTACGGATCTGCGTACATTGACATAGTACTGCACGAAACTAGCCTCGTAGTGTCAATGAGCCCTAAACACTAGGTTAGTTGCTATAAGCCTTAGTCTTTCAAATATTTTTGATATTTCATTATAGTAGAGATATTCTGCGTACTGCCCCGATATTATTTTAAATGAGACGTATCTCCATTGCTTTATCTAGGTAATTGACTGTTTCGAAATATCTTGGTTTTCTGGAAAAAAAAAATGTTATGTATTTGTATAGAAAAACTTTAATTTTAGTGTCCAATTTTGTCTGCGTAAAGGTAAAACCACATAAGTGACATTTTCCACAAAAAGTCACAAAATTTTATAGCTATGAAAATTAGGATCTCTCTGCAAGTAAAACTAAATAATAAAAGAACTATAAACTATTGTTAGTAAAAAAAGTTGTATAAATTAGAGTTTTACCAGCACAGCTATGTAATTTAGAGGCTTTTTGTGAAAAAATGTCACCAAATATGTGGTTTTACTTTTAAGCAGACGATTTGATTGTTGCATTAGGAGAATTTGGAGCTTTTGAGCAAGGGCCTGTGCAACCTGGGCAAACATATCAGCAATGGGAACAAATTCCACGTTCCTGTCGTCGTCGCTGTCAACAGACATGAGTAAGTTTACTGACGTGAAACAATCACAAGCAGTCTATTTATGAATATGAAACTTGCGAAGAAAAATATATTACGGTCTTTCTGAATGACATAAACTATACAAAATAGTAAAACTTATGTGCTTTAATTTCTACAGAAACGATTCAGAAGCAGAGTTGAACTTAGTAAAAAAGTTTGCTGCGGAAAACGGAGCGTTCCGCGCCGTGATCTGCGACCACTGGGCTAAAGGCGGCGTAGGCGCGCTGGACCTGGCGGACGCCGTCATCGCGGCCTGCGAAACGCCCAGTCGCTTCGATTTCCTCTACCCTCTGAACCTATCCATTGAAGACAAGATACAGCTGATCGCTAGAGAGATGTATGGGGCTGGAAAAGTCGAGTACACTGATGAAGTTTTGCAAACAATCAAGGACTTCACCAAGAAGGTAATTGAGTATGAATTTATTTGGCATTGAACATTCATTAACTGAAGTGAGACTGAAAATAGACGTTCTGACGTATTTCGACCATATAGAAAATCGGTTTTTCGACACTAAAAAATACGAATTCAACTTGTTTTTTTAAATTCATAATGATGACATGATAACAGATGATACTGATATTAAGCTATCGGGTCCGAAACACGATTGACTAAACTTTGATTTTTTGATTTGAAAATAATAATAATAATACAAAACGCCTTGAATTAGAGAAAAAAGCACAATCAACCATTAAAGTAATGGCTCCTAAATTAAAGTTAGGCGCTATTTATAATAAAAATGAATCTTCATGCGTGAACAGCCACCCTTCGAGGTGGATGATTTTCCTCAAAATGAAATGGGATCACTATGGAAGTACTCCCTTTCCAACAAAAAAAGAATCATGAAAATCGGTTCACAAATACAGGAGTTATCGCGTAACAGACACAAAAAATAAAACTCCTTTTTTGAAGTCGGTTAAAAATCAGTTTCATTCGATTGTTTTACTATAGGGAGAATGGCGACGCTGTCCTACGCGACGTGGTAAACCATATCGAGAGTGCCTTCTTGGGGGATAGTACGTATTTAGTGGAATTGATAAATATTTCATAATGAAGTAAAAGTGTAAGAAATGTAATATTTAAATTAAAAATAAAAATGTGTACGATTTACGAATGTACATTTTGTAGGATCAACACATTATGCCATTGATCGGTATTTAGGTCAACGCACTGGAAATGCATAAAAGACGAAATGCACTTCAGTTCTAAAACTCACACGCAAGTCATCGCACATTACATCTATTATTTATCATTCAACAGTTCTTTAAACAATAAAATTTCTACATTTTATCAGACTCTTATCACTGAAAGGTAAACAAACCGTACAACTGTTAAAAATAAAATATTGTTAAATATTAAGATGTTAGATGTTATTGAGCTGGTAATTAAGTAACTTAAAATACAAATATAATTTCATAAAGCAATTTACCACGTTAATAAAACAAAACTAGAATTAAAACATGTTAAACATTAAAACTTATCTCCAGGTGCTTGAATGGACCTGTCGTCCAATTTGAACTTCGGTGGATACATTGAATCCATGGCCAAAAATGTAGCAAGGAAGCTTGGCATCCTTTCCAGGGTGAGGCGTTACTTGACATCGGTATAGTTATGCACACACTCAACATAGCCGCGCACTAGGGAAACCGTGTCGCGGGTGCCATGGACACACACATAGACAACCACAAATTAAACCCAAACTCACGAGAGAAATAAATGTAGGGCATACAAATATTTCTCCCGGCCCGGGAATCGAACCTGGGAACTCTGCGTGGCAGTCCGGCATGGTAACTGTTCGGCCACGGAGGCAATTGCTTCGGTACAGCTGTACCGAGCACAAGTCCGGTCGTGCATGGAGTACTGCTGCCACCTTTGGGAAGTCTCTGCTACATACCAACTGGCCACTTTGGAATCAATTGACAACCGTGCCAAAAGGCTTATAGGTCACTCGGAATTAGTGGAGACTAAGCTGCAGAGCCTTGAACACACCCGTAAAGTTGCCTTTTTATCGGTATTTTACAGGATATATCACTTAGAGTGTCTTAGAGAGTGCGATGGAATGACACGATTTAATTCCGCCTTCCCATTTCTATCACCGGGGGACTAGGCATAGGCTTGGGTTCCACCCCTATGTTGTGGATATTCCAAAGATTACTGCAGACTTGTTCCTTGAACGATATAACTTGGACCTTTTCAAGGCGAGAGTGTATAGGCATTATTTAGGTGTGCATGTTCCATATCGTCGACCTCATCTTCACTTTCCATCAGGTGAGATGGAGCTCAAATGCGCAATTTACATTTTATAAAAATAAAAATTAATGTAGCAAAATATTTTTTTTGCACGATTTAAGCGTGAAACGGGTCGACGATAGACGACACAACACACCGAGCCACCGTCCCCGACCCGCTCTCTGTGTGTTTCACGCTTTATCCTTTACTGGGTTCGCAGAATAACAACTTAATTTACTTTAATTTTTAATACGTTTTTGTCAATAAGTTGACGGAGTTAACAACCTTTCATCAGTCATTAAATATTCATTATTATTTCCATGAATATAATGAGTCAATCATTTGTATTCTCTGCGCCAGGACCAACAGCACCATTCTCAGCCAGAATTCTTAGTCTTAGTTATGCGAGTAGCGAAACACAATTTAATAATATATAATATAATTTTCATAATTTAATTAAATAATTAATATTAACATTCTATATTGAAATACCTGTGACGTCTATGCTACTTTTTCTATGGAGCTACCATATTATACTATAAATGAATGGTGTGCAACGCGACAATGTGAGCACCCTGACAAATATAGCTGCGCCGATTTGTACGGGCGAGTTCGCGAAACGAATGAGTCCAGGGCGATTCGCGTGGCGGCGCGTATTCGAGTATCACTATCGAGAGCTAGGTCGGGCGTGCGCGCTCTCGCGCCGCGCCTTTTGAAGTCGGCGGATCCGAATAGGCCGCCACGAGCGCGTTAGGGTGGCCCTCTTCCCGCAGCGCATTTGCTTGAAACGCACAGCGCGGCCCGTGGGAAGCCGCCTTTACACTACGTTTCTTGTTATGTATGCTATGATATGTGTTTGGATATCTTCTGGGCATTTCGACAGAGAACCGGCAACACTGGTTTATACTTTTGCGGTTTGAATTAAATTACAGTTATTTTTACAAAAAAAACAATGTAAGTAGCTTCCTTCCTTATAAAGACTGGAACTGGAGTCGAATAACAGGAAGTTATGATATGACCCGCTTAAAACTTCATTTTGATGACTTAAAATATTTTTGTTGTTGATTGAAACATCACGCTATTTTTGCTGCTACAATACACCCTGCACATAGATACACACCATACTGCATTTATTTGATTTCGGTTCAAAGTGTGATAAAATCAGTCAACCGACAGAGAAAAAACAAACAGAAAAAAAAATAAAAGCTTGATTTCTGATTTCTTTACCGTTATATTAGTCCTTTTTAAATAATGTCGAAATATATCTGTTTCCATCTCTATATTAGTCTACAACAATGGCTCTGTTAAAATTGTATGCGTTTTTTTTATAAGTTAGCATTCTGACAATCTCGAAACGTGACTAGACTAAATAAATAAAATAACCATTGTTTGACTTGACCGTTGATTCTATACAAAATACGAGATGGGAATATTAACGACATGTACCGCGTAGTCTTTTGTAGGAATAGAATAGAGCGACTTGCTTACTTACATTTAGAGTTGGGTCATGGAAAAAATCGTAAAACAATATTTTTTTAATGTTTTGTATTACGAGTCGTGCACCTAACGTGAGTGCCCTAAGTGATACGCGTGTACAGCAGTTGCAATGCTACTCAGAGATTCAAAGGGGAAAGACAAATTTTAATGTGCCTGTACTTTCACTAGCACCATTAACATTTTCGCCTGACGCGAAATTAGTTAGACTTTTGAATAAATTAAACAATATGATAAGACGCAGACTGTCACCATCTTTTTCAGTAAGAGTATACTATCAATTTTAACCGTCTTCAAAAAGGAGGAGGTTCAGAATTCGACTGTTTTTATGTATGTTACTCCGTCATTATTGAATATGATTATTTTAACAAAAAAATAATATATTATATAATAAGTGATTCCATTGGAATTTGAAGAGAATATTCCACCTCTAAGCGCCTTTGCACACTGCATCCGACTCGTATTCGTTCCGCATCCGAGACTAAACAAGTCGTCCTTCGAATCCGACAAAATACGAATATCTCTTGCACACCTACATATAAAATTTCTCGGACTAATGAAGATGTTACCATTATTCACTTACGTTTTGCGCTATTTTTTTTTATGCAAGTAGATTAGGTGCTTTTGTGAAGCTATACGTACCTACTATAACGCAAAAAAAGGAGCTGAAATTTCGTGTGCCCTGAGTGGTCAAATTTCAAAATAGTTAAGCCGGATTTACATTTGTCTGACGTGTCGTGTCGTGACGCGTCAGAATGGTATTTCATACACACAACACAAGCCGTCACGTCAAATTGCGACACACTAATATAAATCTAACCATATTAAATATATGAAACCGATACCGTTCTGACCATCACGACACGATACGTCAGACAAACGTAAATCCGGCCTTTAATCTTGGTTAATATTTTTGGCGGATAATACTTTAAATATATGTTAAATAAGAATGATAATGAATAACTATTTACTTTCATACTACACACACTTAACTGTATGTATTTATTGCAAATATTAGTTTTACAAGTATTTATTCAATATAGGAGTACACACTGCAATAACACGATATACATAATAAGACTTAAAATATTTACGTAATTTATTTTCACTTCGCGACGCACACATCCGTCACTCGCTCGGCTAAGGTCCATTGAAAACCAGCATCACAGCTTATTCTCGACTGTGATTTTAGCTGAATGAGATTCTTTTGCATACGCCACGGCTGCGCACATGTCAGTATAGCATTATGTAATTATACGTGTTTAAATGTTTGCTACGCTGTTTATTGTGTTATTTTTGTTTTTATTTTTATACGTTTTTTGCGTCTTTTTTTTTGATACTAAGTGATGCGACGAACTAGTCGCGCGCATTTGGCGCAGGCGCAGTAAGTGACACGCCTGTCCATAACAGTTGCAGTGACAATCAGGGGGCCTACCATAACCTTTCCGAAAACAATCTTATTTCAATGTAAGCTTAAAGGAAGCTTGTTATAACACACTCCCGGACACATAATTCGAGCCACCTCGCATTTTTAGTATTAAATGCCCTGAGCTTAAACAATGTTTGATTGCAAAAACTATTAAGCAATTTTGAAACTAATGTACTAAACGTCTTTTCCATAAATCCTTGTTGGAAATTTGGATTTGCGAAACCGGGGAAAAGTCTTCGACGATAACACTACTTTTGTATTCTAAGCTCTTTAAGATATAAATGCGAGGTGGCTCGAATTAAGTGTCCGGAAGGATATTACTCATATTCGTACTATGACAAAGTTGTCAAACAAGTAATATATTATTGCTAAAGTGACTGAAAGAACCAATGATTTCCCAATATTGCCTATTCCTTACTAAAAAATAGGAAAGAAATAACACTATATGACCTGTATAATAGCATCTTTTTCTTTTTTGATGTTCCGAATCGTCCTATCGTGGTATAATGTTAAAGTACTTAATATAATTTACATTCAGATAATTTTAATTGCCAAAAAAAAGAAAAGTAGGTATGTAGTAATTAAGTCTTTTAAAATTACGTTGTTTTCAATTAATTTTCTGCACTTTCATCAACAAAAATATAAAACATGCTGCGTCTTGATTATCAATCACGTGTGAATTCGGAATTATAGTCTAGTGTCAACTGTTAGTATCGCCCAGGAGCATATAGATGTCACTGTAATAATTTTACGAAATATACGTCGCGTATTTTTATTTCACGAGAAATTATTTTCTATCGTACTATTAAATAAAAAATAAATAAAATATTGAAGAGATATATGTAAATAAATAAGTTCAACTTAACTTTTAATCATTACAAATCAATATTTGGACAATAAATTCGAAAATAATACTTTTCCCATTGCATCTGAGTAACTGTATATTTTAAGATTGCTAAATTTGACATAAGACAATATTACTTTAATGTTAAAGTCGCGACAGAGTACGAACACAGTGAATGAATAGTCAAACAACAAAGCTGCCAATAAAACATTATAGTTTTAACATTATAATAAGCTTACTTTAAGCGCGTCATGGTACGAAAAGTCAACTTAAGGTTAAAGTAATATTGTTTTAAGAGGTTGTGGTAGGCCCCCAGAGCTTTAAATCGCGAAGATATAAGGGGCACTCCCACTGCGACTGTCACCCTGTGACATAAGTTGACAAATCCCATGTGCCTGTAATTTCACCAGCATCCTTATTATCTTTCAAACCGGAATGCAGTAATGCTCACATTACTGCTTGGCGGCAGAAATAGGCAAGGTGGCAGAACTCTTTCACGAGGAGCTTTACTGCTACAGACAGGTCACATACTCGTATGTTGTACACCGGCTGTTGTAGGTACATTAGCTTACTCTGTGATACTTACATTACTATTCTGTGTTGTCATTGTAATTTTTAATGTGTATTAAAGAATATTTCATTCATTCGTTCATTTCCATGTGACTTTATTATACCTTATACCAAAAGTTACGACATATTCAGAGAACGGTCAAAGTATCTTGAGCCTGCGAATCAATAGTTATTTGTTATACAAGGCTGCAATGTTATTGTTTGACGCGAGTGTTTGTATTGAAACCTGAGCAAGCGATTTGATTCAAAAATAGAATCCTGTGCGTAGCGAGGGTTTCAGGCCAAAAGAACTTTGCTCTCGAGCGAAACACGTACTCATTATAGCGAGGAAAATGGTAGATGAAAGAAAAACAGTTGAACTATAACAAATCAGTATTAATAAACAAAATTAGTCATCGTTGGCAATTTAATGTCAACAATAATGAGAATAAAATATACCAATAGATGTACTACATAAATAATGTACGACAAATCGCGTAGTTGAATGTCTCACTATGTTTTTATTTTCATCAAAATAAAAAGTTAGGTGCACCACAGTCCATCGTCAAGTTCGAATTTCAAAAACCTTTTTCAGGATAGCGTGGAAAAAAACGCTTTTGCGCGCAGATTTCTAATGAGAAAGAAAGCCTTTCCGAGCTAGTGACGTTTTATTCAACATGTATTAATTGTTTTCAGGGCTACGATAAGTTCCCGATCTGTATGGCCAAGACTTCCAACTCTCTAACAGGAGATCCGTCCGTCAAAGGTGCTCCGACTGGCTTTACTCTCCACATCAGCGGCATATTCGTTTCCGTGGGGGCAGGCTTCGTCGTCCCAATGGTAGGAGAGATCTCCAAGATGCCTGGCCTTCCAACCCGACCCAGTATCTACGACATTGACTTGAACACCAAGACTGGTGAAATTGATGGACTGTTCTAATTCTAAATGTTATGTTACAATTTTTGTTATTTTGAATTTTTAATCCTGTGTAATGAATTAAATTTTTTATAATAATTGTTTAATGACTTGTTTCATTTTTAAACCTAAATGGGTGTGGAGACCGACAAACTTGATTCCCTTTGTTTTTTTCGTCGTTATTCTCTTTGATAAATATTCAATTTTGGTTTTAACTTGCTTTTAACCGTTATATCTGTGGGTTCTTGTGAAAAATTTGCCTATACATATTTTTTAATTAAAAATAAACACGCATTTGACCAGTTAGCGACTTCCTATATTAGCGTCTTTAAAGCATCAGCGTCTTGCCAACGCTCGCTGCTGTGTGTACGTTGGCAAAACCCTCTGACGCTCGAAAGAGCTAGTGTGGGGGGGGGGGGGGGGGGTCTCTAAAGTGTTACATTCAAGTAGAATTTTTGTACGGATAAAATAGTTAAATTTGTTTCATATTTTTGATGGAATATATTTTGATATTAATAACAATTCTAATAAATGACCATTTGCTTTCACACCTAATCAGTTTCTTTGAAATTAACAGTAATCACTGAGTGATCTTCACCTCTGATAAAAAAATGAATACACCCCTTTGTTGACGTTGATGGAAATTTGTAAATGACCAAAGTAGATGTGTTTGCTAAAAATAGTAGTTAACTACTTTGGTGGGAATCCAGAGTAAAAACCGGTTTGGTTTTTACTCTGGTTTAGATCTGGTTTAGATCCACAAAAATATCTCTTGATTATAATAAGATAAAATCATTGGTAATAAATAAAGATGTTGTTATATGTTAATACTCGTGTATGCCATTGTCACAGTAAAGGTCGTGATCGTTAGTCGTAACAAGTTGAGGAAAATGCGAACTGTGTTTGCTCAAAGCATGACTTGACACACCCACAGCTTATTCAATTACCGTTTAATACAATAAAATATACGACACAACATAAGGCACGATAATATACTGGCTTCGGAGATACCATCGCGCATGCAAATGTCGCTTAGAATTTTGGTCGGCTTAATGACGGTGTCTGGAAATCCCATGGCCTGAAATGAATGAGAAATGTGGTACTTTACAAACCAAACATGAGAAAACTTGACACATTTCATCACGGTATCTCAGATCACTCCTGAACATTAAGTGGCAGGAGCGTGTCCCAAATACAGAGATCCTGCAACGTTCTATATATGTATGGCATGGAGGCTTTACAAATGCAGTGCTAACTCAGATGGCGAGGGCACGTCTATGGCATAGAGGACCACCGTTTGCCTAAAGTTGTCTTCTACTCCGAGATGGCGGAAGGTAAACGGAAGCATGGTGGTCAACATCTTCGCGATAAGGATGTGCTCAAGATGTATTTACACGTTTTGCGCTATTGAACCATCAAGTCGGAAGAGGTTTGCCGCACATAGGTCATCTTGGCGATCTACTATCTATGAAAATGTAAAAACATTCGAAGAAAAGCGACTCGAAACATTAAACGAGAAACGCCAAATACGTAGAGAAAAACCTAAGCCCTCTGGACGAAGGACTTATTATATTAACATTATGTAGAACATTTCGTTTGGTACTTAATGTTTTCTGATGAAATTACATTAATTAATTACTAGGAAAATGTGTGGTGTACGTGTAATTTTACACGCAGCTCTGAATATTTTACCTAATTTTAGGATCGCATCGTAACTACTTTACAATGATTTATAGCACTTTGGTCTTTGGATATAGAAACTATTAGGAATTCAAATTGATTACAGTATGTTATAAAAGTCAATCATAAGCTACTAACTACATACACACATCAAAAAAAGTTTGCGATCACTTCGAAAAACTGAAATCTTTTTTGTTACTGTAGATTATGTTATGATTTTTTCTTCTTTTTAGATTCTTTATTTAAAAATAAATTAGAACATAAAACAATGACCCCGTTCTATTGTTTTTTCATATAAAAAGGCTTTCAGTCCTAGCTTACGCTCATTCAGAAATCTGATTTAGTCAATTATAAGCGATTCAAGATATTTTTCGCGGAAAGTTGTGATTGAAAAAATGCCAAGAGGATTATCAGAGGTTTTACGAGCTAGAATAGTAACTTTGAGGGAAGAAGGATACACCACGAGAGTAATAGCACGCAGACTTGCTATATCCCAATCCTGTGTCGTGGCTACGTTGCAGAGGTATCACGGAATGGGGAATTTAGCTGACCGACCCCGCAGCGGTCGCCCAACTGTTTTGACAGCTGCCCAAAAGCGCTATATTAGATTGCTGGCAGCCCGTGATCCAACAATCAACGCCACTAAAATAAAAGCAGAAGTCAGGGCCGCCTCTGGGCTTGAAGTTAGCACGCAGACCGTTTGCAATAGCTTGCACCAGGCTGGATTACGAGCACGGAGGTCTTGGCGAGCTCCGCTCAATTCCCGGCAACGTCAACAACGAAGATTGCAGTGGGCTAGACTTCGGCAAAATGAAGAAGGTGAGGACGAAAACATTTGGCAAAACTGTCTCTTCGTTGACGAATCCCGAATCAGCACTCATCCAGATAACCGACGTGTCCGTGTCTGGAGAAGACCAGGCGACCGTGAAAGACAAAGAACTGCCACTGGAACAGTTCAGCAAGGCGGAAAATCGGTGTCCTTTTGGGGTGGCATTATGATTGGAGCTAGAACGCCTTTGATCCAGTATCGGGGCTTCATGACAGCAGACATGTACAAAGCAGTTGCTATTGATGATATCGTCAGACCATTCCGAGTAAACAATGGGCACCAATTTGTACTGGTCGATGATAATGCGCCCGCACATCGAGCTCAACGAGTCAATGCAGCTCTTCAAGAATACGATATCACACGATTAGACTGGCCTGCCGGCTCGTCCGACTTAAACCCAATAGAGCACGCGTGGGATGCTCTTAAACGAGCAGTATGGAACCGTGAGACACGTCCCCAGACAGTTCCAGAGCTCAGGGAAGCCGCTATTGAAGAATGGGATAGGTTACCCCAGGAAATGCTGGATAACTTGATCCTCAGCATGCCCAGGAGGATCTTCGCATGTATTCGAGCCAGGGGAGGAGTTATTTTATATTGAATTCACACCTTTTAATAATAAATTGTTGTTTAAGTTTAATTAAACAGTCTTTTTCTTTCTATGAAATTTCTATCACTATTACATTATGATTAATGGCTCAATTTTTTTAAATAAATAATAAAAAATAGTTTTATATTTTAATTTCAAACAGGGTATTCCTATTTAAAGAAAGCATACAACATAGATTTTTTCTTGATAAAGTTAAATTTAAAGAATTATAGGAGCTTATGCTATTGATCGCAAACTTTTTTTGATGTATATTGTACCCTTGACAAAGCCACAAGTGACACGTCTTCTTATCGTATCGATGGCATTTATTTTTTTAACATAAAGTGACGGGACGAACAAGTCGTGCGCCTGATGGTCAGCTACACGCCTGTCTATAACAGTTACAGTGCCACTCAGAGCTATAAATTTGCTATAAATTGCAAAGATCTGAGGGGCACTAGGGGGACAAGTTCCATGTGCCTGTAATTTTACCAGCACCCTTACCCATAGAAACCGGAACACAGTAATGCTGACATTACTGCTACAGAAATAGATAAGGTAGCAGTCCTATCCTAGACGAACTCTTTCACAAGGAGCTCTACTGCTAATAAGCATACAATATAATGCTTGCCATCGTTCTGAAAGTATTTGCTAATCGGCGTAAGGTACTCGCCGATTGCTGCCAGGGCGCGCCAGGCTGGCCAGACATACAGGTAAAGAATGGTACGTTGTGCGGGGAGGCACCTTTTATGCACCTCTATAAATCAAAATGTGCACATTCATGGAACAAATTACGTGTATGTTAAATTGTAACTTACCTATTTAAGCTTAAAGTTACCTTCTAATTTCCTATCCTATAATTAATTACCTTTTATGGAGAAAGGTTTTCTCCAGAAAAGGTTTTTATTTTTTATTTATTAAAGCTATGCTTAAACTATCATTACAGTGTATGTACCCAACACAATAGTCTAGACCATAGTTTCCCAAATTGGTCCCTACTGCCCCCCCAGTGGGTGCTGAAGAGTCCTAAAGGGACGGTAGGAGCCTCGGAAGCAATTGGGGAGCGTTGATACTGTTCAGACGGTGCTACCACATTTGAAAACAAAAACCAGAATTATCTATACAAACTACACTACAAATATATTTTTTTCCTAGTGATTTTTTGTGTTAAGTTAATATAAGAATAAGTGTTTTCAATTATTTATTGTGGCGGTGGGCGTTAAAATTTTTTATCTTGTGCGATGAGCCAAAAAGTTTGGGAACCTATGGTCTACACAATATGATTAATATTTACAAATAGACTTTTTACTTATCTAACTTAGTTGTCATTTTGAAGATATGGCCTCGTTACATTTAGAGTTCTATCCATTAAAATTCCGTTGAAGTTTCACTTACAGCATCTATACCTGTAGCGTTCAAATTTGCTGTTAGAAATATGACGTTTGCAAGCTTCCCCTATAGCCATAGGGGAATTCAGTCAGCCGATTGTACCAATTTTTTTGATTAATTAAATATTAAAGAAATCGATTCAAATCACTGTTTTTGGGTCGTTTTATTTTTGTATTTGAGTATTATAAATTATTTTTATGTGGTCCTTTGCCCGAGTGGCATGCATAATGTGTTTTAATATAAATCCAAGAGCCGCTAAGTAACATTTCCCAATCAAGGCGACCTTGAAAAACAGGAAAGGAACTGTCGTTTTATACTAACTTTAGGTATACAGGAGTACGTTCTACTTATGATCTTTTACTAAAACGGACAGAATAAGAGCAACTTTTCATGAACCAGTTATTGTTTTATGTGTATGTATAATAAATTTTGTGCTTATACTTAATAAATTGCACGCGTGTATTCAATACAATGCTTTAACTGTACCTACTTATTTTCAAAGTTACATGAATCACAACCGTCGCCGGTTGGTACGTACATATAAAAGGGAGTCGATTTGGCGGCACGCACTATATTTGTACAACCTACTAAAGATCTGACGTTCCGTTGTGTGGTGTTCTTTACGACTTTAGTTGACAATTTCTTTTTATTGTTATTAGTGTTTTAAATTGAATTAAATATATTTTATGAACATTTACTGACTAACATAGTGAAATATGGAAAGGGTTTTAGTGGCGTATCTGTTACTTATTCTCGCGGGTATTGGATACGCGTCTCAAACACCTTTATGTTGCCCTGGAGGAGAACCAGTACTTTTGAGAAGGCCAGGAGTGTACCATTGCTGGGACTCCAAGAATGACGTTAAGTGGCCGATATCTTTAAAATGTGATAACCCTGGTCATTTACCACAAGGCGATGGACTAGGCCTGGTTGTGGATCAAGATGGTAATTTGAATGTGCAGATGAAGAACCGAGATATTTCTTACCAACGAAATAAGTAAGTACTCACTATATGTGCTTATGACACAAACTTTTCAAAGTTCAAGTCTTTTACGGAAAACAAAGTTACGCAGACACTATTTTAACAATAATAATAATAATAATAATGATATTGGATTTCTGCGTGTCGCATCCAGCATAAATGCAAAAGGCCGTCCTGCTCGATGTGGCACATATTGTTCGCCGGTTTTTGAACCTGAATTCCTAACCTCGACCGACTGTGCCATTGCCGGGGAATATTGTTTCTGCCATTTGAAAACTCAAATTAATCTTTAAGGCCATGGGAGAAGCGAGAGTGTAAAATAGATAATAATAACCATAATAATAAGTGCCAGACAATCCACACCCTTGCCTTTCAAACTAGGGCTCAAACTATATAATAAACATGAAAAAATATAGTTTATTTAAAAAGTGCACACTTACAATAGATCAATTATATCTGTGAGGATCAAATAACATTATCTCTTTACTTATTTAATTCCAACTTATCTACAGCTGTCGTTATAGGTTGATGGTTGTACCTAATGTGATAGTATATATACAACAAGTCTTACTTAATGACTTTAACAATAGCTAACTTAATAACTACTTAATTATTATTATTATTATTATTTTCGTATTTATTTTAAACTCTCGCCTCTCCCAAGGCCTAAAAAATTAATTTTGAATTTTTAAATGGGAGAGGCGGTATTTCCCGGCAATGGCACAGTCGGCCGGGGTCAGGGACTCAGGTCCAAGAATCGGCGAACAATACGTGCCGTATCGAGCAGGACCGCCTTCTGCATTTGTGCTGGAAGCGACACGCCATTATTATTATTATTATTATGTTATCAGAACCACAAAGTCGATTTTACGAATTCTCTCAAGGAGCAACTGCATATTATATGTATACACAAAACTAGTGAAAGCATTTAGGGTTACGCAAGGTTAGGGTAAAGGGCGTTCCTTTTAACAAGTAAAATTAAAAATATAAAGTCGATGCCTTACTTTCTCAAACTCGTATCTTATAAAGATTGATTATTCAGGAGATGGCAAAACTTTCTATTTGGTTTAGTATTTATTTTAGGCGGTAGTTCTGCCGCATTCTCTATTTCTGCCGCCAAGCAGAAATGTCAGCATTGTTGTTTCCGGTTCTGAAGGGTAAGGGTGCTGGTGAAATTACAGGCACATGGGACTTGTCAACTTATTTCTCAGCGTGACGGGCGCAGTGGTAGTGCCCCTTAGATCTTCGCGATTTAAAGCTCTGAGTGGCACTGTAACTGTTATGGACAGGCGTGTAGCTGACCATCAGGCGCACGACTTGTTCGTCCCGTCACTTGATGTTATAAAAAAAAATTCTTATCAATGGTGTTAACTTGGATGCATTTCTTTAAGAATAGGTAAAAGCTATTGTGTAAATATGAAGGTAACGTGATGTGAAATCAGCCTGCAAAATGTGTACAATCCAATTTTTAAACAACTTTGTGCTTTATATCAATATCAAATATTAGTCTAATGCTGAGTTCACTAGTCTTTCACTTGCGTTTTTCGCTTGCTTGCGTTGGCTGGGTACACGGTCGGCGCAAGCGAGCGACTCGTGAACAGTCCTACCTGCGCGTACGCGACAGATCGCTGCGTATGCGCGAAGCGAGCCACGCAAGCAAGCGAAAAACGCAAGTGAAATACTCGTGAACATACGAACGACGTTACGATACAGCGTGATCGCAGGTTCATTCACGTTCTGTCCAGTCGAAGGAATTTTCTTTGTGTCCGATTTTTGTATTCATAATTATATTAGTCTAACTTTTTAAATTTGTCTAATGACAAAAACTGCTTTAGTTTTTTATTGTTGCTGTTTATAATACTGTAAACAGAGACAAGGTTTATCAATTTCGAGAGATAAGGTTCTAATTTGCACAGATTCTAGAAATACGCTTCAACACTTGGTTAATTTAATTTGAGGAGTAAAGGTATACGAAATATAAAGCTCTGAAACTGATACACGATTCCAGTATTAAAAACCGAACAATCATGAGTATTGGATTCCATCACACGTAGGCATATTGGGTTACGAGTGGCAGATAAACTTGCTAACGAAGCTGATGGCGTGAGCATGATTTGTAAGCAGACTGCTAGTGAATTTATTTCTCTAGCTAGAGATATTTGTTATCTGAGTGGCACTGCAACTGTTATGGACAGGTGTGTATCTTACCATGAGGCGGTACTTATTCGTCCAATATTTATTGGTGTATTATGTTACAAAAAAAAACATAATGTGCATTGGTAAGGGGGTGTCCACAACAAAGAAATCTCTGACTCAGAGAATATGCAAGGCTATTAAAGACCTGATAAGCATAAAAAGTCGCTCCGGTCTCTGACGCACGCATTAATCTATTTTACTGTAAGTTTATCTAATAAAGTAATAACAAATACCATAAATGTATACGAAATATGTCGCAATAACAAAAAAACCCAAGCAGGATGCACTCATTTAGAGTAACTACCAACTTGAGATATTAATCACACTGTAGTGTAGCAACTTTCACATTTAATACGCAATATTTCAACTCAGTGCGAATGGCACAAGGTTCAACTTTCAATGGGAAATAGCTGCGGTATACCTAATCCTCATAAGTACAAGTATTGTGTTCTGGTGACTCATTTAGATTGGCAAATTGGTACAGAGAAGAGTTGAAAAGAATACTTACTAACGTATACGTAACTATTAGTTGAGGTAGAGTTCCTTGTGAAAGACTTCCTCCAGGGAAGTACTGCCTTACCTATTTCTGTCGCCAAGCAATAACGCCAGCAGTACTGTGTTCCAATTTTGGTGTTGGGTAAGGGTGCTAGTGAAATTACAGGCACATGGACTTGTCTCAGGGTGACGGGCGCAGTGGCAGTGTCCCTCAGATCTTTGTGATTTAAAACTCTGAGCGGCACTTCAACTGTCTTGGACAGGCGTGTAGCTTACCATCAGATAATATAACGCACGACTTATTCGTCCCGCCACTTGATATTATAAAAAAATAAAAATGTAACATTGTTAAAAACATTCAAAAATATAGTTACCCTAATCTATACAAATAAAATCTAATGCTACATGCTTTACACAAATAAAACATTACGTCATTGGGAAATTTAGTGACGTAGTTGTAACACATACGGATCTTCTGTAAAGAGCAAAGGTCAATGGCAAAGAGAGAATTTTTATGTTAGGACAGTGACTTACAAATAAATGGACGACGGGTCTAATACAAAAACCACGAAAAAAATGTCCCAAGTCAACCTATTCGAAATTTAAATTGTAAAGTCATCGCAGTATCGCGCTGTCAGTAGAACAAATGAAGACTAAAGCGGAGTTTGGCGCTATGTATACGATTTTAGCGCCTTACAAGTGCGGACACTTTTTAGCGCGGACCCGACGTCCATATAATTGTAAGTCAATGTGTTAGGAGGATAAATAGACAAAAAAAAATTTTCGCACGCAGCATTTTTTTATTGTGGAAAATAAAAAGACTGCGTAGAAAAAAACCGCTGTAATTTTTTTATTAACGCTCCGATCGCGACCAACTTTTGTCGGAAACTCGTCCTCTTCAAACACCCAATGCGTGGATTGCTGCTTCATGAGAGGATAGTAGCTGTAGATCCAAAATTCGTCAGTTGTAAGAATGTAGGATACGTTTTGCGAAGTTCCTTCCTCCTTCGAACTTTTCTAACAAAAATTTGCAAACTTATTGGTGCAGATAAAGAGATATCTATCGCGAAGCAACATTCCTTTAAAGTTAGGTGTTCATGCAAGATAGTGGAAACTGCTTGTGATCCAATATTTAGTTCAGCTTGAATCTCCCGTAGTGTGATATGTGTGTTCTCCCGCAATAGCTACTATACTCTGATGACATTTTCATGAGTTACTGCAGTTGGTGGTCGGTCGAATCTGCAGTCATCGTATAGGTTCTCGCGACCAAGTTTAAATTTTCGAAACTAATAAGTAACTTTTGTAACTCAGGAGTAGACTGCCAAAAACAGGTTGTATATTGTCGTAAGAGTCCTTGAAAGTTAATCCTGGCTTATAACGTAAAGCTTCTCGCGAGACGTCCATTATTGCAAACAAAAGAAGACTGAAATCATTGACTTATTTTATTTGTAAGTCAATGACTGAAATATACATTTTAAAAATATTTAAGAAAATAACTACACATAGGTGGCCAATGATTTTGACCAAGGAGATTTGTATATTATATATATATATAAAATATATATTATATTTACTCTGTGGCTAACTATTTTTGGAACAGCCCTCATTAGCATATAGGATGGAAAAAATAAAGGAAGTAATGAGTCATGGCACTGCGTCAATTCTGATTATATATTACATCACAACTGCAATAAAAAAGTGACGTAAATCAAAAAGCAACACTTTTGGAAGTTTGACTAGCCAAATGGCATAATGGCATACGTAATTTAGTATAAGGTAATTTAGTTCAGCTTGAATATATATATATATATGTATATATATATTTACATACTATTTATACATATATTTATATACATACTATAAGCCAGTGGGAGAAAGGTTGGTTCTTAATTGACGCGATGGTTCGAATCTCTGTGGCGTCAAATACATGACGTCTAAAGTTACATACATTTGTTAATGTTTACTCATAATATCTCTTGCTAATGTTGAAAAGGAATATTGTAATGGCATCTGCAAGTCGCAGAAGGTTCACAACCCTAACCAAAACCAGCAACGAGAATTGAGTGCGAAGCTGATGATGATCTTCTATAAGTACAGTCGATACCCTGAAATACCTGACCCCTAGCCAACCTTTTGTTTCTGAGAGCCTTCTTGCGCATTTAAAGGAAAAGTGTAAAGGGTTTCCAGCTTTTTGGTTCAAATTTGTATTCATGTAATCTATAATTACTTTACATAAATATCAAATTGGATTAATCCAATTTGATATTTATGTAAAGTAAAGTATATGTATTTTTTTTTAAAAATTGTTATGAAATGCAATGAAATGAAATGAATTTTGTTTATTTGTGTGATTTTTTGGTGTAACAATTTGATGTTTAGTAAGTAATAGTAATAAGTATCACAAAAAATCTACCAATAATGGCGGACAAATATTCTAAAGTAAACTATTACAAATTGTTGAAGTCATTAGTTCAGAGTATTACATTTAAATCTATTATTATCTTATAATGAATTTATAATTGTCATTTAAGATGTCAATATTAAATTATCATTAGATTTTACTATTATGATTATATCACATTAAACATTGCATAGTACAGATTAGATGATATATATGTCAGTTGTACAGATGTCAATCGGTTTATTTGATTTGCGAGTTATTTTTGCATTCCAGAAATTCATTTACAACAACCTTTAACTAGCATTATATTTATTTCACGTCTAAATGCATTTAGTGGCAATTATCTTAGATCACTAGGTAGCGAGTTAAAAATTTGGGCTATTTGTGGGCTATTTTCAATGCTTGATAATCGGCAATATGGTGCCCGCAACATGATATGAAATTGATGTCGAAGTTGATGTTTCCTTATGTTTACTTTTTCCACGTTTAAAAAAAGTCAAGGTACTGTTTTACAAATGTGGCTATCTGCTTTATGTAAATGCATGGGAGTGGGAGGATATTCAACTTTTTGAATAGAGGTCTGCATGACTCTCTATAGTTAGCTTTGCATATTAACCTTATACATTTTTTTTTATTTTAAATACATTGTCTATATTGGTACAGTTTCTCCACAACAGCAAATTATATTGTAGGATTGAAGCTACATAAAACGTCAAAATACATAAACGTAAAAATTCTTAAAACGTCATTCACTAATGATGGAATAAGGAAATCATACCAAAATGAATATTACGACTTAAATCTATTACTGTGTCCTTTCTTCACACAGATCTACTCAGGATCAAATAGAGGACGGTTAGGAGGTCACGTATCTTAAGGCATCGACTGTACCTATGTACCTATAGTACAAATAATTACTATGTAGGTAGGTAAGCCGCAGCGTGTATAAATCGTGCTCAGACTTAGTTGACGTCATTCAAGCAATTTTAAAAACTGGTTTAACTGCATCGCAAACAGATCACTATGATACCATATTATACGGTGACTAGGAATGCCGATAATCTCGAAAATTAACCGAAACATCCGGGTTTGCTTATTGTCCAATTATCCATTGTATATACAGGGATTTCTTTAATTTTTATTTCGTTGCAATTTTAATAATTTTAATTTTATTTTACTTTTGGTCAGAACACGGAAGGAAATTGAATTAAAGCCCGCCGTAATTACAATGAGAGAATAACAATTACGCAAAATAAATAAAATTTTGCGTAACTACATACCCAATGGGTCTATATATGGGTAAATGTACTTACTTTATAATGGGTATATAATGGGTAAATGTACTTACTTTCATATAAAAAATGCAGCTAAGGGGAGAAAAAGTAATAAATTGGTTATTATACTTACATAAACCTTTCTCCCGAAATTTGTTAATCTGCAGATGTGGCCTTGTGGCCAAGGCAATGGTGCGAATTAATGCTGTAATTTTACAACTTTGTATTTTTTATAATATCAAGTGACGGGACGAACAAGTCATGCGCCAGGTTGTAAGCGACACGCCTATCCATAACAGTTGCAGTGCTTTAAATCGTAAAGATCTTATAGTAATGAAGCATACACTCATAGCCTCCCATTGGGAAAACTCTGTATCGCGGGTACCATGGACACACACATTGGTAGACAACCACAAATTACACCAAAGTCACGAGAGAAATAAATACAGGCCATACAAATATTTCTCCCGGCCCGGGAATCGAACCCGGAACCTCTGCGTGGCAGTCCGGCATGGTAACCGTTCGGCCACGAAGGCAGTTAATGCAGCATTAACTTATGGGCACTGCCACTGCGCCCGTCACCCTGAGATATAAGTTGACAAGTCCCATGTGCCTGTAATTTCACCAGCACCCTTACCCTTCTAAACTGGAATGCAATAATGCTCACATTACTGCTTGGCGACTTCCATGGACTCTTTCACAGGGAGCTCTACTGGTACTGATTATTTCATTGGTTAAATCTAAATATTTAGTGCTGTATATACCTGTAGCGTCTTGGCACCTTATACGGTGAACATACGTGCATAATTTTCTAACAGTTATAGATAATAGTATCATTTGAATAAATAAATGTATAAATTTCAGCTTCTGCATAGCGCAACGAACGAGCCGGACAAACAAGACCGTGAACAGGCGCATTGCAGTAATCTGTATAGAGGAGGAAGTCATCCACATCAGCGAAAGCACCTACGGATACCTCATGATGGTCTCAGCCATCTTCTTAGTAGTCACTGCTTATTTCTACACCTCTAGACATGATTTAAGGTGAGTGATCCTTTTTTCTGTTCTCTGATACCTTTTTTATATAAAAAATCGACCTCGAAAGTTTGTGGAATTACATCTATTTGCCAAGTTTTATTAAATCGGTTAATGGAAAGTGGGTGAAATCCAGTAAACCCAATTCATCCCCTATTTTGCCACCCTTAGAGGTGGAATATTATCTTCAAATTTGAATGGGACCACTGCTGTGATATACCTTTCCCAATAAAAAGAATCACCGACATCTGTTCATAAATATCGGAGTATGTTAATAGTAGTAGTTAGGCGATAAGTGCTTACCGCTAAGTGTATCGCTGACGGTGTTCTGATACGTCTTATACATATATTTATATTACAATCGATCCTTGTAAAATCCCAGTATTCGGTTCCGCACGACTGCACACGGCGAGTAACGTTATTTGCACCTTTCTGAGCGTGTGATTAGGTTCCTTTTTCCTCATAGTGAACGCCTGGTGTCATTAGTCAGACGTAGTAGGCTATTATAACGTACATATTTTCGATTTTGTATGAGTGTGTGTAATAGAGATATCTAATACGTGGTAACTATTAAGTAATCTGTGGCGTAACATACGTAAAAAAACAGTCAAATTGAGAACCTCCTCCCTTTTTGAAGTCTGTTAAAAATAATTAATAACGTGTAAAGGGCAAAGAGCAAAAGCTTAACTTTTAAGATTTAATTTCAAATCAATGCTGCTTTTTTAAGCTCACACGTGCAAAGTGACAAGCAAGTGATGTCCTCTTAACTCTACAATACAGCGCCATCAGTAGTGTAACTAAAGGTTATAAACCTAGTTAGGTAATTCACAATGATGTATAGCTTTGAGATTAGATACGAGATACTTTATTAAAGACTTAAGAATGTATGAGAACATAAATAAACCTGTCGTACCTACATCTTTTTTTTTTAATATCTAAGGTAGTCTTATAAACTTATTGTTATGCTTAGCATGATCTTGATTAATAAAATAAAATAAGTATAGTTAGAAGGAAAAATCCTAAGCTATTATTGTTTACCTTCATTAAACGAATACCTAACATATATATAATATATATATATATAACAACACAAGCCAATGTTTTTTTTTAATTAAGGAAAAAATAAGCGGTCCTAATCAAGGACCTGTTACAGCAAATTTATTTTGTAAAAATGGCAATGATAAGAAAAATAGCCAATTTTCTAATTATACTATGTTATATCATAGACTCATAACTCACGAGGACTGCTAATCGTGATAGAAGTACACATAAAAAATAGCTATTTTTGTAACTAACATGTTTTTCATTGAAAAGCTGCAATTTATCAAAGATATTCTAATTTCTAGTGATAACAAACAAATCAACTAGATGGGTGCTTACTGCACAGATTTTATTGATAGTACCGGCTATTCTTTTATGTAGGATTAGCGCCATCTATCCGTGTTAGGAAGCGTTAATTTTTAAATTAGTTTGTAACACACATTGCCATCTATTGACACGCATATTTGTCAAACTTCAGAAAATAATTTTAGCTCATGATTAATATTCAAATTTGAATAATATCACAACGAAAAAACTGACTTATATTTCATATTATAGAGGAATTAATTGGAATCCACGGCCATTTACATAATATGAACTAATGTGGAGTTTCTCATTTCGACTGCATTTTTTTATATGTTATGTTACGCGATAACTCCGGCCACCCGATTACAGTCCCGCCAGTTCCGAGCCTCAATGCCTACAGTTCAATATCCATAGAAATAATATTTCGCCATAAGGCAACTTTACATGTAGAACGACACAATTAATGAAACGATTTGGTCACTTATTCATTTAGCTAAAGCAGCTGTTTTGTATTTTAAATTAATATTTCAAATATATTTATTTGTTTACAGAGATCTACTGGGCAAGAGCATAATAAGTTTCTGTGCTAGTCTTGCTACCGGACTGGGCATCATGGCGGGCATGAAGCTGGTGCCTTACTCTGACATGAACCTTTGTGCTGTAAGAGGTAAGATTTGTTTGCTCATTAAAATCATCAGGCGCATAATCTGTTGCTAATCTTACACATGCCAAGATTAGACAATCGTATCTATTATATTTATTCTATGAATCCTGTCACCATTTAACGACGAGTTCTTAGGAGATGGTTACTCGCTAGAAAGTATTTTATTATAGCAAAGGAATTTGGCGATATCAGCTTGCATTGTCGAACAAAAGAGTCAGGCATTTGGTAAGGGAAATTGAGATGCGTAGCTAGATTATGGAGACACCGTATTTTACAAATTCCGTTGAATGTTAATCTGGGACTAAATAAATTGATAACATTTTGTTATTGTTGCAGGGTTCTTGGCATACTATTTCTTAATGGCCAGCTTTTTCTGGATGAATGGGATTGCCATTCAAATTGGAGTGACTGTAATGAGGTGAGTTGGGAATTATATGTATGTTACTAATCATCACCAATCAATCATATATGTCGGAGCCAGTTCTCATTTCAAACGTAATGAGATAATAACAGAATTCGGTTTATTGTTTATGAAAATATGCTTTACGAAAGGAGAAATCTTAACTAATATTGGTATGGTAAGGTGTAACGGTGTCCGATATTCGATACCCAGACGCCTATTTTGCGTAAGGAACGCAACGAATAACAATATTATTACGTGTTCTTTTTTAATTAGGTATTAGAGAAACGATTTACAAAGCTACATCTACGAAATAATTCGATCATGGGTTCAAACGTTTTGTCAATTTGATAAATCAAACTGGGAGAGATCGTACAGAGGGTGACGCTGTTGTAGTTGAATATGTTCTGCTTAGTATGAGTTTAGTCAGTCATTGACGTGGTCCTGTGGCATGATGATCGTTGAACAGGGTTAATATATGAAAATAAGGAGTGCAGTTGATGGTTATAGGTGAGTTACTTGGAACGTAAACGTAAAGTAGTTATTGGTTTCAGACGAGAATTGGGTACAAAAATTTATGGCTGGGGTAAATACCTGTGTTACGCGCTGTATGCCTGGGGCGTGCCCGCAATAATGACTGCGTTGATGGCTATAATCAACTTTTTGCCTGGAGATCACCTTAAGCCTGGCATTGGACTCAGTCACTGCTGGTTCTTTGGTGAGTTTAATTATAACAGTATATTTATATACACCGTAATAAAAAAAAAACTAGATAATACGAGAGCAAACCCCAAGTTCGCGACTTTTTAAATTTATTTTTGTTTTTTTTTTGTTACGACGCTATCTTTGAGCATTTTGTTTCACGATCACATGAAAATCAATCTTTAAGCCAATTGAAATATGAGGTGAACTTACAAATATACTGGAAAATGAATTAATGAAGAATGAATGTGGGATTGATAATAGACTGCTTTAATATCAAAAACCGAAACCTAAAGTCCATTCAATTGCTTATGATAATTATCGTCTAATGATACAACTGTGTGACTATATTACAACAAAAACATTATTTTAGACGTGAAACAACAATGGCAATACATGTACAGTACGATGGCGGCACTCATTGTTTTCAACATTGGTATCTTCTTGTACATTTTGGCGCACATATGGCACAATTCATTCACCTGCGGTACTGTGAAAAACAAGTGAGTATTTTAGTGTCTTATTTTAACATTTCATGCAACAGGGGTAACACAGTCTCAATGAATCTGGCACACATTTTACAATGACTTTAGATCAGTAGGTACAATATAGCCAAACTTCATATCCGACGTTCAATCTGATTTTGTATCGATCAATCTGATGTTTTTCTTTCGCTGTCAAATAAAGCAAGTAATGACATCGCACCCTTGGCGCAATAGGCCACATCTGCAAAGTGACAATTGTTCAGGAGAGAGCTTCAAGGCGAGGTATTTCAGGTTAGTTTTTAGGAGGTGAGTTGTGGGGGTCGCCTCTTGCATCCCGCAATCCGCGCACTGTAAATTAATATGAATAACATAAGAACAGGCGGATAAAAATTTCACACAGATCCGACGTCGACAAGCGCCCGGTGGCGTCAGACGGGACAGCGGGCGGCGTGGCGTGTCGTTAAACTGTTGGGCAATTTGCAAATGTTGGGATTAATGTGAATTTATTAACTATAGTGGTTCAGTTGAAAACCAAAATTTAGAAGGTTCTCTGTAGTACCTACTTAAAGAGAAATATCTCCATATACAAAGTTAGATATTTTATACTTAAAAATTCGTGTTAGACTTATATTTTAGCCTGTATTCAGGATTTTATATGATCGGATAAAGTACATCCTATCGTGTAACGAATTTATACTATAAGTTTTTATGTATATATATAGGATCGTTATAAAATTTTACGTATACATAACTTGTTTCACGTACTTCGGATTATTTGTATGACTTTCATGTGATAAAAGCGTTTGTGACGTACGATTGAATGTGGCTAAATTATACCAAGGATTATTATATTATGTTAATTAAAAGGATTAGTATGGTAGTAGTATCGTAATATATGGATTGTGAACTGGCAACCGCTACTGTCATAATGTTGACAACTTTACAGGATGAAGAAAAAATCATTTATATAGCATCTGGTTTATTAAATAAAAGTATGTAGTGTACATACATACACGTGCAATAAAAATATTTAAAAACTACGTATTTTTATTTAATAAACCAGATCCTATACAAATGACGCAAACAATTGTGTCTTCATCCTGTAGAGTTGTTAAAATTGAGATAGTACCGATTACTAGTTCACAGTCGATATAGTTAACTAAATTGCATGTGATTCGTTTAGACTCAATGGTTTTTAGGCCTTCGGTAGGAATTAAATCTGGCCCATCTTTGCTACCGTTGCTAAAATAACTCACACATTATCTTTTATAAACTGTTGTGTATAACATTGCTCAGCAATTTTGTTACATACTCGAAATAAGGAACTTCATTACACTGAAGAACTGTCTCTTAAGGTACAGGTACATGTAGTTTAGGAGACAGGGTCGTGAAATATAATGGCCACTTTTTCCAAATTAAACAATGTCATCTTGTCTTACAATTTGAATTTTAAATTTTGTATTTCCGTAATTTTGACAGACACGCATCGAGTATATAACCAGAAATAGAGACAAAATAATTTATATCACTTCTATCACTATCCCTATATCACTTTTAAATATCTACTCTCGTTTGCGCTGAAATCACAAATTAGAAAGCTGAAATAGTACAGCGCCAACAACTGACCTGTGTGCACGTCCTCGTATATTCCAAAAATATTCTGTATTTATTGTAATAAAGATAACATCTCTAACAATGGGGGGTTGTTCCATTCGGTGGTGTGGGAAAAACAGTAATACATCTTATTACAAAACAAACGGAATCACATTTCATCGGTAATTAAATATTAAATATGTAATTTCTCAATTTTCGTCCATTATAGCAAAGCTCACGATAAACTGGTCGATTTGAAGAGAAACAAATGACGTCAATTGTTTGAATTCGGGCTGGCCAATCGGAGCGCAGTAGTCACCGTAATGATTTGGCAGAGTAGTTTTCAAACAAATTAAATGACATTTCGTCTCTATTTTTGGTTATATACTCGATGTATACACGTAATAATAAACAACAAAAACAAAAAACAACTAGCTTAGTACTACTAGTTGAAAGGTGTGAGGTAATTGTCAATATTCTCATTAAACTTGTAATTTGCCTATTAAATTTGTAATGTACAGGTCTCATCATCTCAGCTGACCAGTACCAATTGCGAAAGCCTATAAACTGGAGCCATTTAAGAATTTAACTACTCGTACATAAAATTTATTTTCTTTGTTACAGATTCTTACTAACGATTCAAATGTTTGTCATAACCGGCATCCCATGGGTACTTGAAATGATTTCCAGTCTCGTGAAGACCAGTTTGGCATGGTTAGTATGTGAATATTTAATTTTGTAAAACGTGCCGTATTACGTGGATTACTTTTGCCGTGTACAATAAGCTGCAATAATGTGTGAAGGGCTCAATGAAAGAATCAATTGCTTGCAGTTGTCAATTTGATTGCTTTTCTCGTGTACAATAAACTGCAATATTGTACGTAGAGCTCAATTAAAGAACCAACTTGTTTGTACTAGTCTCTTTGGTTGCTTTTGCCGTTTACAATAAACTGTAATGTGTGTAGCGCGCAATGAACGAATCAATTGTTTGCACTTGTCAACATGGTTCATTTTTTCGTGTACAATAAACTGAAATATTGTATGTAGAGCTCAATTAAAGAATCAACTTGTTTGCACTAGTCTATTTGGTTGCTTTTGCCGTTTACAATAAACTGTGATAGTGTATGTGGCGCTCAGTGAAAGAATCAATTGTTTGCACTTGTCAACATGGTTGATTTTTTCGTGTACAATAAACTGCAATATTGTATGAAGAGGTCAATTAAATAATCCACTTTTGTTTGCACTAGTGAACTTGATAACGTTTATTGTGTTCGATAAACTGCAATATTGTGTTTAGCGCTCAATTAAAGAATCAATTATTGTCAACACGATTGCTTATGCCGTGTACAATAAATAAACTGCAAACTCGAAAGCCTAAACTACGAGTTCTAAGTGACCCGCCATAACAGTTGCTTGCAACTTCAATACAAATAGACCTGAAGAGAAATGAGAAAATTAACCATTATCCTTTTGTTATTTGCAGGGAGATAGTGAACGTAATAATCACTTTACAAGGACTATTCGTCTTCTTAGTATTAGTGGTGTTCCCCCGTCACGCCCCCGCTCCCAGCCCCGCCGTATCCGAGAATAGTTTCACACCACGTTCATCTCAGTTCATCTACAATGTTACTATTGATCGACCGTATTCGAAAATGGTGGAAGAAAAATACTGACTGATGACAAAAAGCGTCGTTGATTAGAAATGTCACGTACTTGGATCTATGAAATGTGCCATACAAATGAATAATGTTCAAACTAAGGAATTCCTACGATTACCAGATGAGAAAGTCAGTGATTGATAAATCGAAAAAGTATTCAAGATAAGAGCGACTCTATATCCATCCTCAAGCTGGAGAATAGTGAAACAACCAGGGTTTCACAGTCTAGAGCCAATGAATAGCTTATATATTATATTATATATTATAATATTCAGAAATAAAACGATTACGTCAGAACTGTTTACATGTATTTTTAAATATGATTTGGGTTATTTTCAAATTCTTTTTGCATCAAAAAGCTTGCATGTAATTTATCGTAGTCCCGTGACGATTATATATTTTGACACGTAGTGAAGTTTAATTATTGACAAATTGAACAACAAATAACGGGGTAAGCTTATATCGGCTTAGACAATAAAACGCCCTTTTAAATGTATAACTTTACGAATCAACCAAATCTAGTAGTAGTAGTAGTCTTAGAACCGACTCAATGAAGAATCTTTATGAGAGCTTATAGGTGCTTAGGCTGGCTAATATTTCAACGTCAATAGTAAACATCTTTACGAAAAACTAGTCTTCTCAATATTAGAAAATTGCTATCGAATGTTTTTATTTCAAAGAATTGACGGGATATTACTTTTTTACCTCATTTTAGTATTTAATTATTTAATATAATGACGTAGTTATAGAATAAAGTACTTAATGGTGACGCTATAATAAAAATAAAATAAAAAGACCTTCGGTAGCTCGTGGCGAGCTGCGGGATAGATGAGCTCGCAAGTAAAAGGAATGAACCCGTGCTACCACCAACCTCTATGTCCGAAACGTCGTAGAGCTCGTCTTCTTGCACACACTTTACTTGGTGATCGGCCACCAATAACGCCACCATGTAATATATTGCGTACGCGGCTCAATGCCCGGAGAGAAGCGGGATATTTAATTTAATAAATAATGCGATGTCGCGGATGCGGATTTTTCAGTTCGAATGTAACGTCACACACTTATTTTTTAATTTCACTGGCGATTTATGTGGCTTTGGCGTAGCACGGATTAGGACGGGAAAGGTAAGGAGGTGCGAGCTCAGACAAACTATACCTGGCGTTACAACTTAATAATAATTTTGTGGTTATGTAAATATCCCAAATAAATAAGAATTATTGTATGTACTTAGGCTATAGTCCGCCACGCGGGCCCAATGCGGGTCGTATAAGTGTTGATGATGAGTTGTATGACTTGTATTTTATTTTTATTTTATTTTGTATATTATGATTTTAGCTTTTTTGCTCTGTTAGTTTTATGTATGTACACACAGGGTGTATGTATTACGCCTATTTTTATGGGCAGACTATGCCGACTACTCGCCTTACTTATCATAACTAACGCATCCACATTTCGGTAACTTTCGAGATATTGGCATCTCGTTTTATTTTTTCCTTGAAAAATGTCAATTACGCTCATTTTGCTTAACAATAAAACTGAAACTAAATGAGATATTAAAAAATCGCTTATAAGGGGTTACAGATCTCGTATATACAGGCTGTATATTTGAAAGTGAGACATATTCATACATGCCATATTAAATCATGTTACAAATTAACATAGACTAAAATAAAATTAGGATATGGGATAGAACAAAAAACCAACAAATGTGTTTTGAAGTGTACATAGGAATAAACCCTTAGACTTGATTTCGAGTGCAATGGGAAGACTACCAAGCGAGCGCCGAGTGAGACAGCAACAATAACAATGATTTCACATTTACGTTATAGCTAATGTTAATTATTTTTTACTTGAACTATCATCGAAATGTTTTACGTACTAAAAAAGATAAGTTTATGATTTAGTAATTAGTTATCATTTAATAAGAATTGAGGTTTTTGGCGTAGTTAAGGATGTGAAATAAAATTATTTACGATGATTGATTTTTTAGTTATTTACAGTTTATTTACACTTACGTGGTACGGAGCAAGTGTTCAAAATGTCCCCCGTTTTCCACAATGCATAGTCTAGCACGGCATAGTAAATTTTGTTTTAAATTGTACAACACAAACACATTTTGTCTCACAGTATAAAATGCTGAGATAATCCTCTCACGTAACCCTTCGACACTGTTCACCTCCTCCACGTAAACTCCGATTTGGGAACATTTCAATAGTTTGCCTTAAACTATCACCACTTATTGCGTAAAGTCGCACCATCTCAATCAATTCGACGTTACAATAAATATCCATTTTGCGGCGATCGGGCGAGCGGAAGTACAAATAATTTACTTGTTTTCGTTAAATCAAGGTCGCACGTGCACTGTCTGTTCGCGTATGCGCCCGCGCCCCCACCCCCGACCTGTGCTTTGTTTTTCGTCGTCGTTCCGTCACCCGCCGCTGCTTCGGTGCAATAATAGTGATGTGCATAGATTTCGATAACTAATGTTGTCCTCAAGTAGTAGTAGATAAAAAAAAATTACAAATATATTTTTTGTAAAGTTTAAGTTCATTAGTTTATTATTTCTTTGGGTTCAGAATCAGGAATATAACGCACTCTATATGTATGTCCCACTTTCAAATACACAGCCTGTTTATATACGAGATCGAAGAAAGAGAAATATATGTTAATAACTCAATTTCCCTAAAAATTTCGACTACATTAGTTGTGATAACGAGGCCAGTACTGTATCGCTTCCTCATTCTTTTACTATACGACATTTATTCTCGTCACTTTTCAAATGTTTTGTAAAAGTCAATTTCTAAATTCAGTCATTTTTAATTTTAAAACGGAAATAAGAATTACTTTTAATTGTACATAAAAACATACATTACATTTATTTTTCTAAAAAAACTTTATTATTTCACTTAATATATTTACTTATACAATATGTAAAGTTTATGTAGATCTATTTTAATTGGTTTTTGAAAGAGATGTTTGAAACTGTATATGTCTTAAATATTGACAGCCCAAGGGCAGTACAGTCAATTCTCTTAATATGTCGTAAACATGTGGCCAGTACTTTTTTAATTACGATATAGTTACGACAAGAAAGGGTCATGAATGCCTTGAATCCTGTAATAGATGGATACACATTTTTGGCACTTGAATGTAACTACGAGGTAATGTTTCTTTTACTATAAAGTCAAATTGAAACTGTATACACCGAAGTATTTACTGATCAGGATCTTCAATTTCGTTAATGATTTCAGTAGGCTGGAATGAAGAACTAGTCGTTGCTGTAGCGGCAGTAGGGGCGCCGGAAACGCCGGTGGCTTTTGCTGCGGGGCCGGCGGCGTCCTCATCATCGCTGTCCGGCGCCGCGCCGGGGTGGGAGGGTACGAAATGCTGCGGCTCCTTTGACCTTGCCGCTGATGACGTGCCAGGAGCTGACCACGAGCCCCGTGATTGCTAAGTACGATATATGAGTGCAGAATTAATATTAGCATATCCCTTAACGGTAAAGTTTGCGTGTGTGATCGACCATGTAGAGCTGCCATGACCGGGTCGGGCTGAAAATCCGGGTTGAAATCATTACAATTTCAACATTTTCCTGAGCTCGTGTCCGTCACACACATACTTATTCCTATTTAATTTGGATTTAATTCTTTTTATTTTGATTTATTATAACTATTAATTAATTTTGTAACTTGTATAAAAAACTTTTTTTTTCTCATTTCTGGATTTTTGTTTGTTATGTGTGTGGAAATAAATGGTTTAAATGGTAAATGTAAATATTTTTTGAAAGCTGAGGTACCACCACCTATTTAGATATAAGTTGCTAACGAATTATTGTATAAAAAAATGACGGACGGACACGAGCTCCTTCGCCAAACCTACCACTCTCTCAACTGACCTACGGAACCAGTCAGTTTCTTTCCTTATTTTATATCCTTTTGATAGTTTTCGTCGATATTATCAGTATTTTTTTTAAATTATTACATACTATAATTAAGAAATAAAAAATTATAAAACAAAAATTTGTATTGCCATTTCTTCAGCCTGCAATACATGTTGGCCGAGCCTAGTCCAACGCGAACGTAGGCAAATTGACATAAGGCAAGCGCTACCGTCCAAATGCAATACAAACGGCCAAAGTAGACGAGCTTTGTGGAGCCCACTCGTTGGGCGCTGTCAGTTTCAGGCCGTTTACAGGTTCCCTAGTCACGGCTGACTAAGATGGTAAAGTCGTCAAAGAGTTGTCTAATATTAATGCAAAATGTCCATTTTTCACTATAGTTACAACAGTTATAAATTTAATTAATATGTTTTTCAAATTCAAATTCTTTCACAAAGCTCGTAACATTTAGCACGTCAATAGTACAAAATATCTTATCAAAGCCATTCACTACTAACATTTAATCATATGAATAATCTTATTTGTCACAAAACGTGTGAACACCATTGTCCGAGTGCAGGCGAGCGCCTTATGATTTGTGCAGAAAACCGACACCGCTTCGAAATGAGTCGAGTGGTCGCGAGTGACTGCGAGTTGTGACAAGTCACGCCAAATGTTCCAACACGTTGACACTCGCTTTCACTCGGATAGCTAGGCGAGCAACACCAAGCGATGGCAAGGCAAGGCAAATAGGCTGTCTATACGTTGGTATTGGCCTACACTCGCCGACGCTGGGCCAACATGTACTGCAGGCTTAACACTCAATCAAGGCATGAAAAGGTGGTCACTTACCTCGTGTTGTCTGGCAGTCTCTCTTACGATTTCAAGGTACATATCGTACACGTATCTCGCCATGTGCGGCATATCGCGTATGCGCAGCACCAACGCGTCGGGCACGTTGGCCGTAGCGCCACGCTGCGCGGGGTACCGCTCGCCGGGGACCAGCTCCAGCTCTAAAGGACGTTCTACGAGCTGCGAAAGATAAGAAATAAAATTCGTAGTAATGACTGAAAACAATGTCCTACCGTATTAACGGCATGGAGAAATAACAAGCTATGTGGTTTTTTTTTTCATATCAATTGTGACTGTGTTATACCTAGATAAATTGTGTTTATATACAGCGTGTCCCAAAATTCAACGATAAGCGGGCGCTGGAGGGTGGACCTGCGCATAATTACTTGAGGAAAAATAAGAAAAAAAAAATATATAATTTTTTTTTTAATTACGATAATAAAATTGTTATTCTTTGAAAATTTACTCCCTTAATGATATTTTAAATCACCACGACCACAATTTTTCAGATATTTCTGATGTTTTTATTTTAACGGCCACCTAAGTAGTACTGCTGTCTACCACAACTCTTAAAAATGTCATGGGTGGTTTTACAGACTACTGACTTTTCACATAACTGTTAAAAACAATAACTTTTCCTTATTATTCACATTTTCTTAAGAAACACATTCATTGTTAGTTTTACCATTATTTTACTTTATTTTTTCTTTATTTAAGTATAAAATTGTTTACGCAAAATAATAAGGATTTCTTTTATTCTGGAGTATAGTCAGATAAATGGGCTTTATAAAAATATACACGTGTTGTATGTTATCTTTAATAATTTTTGAGATAATTGACTAAATTCAAAACATCCCTAGACAGTGTTGATGTGTGTAGTATGATTGCATGCAGGTTAACTTGACTATAATGCCCCAATCATTACACGACTATGGCTGCAATGAGAAGAAAACAAGACCGAGGGTTTTATTTAATAATAATAATAATAACGCGCACACATTCATAGCCCCGCACTAGGGAAACCCTGAGTCGCGGGTGCCATGGACACACACATAGACAACGACAATTTACACCCAAAGTCAGGAGAGAAATAAATGTAGGCCATGCAAATATTTTTACCGGCCCGGGAATCGAACCCGGGACCTCTGCGTGGCAGTCCGGTATTGTAACCGTTCGGCCACTAAGGCAGTCATTTGGGACATTATAGTCACGTTAGCCTGCATGCAATCATACTATTTACTCGCAAATATGATGAAAAACATTGTATGTTTCACGGGTGGTACAGGAAAAACGAACTTCAAGTCCGAAAGCCACCAGTCTTAGGGTCGTATTCCAGAACTCTACTCAATGCTCAAGTCAGGATTTGAGTATGGTTTAAAGCACTCGAAATCATACTCAAGTCCGTGCCATTAGGGTCGTATTTCCAGTGCTTGTGTTTCCAGTGCAATCCAGACTTGAGCATTGAGTAAAGTTCTAGAATACGACCCTTAGACTTCGGGCTTCTAATAGAGTCTCGTTTGTAATACCTTATTTACCGCCTTTACTGTGAACACGTACCTGATTGAAAGTTGGCTGCAATTCGAAGCAGTTGCGGAAGAGGTTGGCTCTGGCGAAGACGTAGAGGCCGAGACGCGCGCGCGACGCGGCGACGATGAGCCGGCGCAGGTCGCGCACGTGGCCCACGGCGCGCGTGCGCACGAGGGACACTAGCGCCACGTCGTTCTGCTGCCCTTGGTACTTGTCCACTGTCGTCACCTGCCGGCCACGGATGGATACACGTGTTCTTGCAAAGCAACTTTACAAATGAAATGTATGAAAAAAGAATTACACCATTCCATCGCTCGACCCACCAACGATCAAGTAATCGTCTAAAGTAGCTGATAACTCAGATTATCACTGACTGACTGACTGACAGCGCGCTTGTCAACCATGCAGTACCATAAGAAATAAAAACTTGTAGAAATACTCAAATAAAGTGTAAAACCAGGATTTTGTATCATATTATGTTCATTACGCAAACATATTGCGTTATCGTAGTTATCATTTAAAAGTGTTTTTTTGTACAGTTGTATAGTACGTGAGGCGCATTACAAGTTTCCGGAATGAATAAGAAAAAAAAATTCTATAAATGGTCAGAAATGAATTTATTGTTTCTCACAATATTCTCCGTTAGCGTTAATGCACTTTTTCATATGAATGAACTAATTTTGAAAACATTTATGTCACTCCTCCGTGACAATCTCTGAAACATATTTTTCATACTCTTCAAGTGATGAAAATCGTTGACCGCATAACTGGTTCTTAATTTTTTGAAATAAATAAAAGTCACAAGGTGCCACGCGGGAGCAATCCCACGTGCTCATACGGTCAACTTCAAAAATTAATTTGTTTGTCTGGCCGTGTGAGAACTGGCATTATCGTGGTGCAAGATGATACGGCGTTTACGGTTATTTTTACGGAGTTTGTCAATAATTTCCGGCAAACAAATGGTCATGTACCAATCACTATTCACGGTACAACGATTCTCCAAATCAACAGTAGCCACGTGTCCAGTTTTATTTTAAAAAGGAGCAATCATCCGCATAGAGGCATTTTGCACGCGCGCCACTTTGGTTGGTTTCGGCTCATCTCGAAAGACCCATACGTTCGATTGCTGTTTTGTTTTGGGATCGTAACTATAAATCCATGTTTCGTCACCTGTTACTATATCCCACACCAAATTTGATCCTTTCGTTGAATCTGGTAAGCATGGCATGGCAAGTGAGGCGATCCGTTTTTTGATCCTCAGTCAAATTGCGTGGGATCCATCGAGAGCACAACTTTTTACACCCAAATGTTTATGTAGTATTGATTGTATTCGACTCATGCCTATGCCTAAAGGTGCCCAAATCTCATGATAGGTATGTCACATGCCTGTCTGTTTTGATCATACGGCGCACAGCATCGATGTTTTTATTGTTCACAGCAGTGGACGGGCGACCATCATGAAATTCGTCACTGAGATTCACACGACCGCGTTTGAATTCTGCAAACCAGCTATAAATAGTCGTCTTGCATAGCGCTTCATCGCCAAAAGCAGTTTGAATTCGAGGGAAGCTCCACTGAGCTGTTAAATTACAATTGAACTCGTAGAAAATCATACTACGAAAATTTTCACGAGCTAAATCCAAGGTGATGTAGACAACCAATTTCGAAAATTACGCCACAATGTAAAATCTAGTGATAGACAGATGAAATAAACTGTATAAATCGGTTATCAAGATTATGAAGATTTGAGTTTTTGACCTTTAGTTGGAATCTAGAAATTAGAAACATCGATACATTTCTTATAGTACTTCATAAATAACAAACAGCGCGACACAGTTATTTTCACATTTATAACTTTTGTATTTACACAAATCTTTATTTTTCTTGAAGTGAATTTGTATAAAGTAAAGTTCAATATAATATTACATATTACACAAAAAAATTATTAATAAAGACAGTAAAGACTACTCCGTTACTTTTGTGTTCATGTAGTTTTCAGCAGAAGCTAAATATGGTGCATTTTGTTGAGTTTCCAGAAGAAGCTGAATATGGTGAATTTCCGGCCCTATAAATTCTTGCAAGCAAAATTAAGCACTATTGCAATGACGTTACAATTTCATTTAAATGTTTCAGTTTTTTTTATTTTTCTTTACATATCACTACGTTTATATAGAGGTTAACTTCTGACATTTTCTTCGTGGTTTTTGTATTAGACCTGACATCCATTTGTTCGTAGGTCAATGAATATGACTAATAAAATTAATTAGTGTACCTTATGTGGACGTCCAATCAACGGGTTGTCAGCACAGCGCTTGTCGATGACGTCACGGATGAGATGCTTCTGCCCATTGTACGTAGTTAGAATGGAAATGCGCTCTGCGGGCCAGCCCACCAATCTCATGTACATGAATACGGCTACCACGTATTCTGCCTCTGCCAGGTTCTAGAATAAATAAATAATACATAACATTATTATTGCAAAACTATTTTTTAGGATATACATATATTTGTTCAAACAAACCAACGCAACATTATAATTAATCACCACTGACATCAATAAAACTCGATTTTTTGTATTATTATTATTTTATGATACCAAATGACGGCACGAACAAGTCATACGTCTGGTAGTAAGCGACACGCCTATCCATAGCAGTTGCAGTGCCACGCAGAGATTTAATCGCAAAGATACCGCCCCTGCGGCCGTCAGCCCAAGACATAAGTTAAAAAGTGCCATGTGCCTGGTAATTTCAACAGCACTCTTACCCTCATTACTGCTAGGCGGTAGAAATAGGTAAGGTGGCAGTTCTTCCCTGGATGAACTCTTTCACAAGGAGCTCTTCTGCAGCTACAGCTAATTATTGCCGTATTTGAAAGTTCTGGTCATGGCAAGAATCATTAATAGTTAATTTAATACCTGATAGAAGTAGGGACTGGGCTCGGTCTCTCCGGCACCGTTGAAGTCGTCGACGTTGACGAGCTGGAAGTCGAAGCGCAGGCCGGCATTCGCTGCGCGGTACTCCGGCAGTCGAAGGACGTGGCCTAGGTCGCCCAGCGCACGGTACCGCCAGCGGTACAGATTGCAGATGCTGTATCGCATAAACATGTTTTTCTACTCAAATATATTTATACATATAAAACTAAATAAATTATACTAAATATATTATACAAATAATTGGTTCACGAAAAGTAGCTCTTATTCACTCCGTTTTAGTACTTAAAAGATCATAAGTATACATACTCTTGTATACCTACAGACAGTATAAATCAACATGTGTTCCTTTCTTCTTTTTCAATGCCGCCCTGATAGGGAAATGTTACTTAGCGGCTCTTGCATTTATGATAAAACACTTTTTCTACTCCTATACTTTAATCTTTCAATTACAATTTCATAAACCATACCACAAAAGCGCTCGTTTTAGTTCTGAGCCACAATTCTATTGCCTATGGTACTTGCTACTGAACTGAAAAAGTTATTTATAGTTATGTACAAAGGACTGTGAGTTTAAAAAAAAGAACGTCGTATATTTGCTAATTAAAAGAGTCTGAGACATTCATGAAGTTATTAAAATTCAAATTATAAAAATAATATCTCAAAATGTTTCATAACAAGTACAAAGGTGTAACCATTTAGCATAAAAGAACTATTAAAAACAATATAAAATATGACGCTACTCAAATGCTCTACTGCCACTTGATTGGTTAAAATATAAGCGGTACTTGGTCAATCACGAAACTTTTATTCTATCTCATTGGCTTTTTGTTTTGTAGCGTTTGTTTGGCTTTCGTTTGAGTTTATTGTCGCGGATTGTTAACAAAATAATCTTTAAGCATTGGTAGAATTTCATTATTTTAATTTATTCGTAAAAAAGACGTTGTATGCAATTATTATTACATAATTAGGTATTTAAATCTCGTAACTCGACTTTAAGAACCCTCATTAGGCAACGATTGCATAAAATACAATTTTTGTTACCATTCACTATTAAGAGCGAACTCAAGTCTCCTGAAGGGACATTGACATAAGACAAACAGGGCAACTCCCGCCTGTTGGGCGCACCAATGCCTACACTTCCCTCGGATCGCAGGGTAGTCTAATTATTATTTTAGTTGCACCTTCCAAGTCAAAGAATCATTTATTTCATAGGTAAAATAAATTTGCACTTGAATATGTCATTTTTAAGCTACTCTTCGTTCAATGTGCTGACTTCCCTCAGAAGAACTAGAAGGAAACTCTAGGGGTTGCTGTTTTCAGATAATGTTAAATGCTATGGAATACACTTTGAATCAAATTTGTGTGGAATTTAGTCATGTCGTCTTTCCCTAAATACATCTTTATCTAACACGTGGTCTTCAATTTTGTTTTTCAATTTATAAATACATAATCTCCGAATTTTGAATTTGCTGCTTGTGACTTCCTTTCGAGGGTACTATTGTGTTATCAACTTTTACCTTTCCACTGACGATTTGATTCCTTACCTCGGTCGAGCACGACCCTGAGCGTCCAATTCCACGTAAGGCACACCAAGCCGCACCATTCTCGTGAACAGACTCTGCTCCATATTACAGTACTTCTGGAACGCCATATTCTTCACCACTGGTGGCAGTTGGTGATGGTCACCAATCATTATCCAGCGTTTCAGCCGTGACCTTCCATCTTGAGGATTTTGGAGCAGCAGCGGAATGAAGGTTTCGATTTCGAGGATTTGTGCTGACTCTTCCATCAGAATGTTGTCGTATTTGAAACCTGATGGAGTGTAAAACAGTACGATGAATTTGGGGCATTTTCATATTAAAGAACACTATAACACTACCCTTGTCGTGTCATTACTTAGAAATAAACGTAAACGTTTTAATTGTACCCTATAAATAGGGCAAAAAGTAGGCGGTATTTTTATCTTACTGCCTAATGATAATGATTTATTGTCTATTTTTGTAAATATATAAACGCGCGTTTTAAAGTCTAATTTTATTGTTTTTACCTTCCTCGCATTGTATGCCTCACGGGCTAACAGCATTGCAAACACTCTGGTCATTAAAGATCTTGCCTATGGTTCGGGCTTTGAATTTGTCCCTCCGTAATTGCTACTTACCGCCCCTGTTACACAATATAATACAGTGCATCTACTCCTGGTTTTGTGTAGGCATTACCTGTAGGTAGTGCCGCCATACACCACACACTACAATGAAGAGTGCAGCAGTAACTGAACATCGAAAACTGTTTACTGTGGTATAACTAGGTTACTGCATGCAATGTGTCACTATACGTATGTTGGCCCGAATAAATAAGGGACACAGACGAATATTCATATTAAATATTGTAATATTGAAAATTTCTCACCCATTTGCACAAGCTCGGAGCGTTTGAGCGCAGCGTGTGTGCACGTCATGGCGATGATTTTTGCCTCCTTGACGAGAAGGTATTTGGACCGGTCAAGGCCCGAACGTAGCAGCTCGAAAGCTCGGAATTCCTCTAGCTCTTCGAATATGTGATCGATATATCTGAAATGGCGAGTTTTTTTATACGAACGAATGAACAAGACAAAGAACGAACAAATAAATAGCCAGCGTATTTACAAAACGAATTTTGTCTAAGTAAGAAACTATGAAGTAAACTTAAGGTTTAATTTATTTTCTTTTTTAACTTAGGCAAAGTTTGGTTTGTAAATACGAAAAACTTCCTTAGCTAGTCATTTTTGCTTAGTTAAAGTCGAACGTTTTATAAATTTCAGCCTAAGAGTTAGCCAAAATCGCAATGACCCGAAGTGCGCTGCCATTCCGCCCGTCACCTTGAGACATAACTTGACAAGTCCCACGTGGCTGTAATTTCACCACGAACCAACCTTACACTTCAAAACCGGAACGCAGTAATGCTCACATTAATACTTCGCGACAGAAACAGGTAAGGTAACTTCCCTGAACGACCTTCATTAGAAGCTACTGCTACTACTCTTTTCCAACTGAGCCATTAACGAGCTGTAGCCCAGGCATGGCAACAGACACAAGTTCGGGTCCAGCCAGATCGAACGAATTTTTCTTTGTGTTACTACAGGCCTGCCGCTTAACTGAGTCAGTCACTAGGGTACCTGAGCGGTGCGGGAGAAGTGACAGTGTACGTCACAGTTATGTCGCGCTGTACACGGGATAATTTCAAAAAGATTTTTCTGACGATATTTGATGCCAAGTTGATCGAAAAAAGAGTCTACCAAATTAATCAATTGTTGTTAAGTGAAATGATAATAAAAAAACTACCAATTAAATGGTAATTGAAATGGATAGACAAGCCATTTGGCACTTTTTTCAATCAACTTGTTGTTGAATACCGTCACAAAAATTTTGTTGAAATTATCCCGGGGCACGTAGGCCCGTAGTGAAATATTTTCACAAAAACTGTATGAAAATCATGGCAGTAAAACATTAATAAATAAACATTGCAACTAATAGCATTTGTTACCCGTTCATTATTCACCATCATCATGAACTTATTGTAAGATCCACTTCTGGGTATGGATCTTCTTTCTTCTTCTTCTTCTTCTTCTTTAAAGAGTTCGGCCATGCTGGCCCATTGCGGGTTAGTTTCCGAAGGTTGTTAGCCTTCTTCGCGTGTAGGTATCCTAATTAAGTTTGTCTTACTGCTAGCGAGAGATATTGTTAATAAATATTCACAAAGGTGTACGTAATTTCGAATTTAAAGTACATTCCACTACAGGGTCTCGAACCTGGGTAAGAAAAGAAAAATGTACCTAGTAATCACTTCTTTTCTGGTCGGCCTAACCTTTGAATCGTGAAAACATGTAAAATAAACTCGCGATAGTGTTTATTATTTTTAGTGCAATTACCTGTTGCAACTTGTGGCGATTTCCATGTCCTCCCCGAAGGATTTTCCGGGAAAAAGCGGTTTTGGGGCATCGTCGAAGAACTCGTGGAACGGGAACTCTTTGCTGATTGTGTCCACAGTCTAAAAAAATTGTGTAATAAAACTTAACAAACTACGTAAACTTAATTTAACGAGAATGTCACTTCAGAATCGTATTTAAGTGTGAATAAAATTGCAAAGCAGCTAATGCAATTAACGATTTCTTTTTGCTTTCAAGACAAACACTGCGTTCCGTCTGTATCTTTCACACAAGTTTAATATTTTTAATAACACCTCTGCGTAACAGTTAATAGTACATTATGTCTAGGGCGGTAAGAAGGCAAATTACGAACAGAGGCCCGAACTGTTGTTCAGTCCTTGTGGCCTATAATATGTTTCATCACACTGACGACGAAATTGAATATAAAAAAACAAAATTAAAGTTTATTCATATAATATTTACAAACTTTTAAGTACGTCATAAATAAATCTTGAATAAAAATATAAACCTTTTTGATCTGGCTTAATTAATAAAAATAAAATGCAAATAAAATATTCTTTCTCAAACATGCTCGGTGATGCTTGCATTACTTTCACAAAAAAAACCACAACGTTTGTCATTTATGGAGCGTGTAAATCTTTGCCAGCCTGCTTCTTTCAGCATTTAAATATATAAATTGACTAAAGGCAAAGTGTCATACAGTAAATTGCTCACTAGCATCAGTGTCCGTAATTGCGAAAATTAAAAAATATTGGTATTATTTATTTTACTTTTAATTATAGTGCGTGAATATAACTGTACCACACATTTAAAAAAGCGGTAAATGACACGAAAGCACCTACTTTGAAATTCTTTTTTGTTATTTCTGTTTTTTGTGTTTTTTTGTATTTTCTCCGCCAAAATGAGTTCTAACGAGAAGAGCAAAAATACAATAATGAACTATATTCCGCCTAATTTAAAACAAAAAGTAACATTCATATTATAATTAATTATTTTTAATTTTTTTTACTATTCAATTTTTTACTTTTTTATTATTTCCTCGCATTGTTTGAGAAAGGTACTATATATACCTCGGCGGGAATGGGAATATTTTGCTTCTCGGCATCTGCAATAATGTACTTATACATTTATGTAGGTTATGGTATTTATAATTATGTATCTTATAAAAACTATAAATAAAATAAAGCCGACTGATGCTCCGAGCGGGCGACGGGACATTAGAAATAAAAAAAAACCAATACTGCCGTAGGACCGAATAATCAAAGTACCGTCTGGTTTTGCTGCACGTTATGCTACTACTAACGAGCAAGTGTGATGAAAAGATAATATTGTAACATCTATAAAGAAGGTAGCAACAAGTTAGTTACCAACTCCCGTTGACACTTGTCGAGGAAAGCCTGCCATCGCGGACGCACGTGGTATACGTGGAAGTGATGTGCCAGCTCGCAGGTGGCGCCTGCGTCACCGCCTGCGTCGAGCGTGCGCTGAAGTTTGCCTACCGCATCTAGCAATTCTATGCGTTTCGCTAGCACGTAGTTAACTCGACCGTATCTGAGGAGGAATTAAGTAACAGAAAAATGTATTATTTGATATTACATACTATGTATGGGAGTGTAACAAAATTCTAAATAATACTTCAAGTATATACGAGAAAATCGGCACATTCAGCGGTACAAAAAACCGCATCGAGCAATTCTATGCGTTTCGCTAGCACGTAATTGACTCGACCGTAGGTATCTGAGGAGGATTAAAGCAACAAAAAAAACTATTATTTCCATTGACCTACCTATAAATAGACGTCGGGTTCGCGCCAAAAATAGTGTTGGCACATACAGAGCGTCAATTGCGCAACAGTCTTCGTTTGTTCGACTGACAACGCGGTTGTCAATCATGCAGTACCATATAATAATAACTTGTGAAAATTACTGCAGTAAAGAGTAAAAACAGGATTTTGTATTATATTTTCACTAAACAAATATATTGTGTTATCATAGTTCTCATTTAAAAGTGTTATTTTGTACAGTTTTATAGTATTTAATTTATGTATAAATGAATCGTAAATATAAATTACAAAAGCACACAAAATAATCAAATAGCTAATTGTCCTTTTTCTACACATTGAATGCGCAAATGGTGGAAAGAGACCCATTACGTCAGTTTCAATAAGCTTATATGAACTTCTTCAATTATTCAATTGTTCGAACCACGAGCGATTAAAATATTTAGAAAAATCAAAGAAACTTTAGAGTCGCTTTGATTTTTTTATTAAACGTTAGCAATAACTAACAAAATATTGTTGTACTCGTCAGAATATATTTGCCCGAAAAACGTTAGCTCGAATTTTCATAATGTCAAATGTATTTTTTTAGGAAGATTACAAATCTAGTTGCAATGGCGGTTGAGTCCCAATAGAGTGTCTATGGAATGGCAGTAATGACATTAATTCATTCGAGGCAGCCTCTGTGGTCGAGTGGCTTGCACACGGTTGTTCATAGATTCGCCGTCTCTGAGGTCCCGGGTTCGATCCCCGGCCGGGTCAGTGTTTAAACTAACTTTTCTATATTGTCTCGGGTCTGGGTTTTTGTGGTACCATCATTATTTCTGATTTCCATAGCACAAGTGCTTTAGCTACTTACTTTGGGATCAGAACATTGTATGTGATGTTGTTTAACATTAAAAAAAACAAAAATATCAAATAACTGAGAGAATGTGCCATCGACTCGATATTCAAGTGCAGGATACAAAAAATTGCAATGGCAGTTGAATAGTTCGCTCGATGGCTACTCAATGACAAGTCTCCGAAACAAAATCCTGCCATTGACACCCTATCTACAAGTGTAATGATTTACAATTAGCAGACTTGGGACTCAAGCCAAAAGTATCAAGAAAAATATTAAAAAAAAAAATTTTTTTTTAATATCAAGAGACGGGACGAACAAGTCGTGCGCCTGATGGTAATGCCGTTTGTGGCGCCTGAAGTTACACACCTGTCCCTAACAGTTGCAATGCAACTCAAGAGCTATAAGTGTGATGGGCACAGTGGCACTGCCATTACGCCCATCACCCATGTGTCTGTAATTTCACCAGCATCCTTACTCTTAAACCGGAACACAGAAAAGCTGACATTACTGCTTCTGCAGTACTATCCTGGACGAACTCTTTCACAAGGAGCTACTAAGTTGAGAGTATATTATGAAAACACTGACGCAAATGGGTACAACGAAAGAGTTGTTTTCTGGAAAGTAACTTTGAATAGTATCCGATTACCGTATTGGGAGATAAATTTAAATAGTATGTATTGTTAGGACCAGCGGCCTTACCTGGAGAAGTCTTTATCAGTCTGCAGAGCTTCCTCTCCATGACCGAGACGCAAAAGATGACGTTCATCCACATCCAACTCGGCTACCTTCTCGAATAGTTGATTGAGAGCCTGATTACTGTGAGTCACCACCAGAGTGCGTTGCCACGGGAAGTTGTGGTACAGGTTCGATATTATTTGCACTGCTACATCTGTTTTGCCTGTAATAGTACATTATTGTCAAGGCCCAGGAAGTAAGCAATTGTTGGACGAGTATGAGTTAGAATTCTTCTGAGTCAAGCAGTCGTTGTTTCTACCGAGGCTTATAGTTTTGCTCAATAAATGCAAGGAAATGATACAGATATGTTGTAATTACAAAAATGGTGGAATTGAGAAAACACGATTTGAAAGTTCAAAAAATTACTGAATGGAACCCATTAAATTATATTCTTGTTTATAAGTCGTCGATCGTATACCCAACCTGGAGATACGACAGCGTACAAAGTGTAGACGTCGGTATACGGATCATCACCATCACTCATCATCATTTCATCCAAAAAAAACGTCCACTGAACATAGTCCTCCCCAAAGAATGCCACAACGATCTGTCCTGCGCCGCTTGCATCTAGCGAGAGAACCAAGAGTAACCGACATAGCCCTAAGATTTGCAAAACATAATTTGGCTCGCGAAAAGTGAACATTTCCTATTATATTTGAGGAAATAATATTAATTGCATTTGATCAGTCACATTAAATATAAAACTGAGGTCTAAATTGTAGTTAGTAGCGAACACGTGTCCTCCTTTTAAGTTAGAATAAAAATTACATTAAAAAGGTCACCAGAGCGCGTTAGAGTAAATATTTGTCAGTAAGGTAAAAATAACAGTAGCCAAGTGACATTAAATTCAGGTCTAAATTACAATTAGTAGCGAACAAGTGTCTTTGATTTAAGTTAAAATAAGAATTACGTTAAAAAGACGATCAGATCGACTTAAACGACCTATAAGTCATCAAAATGTAAGATGGCTACCAATGGTGGCTACATTATTACCTTACTGACAGACTGACAGACAGTAGTAAGGTAAAAACGTAGCCAACTACTAGCATCATAATAGCTGGCAAAATATACCGCTCTCTAAGGCCGGTTTAAAATTTCAAGCGAACGTATGTGCATGTAGTAGTGATAAGTGTAATGTTTTATAGTGAGTATTAATTTCAATGTAATAAAGAAGATAACATAAAACAATATAAACAATACGTTACAAGTGTGACGTCATACCTGTGCCAGGCGGTCCCACAACGAGTGTTAAACCCGGCTGCATGCCAGATCTAATGGCTTCCACTTGAGTGGGCGTGAATAGGATATTGTTCCTGAAACATAACAAGGTTTTCTATTAATACCTATTTGCATGCGATAATCGTAACACGTGTTAATAGTATGCTTAGATTATAATATCGAATTACATCATTATAGAATTATCCGACCTAATAATTCAGATCGTAAGATCGTTTTTAATGAAATGTATTTTAGATCCCGGACACTTTTTAGTTTTGCGTCATGTAGAAATACGTACGATTGTACAATACAGGATGACTCGACACAACATATACTGATTAAAAGTGATGATAGAAAATCAATTACGTATCTTCTAACCATTTTAAGTAATTCGTAAAAAACAATATTCATTCGCAAAACTTTATAACAAATTTATTTGTGAACACAAGTTGCATATAATGTAATAAGCATTATATGTAATAAGTATAATGTAATAATGTTGACACGTGCAAAATAAGTATTAAAATTCAGTGTATGTATGAATGAATTTTCAAAATTCAAGTGAGCCTGTGTCCAGCAGGAAGTATAATGGACCCTTAGAGCATATAGGACTGGAGGCGTCATCGATAGGCAGTCCCCTCTGTCAAGGTACAAGCAAAAAACAACCATCGCACAATAAACACTACTTCCGAATCGATGTTTTTTCATTTCCATTATCGAATTCACCGCGTCAAGTACTCCACGAAACATGTCGTCTTGTGCTACAAAACTTGCAAAAAAATCTCTGCTGCGTCAGGCCAGTCTAGCCAAGGGTAGAATTACATTTTTCATATACGTGATTAACCAGTATGTAATACATATCGACACCGTCACGTCGATAGCATTCCGTCTCTAGTATATTCATGAGAATCGATATATTTTTATAGGCCTATTCTGTGTACGGACATGACATGAATGTGTTTTGTCTGTGTATTTGTAAAAGTAAGCTAGTGTTGCCAATTATTGTTTGTGTGAGACCATAGCTACACAACTCAATATTGCATTTGAGTGCACCTGTTTGTTTGTAGTACTATCCCCCTGCCGCTGTTGAAAATATCAAATTGCTGAAGTTAAAATTTATGGGAAATTTTAAATATGTGAAAGAAAGTAAAAATCACAATGTGTAAGATAAGTGTTCTAAACAAAGTACACATTTGATCTCAATGTCTACGTCTGTGAATTTGAGAATGTTTTTTTTACTTCATCTTCGCCTTGATTATGAATAGTTCCAAATGTGCTAAAGTAAACAGACTAAAATAGTTTAATGTACATAGTTTCAATGGCTAATAAATATATCGAGATATATAATCGAGATAGAAACGCAGCTCTGTGGTTAAATTTTGCTTTTGTATTGGCTTTTTAAACTTTTTGATTTAAATTGTCTTTGGTAATTTAAAAAAAAATTAGCGCGCATTTTAAGAATAGGCGGGAAAAGTTTATAATTAACGAAAAACGACCAGAACTGGTGAATCGTAAACGTGTCGTATTTCATTATGATAATGTCAAACCACACACACACGCGCGCGCACGAGTATTTACAAAACCATCAAAAACTATTGCAGTTAGGTTGGGATGTGTTACAGCATTTGACGTATTCGCTTGATATAGCCCATTCAGATTTTCACTTGTTTCGATTGTTATAAAAGTCTTTGAATGCACATGATTGATAAAGAAGAGACGATCAAATGACACTTAGGGTCGTATTCTAGAACTCTACTCAATGCTCAAGTGAGGATTTGAGTATGGTTTAAAGCCCTCGAAATCATACTCAAGTCCCTGCCATTAGGGTCGTATTTCCAGTGCTTGTGTTGCCTGTGCAATCCTGACTTGAGCATTGAATAGAGTTCTAGAAAACGACCCTAAGAGCTGTAAGTAGTTTTATAAGTGGAGGAAAATTTAAAAATTACTCGAAAGATTGAAAGATCAACATGGCCAATACTTAATTGATTAAAGTCGATTTTTAAAATATTTTTCCATGATTCTTTGACACCGCATGGACAACTTAATACTGTATTAAATAGGGAGTTTTAATAGTAAATGTAGTTTAATAATATTTAATTTGTATTTACATGCAAGAAATTTAAGCGCAACAAAAATCATCACCTTTTTACATTTCCACGATTCAGATTTTTTTGTAATAGCAATACATTTATTTACATTATTGATCTTCAATTCATGCAATCTAACACCGTCACAGGGAAAATACACCTAACACGATCAACACATGAATATTTGACCTCACATTCAAATTTGCCGGCGTTAAACTTGTTATTGTCAAGGTGGTGCTGTGCATTAGTTTTGACGACTTCAGTAGCCTAACGATTTGCACTGTGGACGTTGGATTCGGAAGTCCCGGGTTCGATTCCCGGTAGGACCAATTTGAGAAATGCACTTTTCTAAACTGGTTCTGGTCTAGGTGTTCAGTGAAGTGCCACAAAGCGGATTTCGTTCCTATGATACTCATAGTACAGGGAATTCCCCAGTTTTAGACCAGGCAATAGGTATGGTTGTCTGGTACATTATTATATTATTATTAGTGAACTAATATTAAGATACAGGAGTTTTGACAATTATTTTTAATGACTCACAACATTGTAACTTGTGTTTGTTACTGTGTAAGTAATAAGTAAATTGAAATAATAGTCAGTGAATACATAAAAGAATACCATCGACTGCACAATTGGTTTAAATTGTTCCAATGAGAGAATCATTTACTGGAATCTGAATAAGCACTTGTCGTAATTTTTCGTTCTTTCAACTGTTTAAATGAGTAATATCCTGTTATTTGTACCTAGTATGGTTCTTATCATCTCCTTTAAGTGTGTATTTTCCATTAATAAAAAAATCGCGCCTATTTATCGATAACGAAGTGATAATTACTATACCGGTGTCCCACTGCTGTGCGACACGGAGGGAGAGTACATTGAATATTGTAGATACAAATATAATATAAAATGTCCTATTTTACTTCATGGAACATTTCGCTTATAAAATTTCACGGTATTTCGTTAGTTGAAAATACTATCTTACTTATAAGGAATTAATCTTTATAATTGACCATGACGACCATAAACACAGTTTTTTTTCACGTCGATTCGATTCCCAGATGAGGCAAGCATTGTTAAGTCTATTATTATTTATAAATGGAGTATTACTTACTAAAACAAAATTTTGCACAACTCTAATGGTAAAATTTCATATTTCCATCCTAACAATATTTTTTTTACAAGAAATGCGATGTTATGACGCATAGGTTAAAGCTTACACTTAAATATATTTGGTAAGGCGTTGCGTGTTTGTGTTCCTTTGAAGTATATCTAGGCCAATTTCTGTTAGTTTTATGACTAAGAACCACACGCAAAATAGGCGCTTTGTCGTCGAGTTGCGGATACCAGCCCGTTGCACCAAGTACCAAGTACCAAGTATGACTAAGAGAATTTTTCGTTTCGCATTATCATTAACTGCAGGAGGTAAAATTAACTTAAACTTTGATGTTTTGGTGATGTTATTTGATCCTGAATTCGAAATCTTTAATAAATGAATTATAGGACAACCTGTACATTATATATAGATATATAGTATATAGATTATATATACTATATATCTATATATAGATTGTATATTGATTACCTGTATATAGATTGTCCTATAATTCGTTTATTAAAATAAACGAAATCATACAAATTTTACCTAATATGTAGAATAAAGTAATTAATACATTACCTACAATCAATTGACAAATATTAGCCACTTCTAGTATAGTCATTTACCATAACAACACAAACATATAAGGGACTCATCTGAACACATGTTTTCCTTAAAGTTAAACCCTAACTTGTCACGTTGTTTAAGAGCCTCATTCGAGATGCAGGTTGCTTAACAATGTTTCCATTTATTTAATATATTGAACATCATAGTGTTTAATTACCATAATATTAATGTATTCCTTGTGAAAATACTGCACCAGTTTGTTATTATTATTGATACAAATGTCGAAAAACACAAAAAAAGAATCCTTCGATCTGACTGGGACCAGTGTCTGTTGCCATTCCGGGGCTACCGCTCTTACAGACTGAGCTAAAGAGCTAGCAGATCTTACGAATGTGTACTTGTTATTGATCTTGGTAATGAGTTTAAATTTTTCCATTTGCCTGTAAAAAACAAGGCATAAGTAGTAAAGTAAATTGCATTATAACGTCAAGTGGCGGATGTCCCTTACTGAAAATCAAACGCAAGACGCGTGGTTGTCTCCAACTAGGTTTAATAACAACAAAATCATTCCAAATGACATAAGTGACAAAATATAATTTACGACTGATTAACTTTTTATGTTTTACTATTTATTATATAACCACAAACGTATAATCGCAAAAAATTGCCACCAATATTTGTTATGTAAATTAACACGAAGGCGCTAAAAAGTAACATTTTACGTGACGTTTCTCATATTGTACAAAGCGGAGATAACATATCTTATAACTGGTAGAACTTGAGGTATAATTTAAGGAAAAAAAAATATGCATGAACTATACATGAAAATATACATGTGTACTTTAGTATCATTTAAAGTAATATTGTACAAAAATAATTCAATGTGGGTTACTCCACTTTTGCGCTGATAGCCGGTGTTAGTCACCGCTGATAGCCTGGTGAAATTATAGGCACATGGGACTTATCAACTTATGTTTCAAGGTGATTGGCGCAGTGGCAGTGCCCCTCAGATCTTTGCGATTTAAAGTTCTGGGTGGCACTGCAGTTATTATGGACAGGCGTATAGCTTACCATCAGGCGCATTTTCTTGTTCGTTCCGTCACTTAATATTATAAACAAAAACAAGCAGTTTAGGTACACAGCGTTCCTATGAGGCCGCACGGTTACCATGCTGGTCAGTCACGCAGAGGTTCCGGGTTCGATTCCCGGGTTAGGATAAATATTTGTATGGGCCACATTTGTTTTTCTTGTTAGTTTGGGTATAATTTGTGGTTGATATGTGTGTGTTCATGGCACCTGGGATACAGGTTTCGCTAGGCATTGGGCGTTATTTTATTATTATTATTATTACTATATCCCGAGAAGTTTTTTATAATGTAAAGTAGGAGGCAATCGAGCAGACGAGCCACTTGAGGGGAGGTAGTCATGAGCGCTCATGGACATCTGCAACGTCAGAGGAGCTGCTTACGCGTTGCCAGCCTTTGTGACCCCAGTTGACTCGCTTTTTGAAGAACCCAAAGTCATAGTGCAAAGGAAATACTTTAGGAGGAAGATCTTTCCACATCTTGCAGGTTCGAGGAAGGAACGAACGTGATGCCCGTCTTAGAGTGCCAGGCGTTAACGATGTGGGGGTAGGCCCACTCCTTCGGCGGGAGCGGCGATGGTGGAAACGTAACATCGGCACCAGTTGAAAAAGTTCCTCGAGTATTCCTCGTTATACAGACTTTAGATTATTTAGGTTTTATTATTACTCAACATCGTCATCATCAACCCATTTATACGTCCCACTACTGGGCACGGGTCAAATACAAGTTGGACGTAAATTCATTGTTTACTTCCATAACATGGAAACATCATGCAATCAACCAGCTGTACCACAGAGGCGGAAGCAGTGACGTGCCAACGTATATTCCGATTCCAATATTTCATAGCATACCCAAAACATCTCACCAATCTTATACTAATAAAACTATATTTAACTTGCGTGCGTGTTTCAGGATTTCAAGTTGTAGTGGCGTTACAATATCTATATTTTATTAATACTGTTTCATAGAAGGAAATGCCTACACGCGCGCAAAAATACAGATTTTTACAAAAGATGTTCTTAATATAGAAGGTATGGGGAGTTTCGAGTTGCTGTATAATGTACAGAGTGGCTTGCTTGCCTTGGCGGGGGCGCTATTTCTAAAATGGCATTGCTGATGTACTCGTATTTTGGGTTATCTAAAGTCAAGATTGGGTTTCTTCAATATACAATACGATAATAAATTTTTTTTAATGTTAAGCCGCCTTTTAAACGTTGTTACACCGTCCATTGTCCTGCTATTTTCCAAAGTACAAGCTTCGGAATAACGTACCTAACTTTTACAGAAAAAGGCGAACATAATCATTATTACTGTTTAATCTGGTAAAACACCCACAAGTTACGATAATAGTGACATCATTTATTGCAATTTCAAATTACAAAATATTTGTTGTCCAGTAAACGGTAGGGTAGGGTTTCATCACAACCTGTAGAATTCTGTCCTCGTAACGAAAAAAGGTACAACTATGCGTTTTCCTACAGACTTAACTTTTAACCTCAATAATTTCGTCACAGATCGAAATTTAAAATTCGGGTTTCATCACAATTTGTAGAATTCTGTCTTCGTAATGAAAAAAGGCACAACTATGCGTACTTTATATGCCTTTTTTCGTTCCGAGGGCTAAATTGTATTTTATATGCTAGTGTCAAATTTCATGCTAATCAATTGAGGAACGGCCGAGTTATTCCGTTCATAGCTAGTGTAATTTTTGGATGCCAAGAAAGCTTCGCTTGTTGCAAAATACATAAACAATGCTGATAAAACTTTTGAAAAAAATAGCGGATGTTTGTACTTAAAGTTTTTGGACGAATTAATTTTTAATTTACATCCCAATTAATGTTCTGTGGATTACGTATTATGATTTGACTTTCTTAATTATTTGTTAGCTTTTTGAGCTGGGGGCTTACTATGGTCTTATGGTGAGGTCTTAGAGCAATCCTATTTAAGCCTGTAAGTTGGACTGCCTGTAAAATTCGTACTATGACCTCACAAAAACAATTCACTGTCCATGCAGTTTACGTTCCCCATTCGAAATCCGTTTCGAACCTTTTCTTTCATAGCAAAATCGTATCATGACGTGCTATTTGCCATGCACATGGCGGTCTCATCTGTGAAAATAAGCAATTCAAAAAAAGTTACTCCGTGACTAACTTTTTTTTTATTTTGTTACATTTTTAAGAAATTTCGTTTAAGTTTTATTAAATATTCAGTTTCATAATTATTTGTTATTTTTTTAGGCTATATAGCCAATTGTCAATAAATAAATACTATTAACTAATGAGCGTTTTCTTACGCGTTTTTCGAAAATTTTATTTCGAGTTCTTTAAAGTATTGTTGATAAATTATTGGCATGAATGTTATTGCAATTTCTAAATGGAATTTTAATAATTTTATTGACCTAAAATCGTAAAATAACTTTTAAATAGTGCCAAATTTGACTCTAATGCAATCAATGAAAATGTACGAATACAAGAAACGTTCCAACCATGTTATCAAATTACAAACTCACCTTATTAATTTCAATGATAATGACTAGACATGACGTGTAATTTTGTCGTACGGCAATTGTAAAGTATGATTGAAAAGTTGCCGATATTAAAACAATGTAATAAGTATAATCAATAATAAAATTAATAAAAAACATAATTATTCTCATTTTGAACACAATCGGTTAATAGAGCTTGATCGCTCCCAGGATAGTATATTTGTCTATTTTTTTCATATGATTTAGTATGTAGTTCCATCTCGCTCTTGTTAGATGTCAGCTAGCCAACCAGAGACAATAATTAACGTTCAAAAAGTAAACTGATCATCCTGTCATGACATTCCCGTTCAACTTTATGATACGAACTTAAGTAATTCAGTTAACACGTCAAGTGAATTGTATGGCTCTTGCCTGGCTGCTTATAAGCTCAATGTAGGCCCCCCAGGTGGCTTTTTTGTATAATATCAGGTGACGGGACCAACAAGTCGTGCACCTGATGGTAAGGTACAAGCCTGTCCATAACAGTTGCAGTGCCACTCAGCTCTCTAAATAGCAAAGATCTGAGGCGCCCCGCCACTGCGCCCGTCACCCTGAGACATAAGTTGACAAGTCCCATGTGCCATGTGTAATTTCACCAGCACCCTTACCCTTCAAAACCGGAACACAGTATTGCTGACATTACTGCTTGTCGGCAGAAATATGTAAGGTGGCAGTACTTCCTTGGACGAACTCTTTCACAAGGAGCTCTACTGTTACAAATGCTGCTCTATATAAGCAATGATTAATAAATGGATAATATAATAAGCAACACCTGTAAATCTCGAGTAGCTCTGAAGTTTAGGACTTTAGGATATAGTGCATATCCTATTACATACTAACTTTTTAGGTTCGTTGTAGAGATAGGGTCCTCTCTTGGGTTGCACGTGTGGCTCGACGACGATCACCTTCTTCTCGTTGTCTTCGTCCATTGCCTCATCGCCCAGCTCTTGTTTACGGAGGACGTTCTCGAACGTCAGCCTGCAAAGAGACAATGTTGTTGAAAAATACTGAAAAATATGGGTGATTACGCCATTTGTTTTTTTAACAAACAATTAACAATTTCTAGTATTTGTGTCAACCAATACTACTGCCTTCGACACTACCAATACTACTGTAGCCGAACGGTTATCATACTGGTCTGCCACGCAGAGGTCCCGGGTTCGATTCCTGAGTCGAGAGAAATATTTATATGGACCACATTTATTTCTCTCATGAGTTTGGATGTAATTTGTGATTGTTGTGTGTGTCCATGGCACCTGCGATACATGGTGCCCTAGCGTGGCTTCGCACGGCCCACGACCTCGCACCTTTGAGTTCCTCGGAATTTATGTGCGAAATTTAATTAAAAGTGAAGAAAAACGTGTGAAGTTTCCAATCCTCATAGAGTCAAGGTGGCAGACTACGGCCTAAACCCTCGCTTGAGATGAGACCCATGCCCAGCTGTGGGACGTATTAATGAGTTGATGATGATGATGATGGAAAAGATCAAAGAAATAAATGTTCGTGGAAAAGAACAAAGAAACTGTTTGTTTATTTGAAAAGTCAAATAAGGCAAAACATGACAACATGCAAACTATTAATCACTCGTAAATAAGCAATTTTTATCTGTATAAACGTTGTTAGCTCCAAGAGCCATGAATTCATTAGTACCATAGTATGTGTATAAGACAAGTAGTCCAACTCCTGCTTGTTCGGCTCTATGCCTGTAGACAGCTCGCTCGGAGCGTAGGGTTGTCTTGTCATCTACAGGTATTCTCGTGCTATATTGAAATAACCTTTGTCAAATGCAGTACTTGCATACTGAATGTTTTATACCGACATCACGGATTAGTATCTCGATTATAAGAAAAATGGAATTTATTGTTATCCCTAATACAGCGCTCATATGTGTAACATTATTTTAATTTAATAATAAATATATTGAGTATTGAGTATATTGTGTATTGGAATGTGGGTTTGTAAATACATTACCATACATTTATAAATTAAAAAAATATAAAATTGACAAACACAAAAATATTACAAATATTTTAAACACCGAGCGAACGCTTCAATTCTAATATGGCATGCAAAATATTTTAGTAAATGTACTGTCATTTACTAAAATATTTTGCATGCCCATAAAATATATACAAATTATTTTATAATTGAAAAGTTAAATTACAAATTTGAAGACTATTTGTTAGGTATAGATGTATGAAAAGACTACATGGATTCGACATCGACAGAGATTCCACACATTGATTGATTCAATTTGTTATTTCAAGTGCATTTATTACTTTATTTGTAAACAGTAAAGTTTCTTGCTCGTTCTTCTCAGGGAAGTCAGCACAGCGAATGAGCTGTAGCTTAAAAAATGACATTTTGAAGTATAAATTTAGTTTACCTCCATATGTGATTCCATAATATTTTTTTTAGTTTTACTTCAAAATTAATGGCACATGCGACTCGCGCACTGTGCAACTGGAGTGCACCGCGAGATCATGCTAATAATGCGTACGTACGCGGCGGGCATGCACACATACAAGCCGCGCTGTTACGTTTTTATGAAGTCACGTTACTTATCTCATTATATTATGCTACTACGCTCCACACTATAATTTTGAATTAGTTATGCTTCGGATATGGTACATTATGGCGATTATAGTGAACTGTAACGCGAATCGATTTTCATGGCGTAGTTTCCAGATTACGAATCACTTTTCACACAGTCAGTTGTTGCAAACAACTGCGACATCTAGCGCAACATCTAGCGATTACAGTGCATTTATTTCCTAGGTAGTCTTTGTTCTCTGTCCTCCTCCTCCTTTGTTTCTTTTTGTCGTAAACCCTTCGTTTTCTTTTATTGAGTCCTATATGTAACAATTTATAATAAATGAATAAAGCTTCCGGAGAATCATTGCATTAGTATATAGTTTTAATAATTCATATCAATACTTTCCTTTATAATCCTCCTAAACAAATATTGTAAAAAGGAGGACACGTATTACTTGTCATTGAAGTATTCCAAAATATTAATGTTTATGCAAAAATAAGATATCGCTCTTTACAGTGTTCATTGTCATGCTGAGACCAGAGCCTCCGACGAAGTGATAGTTTAGTAGCAGTAATGTAGTCCTTGTGAAAGATTTCGCCCAGGGAAGTAATGCCACCTTACCTATTTCTGCCACCATGCAGTAATGTGAGTATTACTGCGCTCCGGTTTTGAAAGGTAAGATGCAATTACAGGCACATGGGATTTTTCAACGTACGTCTCACGACGGGCGCAGTGGCAGTGCTCATGACATCGACATTCGTATTTTATTTTTATAATATTAAGTGACGGGACGAACAAGTCGTGTGCCTGATGGTAAGCTACACGCCTGTCCATAACAGTTGCAGTGCCACTTAGAGCTTAAAATCGCAAAGATCTGAAGGGCACTGCCACTGCGTCCTTCACCCTGAGACAAGTTGACAAGTCTCATGTATCTGTAAGTTCACCAGCACCTTTACCTTTCAAAACCGGAACACAGTAATGCTGACATTACTGCTTGGCGTCAGAAACAGGTAAGCTGTCGTCTCGTCAGTAAAAAAAGTAGTACTCATATAACAATACAATTTACGATTATATAAACCTACACATAATAGTACACAATATTAGGAACGAAAAATACGTATTCTGAGTGGAAGTAAATAATAGATAAAAATTATATAATATGTACGGAAAAAAAGAAAAATACTACCTACAATATGATCGCAGTAAAGTCTTAAGCCACAAACCTTATAGCAGTTGTTACATTCAGCTTGAACGTATTATATGAGTCTCGGAAGATGTCAACTTTGTCAAATAAAACCGACTCTTAATTTTTATGGGCAGTTCATTATTTTTTCATTGTAGTCAACCTATAGCTAAATTACAAATTAAAGGCTGTACCAACTTTTCGGCAGTGGTCTATACAGTTTTAACAACTTATTATTTGTAAGTATCGTCTCGAAAAAATACGTCAGAAAATAAATAATCTCATTCAATAATCTAATAGATTAATTAATATAAAGTATATCGAGTTCTTAAGTTTTCGCGATTGTTTAACAGGAAATGAAACTATTTTTCGGATTTTATAGTTTCATTTCCTATAATATAAAGTATGTTATGTTAATGCAAAGAAAGTACGCACAATACCTGAAATACAGGTACTAATTTACTTAGTTTAGGCATCGCCACTGCACTATTCGAGTTCCAAGATTGAATTGTATAGCTTTATAATGATTGCATAATAATTAAGGTTCCTTTTTTATCATAGCTTTATGCCCATTTGTTTTAATTGTATTTAGATTAAATAATAATGAATAAAATTATCTCTTATATTATCTTTTATTATGTCTAGGTCAGTTCTGCTGGGTTACATGTATCTAATTTGAATATATGTTTATGTAAGTATGATAGTGTCCAAGTGATACCTTTAGATTTGTGTACTGATGTTATATCCAGTAATGTCATATGACGTTATGTCATATCCATAATTCAATGGTTTCATTATGTATGATAGAAGATAATATAAATGAGTCGGAATATTAATATAGCCTATATGGTCCTCATGCGATAAACACTGAATGTGTCATTCATTAAATTGTGTAGTGACTTATGTAGATCGTGAGTATTTTTAAAATAATGATGTTTTATAAAAGATGATTAAAAACGAAAGTTTGGTGAAATAGACAAAATAAACAATACATTTATAACAGGATTCGGAGTGATAATTATCACGATAATTAATGCTATCTCTAGCAACGTTTTGCCATGTGTTTCTATTCAAGATGTATCTAAACGTGTCGAATGTCAATCTCAAAAAGTCACAAGCCAAATCATTTTGCCAAAGAATTTATTACGTGTTTATTTAATTTTCTCAAAGTTCGTTTTTTAATAAAAAGTCAGAGACAAAACTACAAATCAGCATGGATTATTGTCGCATGCGTATAGGATAAATATCATGATAATTATCAAAGAAAATAATTGATATCCTCTTAATAGAAAACATGTATATTCTTTATTCCGAACTCTGAATTATATTCTCCTTATATTCTAATAGCGACAGCTGGATGGCTTTTCTTGAGCGAAAAAAGAAATATGCAATTAAGCTTGGCTACTTTTCGTCGTCTACATAGACTTTTACAAAATATTCTGAGTACCCTATGAGCGTATTAAAAACAATGGTGACTTATTTTAATATCTAAATTATAATAAGAATAAGAATAACGCACACACTCAACATAGCCCCGCACTAGGGAAACCCTGTGTCGCGGGTGCCATGGACACACATATAGACAACCACAAATTACACCCAAACTCACGAGAGAAATAATTGTAGGCCATACAAATATTTCTCCCGGCCCGGGAATCGAACCTGGGACCTCTGCGTGGCAGTCCGACATGGTAACCGTTCGGCCACGGAGGCAGTTAAATTATTGCAATAAAGTTTTCATGAAAATTCTGTACGTATATTTTGTTAACCCTGCTAAACATTTGAGCTTGCTGCCTGCAAGGTTTAGTCATCTTAATAGAAAAGTTGACAACACACATAATTAGGTACTTCAAAACCTAATAATTATAACTTTTTCATTAAAAAAAAACCGACTTCAAAAATTCGTGGAATTACATCTATTTGACAAATTTTATTGAAACTGGAAAGTGCGTATTGATACAAAGATCGAATAACACAAAGTAAAATTCCCTCGAACTGATTGGACTTGAACTATCATCTATTGCCTCTCCGGGCCATCGCCCTTACCAACCGAGCTACAGGCCGAGTCAGCAGATCTTACGAATTTCTGCACGTGCTTGTTGCAGATCTTTGTGTAAGGGGTTTAAAGGGTTTTTTGTCTTTAGCGTCATCCGTGAGAAACTTATAAAAGTTTCTTCACTCAACCAGGTCCTTTTACAGCTACCTGACACTATCGAGAGATGCCGCGATTTCACAAAAAATATCAGGGTAGTAAAAACATCATGATATTCAATAAAATAAAATAAGTAACTTACTTGAAAGGCCGAACGAGCTTTCTTGGGTCGTTGACATTAATCTTGATTTCGTAGCCGGTGAAGCTATTCCGCAGGTGCTCCATGTCCAGAAACGTGTCGTTAAAGTCCAGCGTTGGAATCTCATTGGGCATCCTAAAGAAACAGTTGTTTTTTGTTATCAACATTCAACATAAACTCACACAAAATGGTTGGACATACTGGCCAGCAGGGCGTCGCGCTTGTTCAACATTTAAAGTTTTAAATTTTTAACCTAATGTTTCTCTTTATGTATCCACAAACACGAGATTTAGGGTTTTGTAGAATTTCGTGGTTACAGAAAAAATAAACATGTGGTTAATGCTATTCATAAAGAATTTATAAGAATATTTATTATTCTCGAGCCTGGGGTTTACTGTCGTTCTCCGTCTGACATCGAAGACGTATGATGCGAATGAAGCTTAATACTTGGACATTGTTCTTTGATTTGATCGAGTATCACTTATTTCACAGCAACTGTTTCGGATGGATTTCGGACAACAAGGTACAGGTGGTACAAAGACAAGGTGATCTTAGTATTAAAAATTTATTTTTATCTTCAGAACCGGAAGACTTTATCTGAACTTACGTTTTGTCACGTTTTGTTGACAAGTTAACCATTTTAGAAATACAATTGCAATTGTATATAACAGAGAGCGTTTGTAAGTCGTAACAAGTTTGAACTGTGGCTAATTTCCTGTGATAAATGAGAATGAGGCGTAAAATTTGTTGTTCGATTTGGAACAAGTCGTCAGTCTATCGCAGTCCACTGTTTGGCTAATCCTTTTTTATAAAAAAAAGCTTATTTAACCTCCATCCCAAACGTGAAGGAAAGTGACGATGGGGTTGACGACGGAAGAAGCACACCTAAAATGCCTATTCATTTTCAGGGAACAAGTCTGCTTAGATTGAATTAAATTCAATCTAGAGCCATTCGCTATAAATATGTGGAAGCGTAGGGCTTCGTACGAATTCTTAGTAGGGGTGGCACCCCAGCCCCAGACTACGTCTAGTCCCCCAATAATGGAGAGAGGAAGGCGGAATTAAATCGTGCAATTCACACGCATCGCATACTCTCCGTGATGTATCGTGTAGGTTACCGATATATAATACCGATTCCGTATGTTGTGCCACAACTTTCGGTCTCGTGAATTTATTTAGCCGCTTCCGAATAAACTGGCGAGCTGAAATGAGTGACCCGTGGCCGTGGCGAGTGATGCGTGGATGGTGTATGGTTTAGTAGCAGTAGACCTCCTTGTAAAAGAGTTCGTCCAAGGAAGTACTGCCACCTTACCTATTTCTGACGCCAAGAAGTAATGTAAGCATTACTGCGTTCCGGTTTGGAAGCGTAAGGGTGCTGGTGAAATTACAGGTACATAGGACTTGTCTCAGGATAACAGGCGCAGTGGCAGTGCCCCTAAAATCTTTGCGATTTAAAGCTCTGAGTGGCACTGCAACTGTTACGGATAGGCGTGTTGCATACCATCAGGCACACGACTTGTTCGCCCCGTCACTTAGTATTATATACAAAAGTCAATCGGTGAAGGCGGTTCATTAAAGTGCTTTAATAATATAAGTGTTAGTATAATAATAAAAAAAAATTATAAGCCAGACAACCATACCCTTGCCTGGTCTCAAACTAGGAAATTCCGTTTATTAGGAGTACCAGAGCAACAGAATTCACTCGGGGGCCAAAAGACCAGAACCAATTAAAAAAAGTTCATTTCCCAAATTGGTATTAACGGGAATCGAACCCGGGACCTCCGCATCCAGCGCCCACAATGAAAACATATAGGCCACCGAAGTCATCAAACCTTTGTAGCATTTAATAAGACGTATTCCGAGACGGCACATCTTTGAGCTATGATGAACTTAATCACATTTCGAACTTACCTTGTATAATGCGCCTGTCCAGGATCGCCGTAACCAAGAACGATGTCATGTAGCCAATCAGGTACGACACACTCTGTGTTCATAAGCTCGCGAATGGTTTCCAGTACGGCCTTGAAATTGTTCTCTTTAGGTTTTCTTCGCATTACTATGTTGAATGTTTCGTATACATCCTGAGGGTGAAAATGACTGAGTTTAATAACGTCCTAACGGCACCCAAACCACCTCTAAATACCGATAATTATACTTAGGCTAGCAGTGTAAAGATATCCATTATTTTTATTTATTTTTTGACAGCATATGAGGGGACGAACTAATCGTGCGCCGGGTGTTGAGCGACACGCTTGTCGAAAAATACAATAAAAAAATAAAGTAACGCCGTAAGTGACTTTGTAAGAGCAAATGAATGTATTGTATATCGTCGTCTTACAGTGAATTTTCAGGACGAAGTTACAAATGTGGCGTAAAATGTAGTAAACGCAATAGTGTTTATAGTACTCTGTACTTAGCATTTAAATGAGTTAAATTACCGATACCATTTTTTTTTTCAGATACCATATTACTTTAATAATTTTACTAGATTCTCTTCAGCAAACATCAGTAAATACGAACGAAAGGCGACTATATATAAATAATATGATCGAAAATAACAAGCAAAGTAATGTATCGTATATGTAAATAATATGATCATTACTATACATATATTAATATGCATTCATGATTTTATTTATAAAATACTAAAACAACAGTAAATTACACCAGTTAAGTTAAATAAAGTCAAATAAGTAGCTTAAACAAAGGCGGGAGTACTTCCCTGACGAACTGACGAAAGAAAATGTTTACGTAAAAATAAATAAATAAAGTAACGCCATAAATGTTTAGTTCCTTGGTTTTAAAAGTCAATAATATTGAATAATAAAAAACTTGATTTAATATTTTAACTAATTTCATTTTTATTCAATAGAATTGCCTAAAACTTAATTGATTTCAATTAGTTTTTGTAAAATGCGTAAAGTTATTCTTAAAGCATTCTTACGATCAATAAAAATATAGCCATAAAAACAAACAACAGGAAAGAAAATTCAATATTATCGCTATCCATAAATAAATACATATTTATAAAATTAACATACTAAATAATATTTTTTGAAAAGTGTCCTTCACAATTAAAAACTCGTTTCAAGCTCATTTATTAATTCATTTTTCAATAACAAAAATAAAATTCTATGTTATTGAATACTAATAAGGCTTATGTTGTACCTTGAATTGATTAAAACACCGATTACTTAACCAACTAAAGTATTAAGTTTCACCATTGACTTACTGTTTCACGAATTGAATTTGTATTCTTTTTTGAACAAAACTTCTGCGAAATTACTTGCTTAAAATAACAAATCATAAAAATTTCAATTTAAAGTATCATAGAGCACAACATCCTCCAAACACAGAATTAATTTTAGACATTGTTTATACATTTTCAACAAGTTTTCTTTGTAAGCATGAAAATGATGGGATCAATCTGAGGAGGTAATATGTTTCAAATCACGAAAGGTGCTTCATATACCATACGGTACATTTTTAGAGGTACCATTTACGTAAAGCAACTTAGTTACTTGTACTTCTGAAAGTCAAATCAGACAGTCCGTGACCACGGCCAGTGGAACTAGGCGGAAACCTCAGAATAATAGGTTGTAACGGTTTTCACTAAAACTGCGCAATTAAAACACTAAAACCTAAAAATTCTTTCCATAAATTATGTTTTGTGGGGTTTGACAGGTTCATAACAAATAAATACTCTCATGTCAACTGACATTTTTGATAATATTGATGTGGGTAATGTCTTTCGGCTCTGTACTCGCCAGTCTTTTGTTTATGTAATTATCGATATTTGTGTAATTCTTAAAGTTATTAATAAAAAACTACACGGAAAAATTCCTTAAATTAATACATATTAAATTTGACTCTAAAATTGAACTTAGACACACGCTACTCCGACAATATGTTACTTCGACATTACTTTACTCAGACACTGCGCTACTTCGACAACACAGACGAGGTGTTTCTTAAAAAAATCTTTGTACTCAGATAAGAAAAATCATCATTACAAACCCACGTAGGAAATAATTTCTTATATCGAGCAACATAACAAAAAAATTACAACGTTATGTAATCGGAAATTTATTTTATTAAAATACAGAGTGTTTTTTAAAATGGGACAGTGTGGGGAAATCCGAAACCATAGAAGATACAAGGAAACTATCTTAGGAACCATAAAGTCGACTTTTTTTTTGTGAAATCAATTTAAATCTACCCTTAAAATTTAAAAGTGCTGCGTGGATGATTTGTATTTGTATTTATTTATTGTCAGGTGTTACAAATGTGTTACATTACGACTAGAGTATAGTACATGACCCTGAATCACTCACTGCATGTCAAGATATTGAATACAATATAAGAAAATATAATGAAACAAAATAAAAAATTAAAAATTTTAGAATAGGAATTAGAGGCGTAAACGAAAAATGTCAAAATTTAAAAATTGATGTCAAAATAAATTCTAAAACCAAAGCAAAAAACGTCATGGAGAAAGTCGAGAGAATATATTAATTAATATTATGAATTCGTCAAATTACATGTGTATAAACTCATCATCAATTAATTATTAAGTATTGATTCATTCGATTATCGGTAATAGTATATATAATATTAATATAAAATTTTACCATATTATAACCAACGCCATTGCGTTGATTCGAATTTGAATGAACTCCGTTTTTTGTGTAAACAAGAACCTAATTACAGTAAACAGAAAAAACATAATTTTCGGGACGGAAGAAAATTTGAAACTGCTTTTCTTGCTTTTTTTTGCTTTGCTTTTGTATATTTTGTTTTATTTTAATAATTGTTTTTGTTACACTTTATAGAGAGTGTTTTTTAATGGGACAATATGGAGAAAACCGAAACCATAGAAGATACAAGAAAACTGTCTTAGGAACTTAATTTAAAAAAATAAAAAAAAAAAAAAAAAAAATTCTAATAAAATTTATCAAAATTTTGTTTAGTGCTGATCGACTCAGAGTCATGAAGGGTTCATTTCATTGATTGGGACGAAAAAATCGGGACAGCAGAAGTTGATCAAATTCCACAAAATATTTTTCATACAAAATAAATAAAATTGACAATTTTTATAATGCTAATGGACTCAGTTTCTTAAAAAGATGACTTCATTGTACGGGAAGAAAAATTTCATACACAATGAATAACATTTAATTAAATTTGACCAACTTCTGCTGTCCTGATTTTCTTCATCCTATACAATGAAATGATTCCGTCATGAAACTGAGTCGATCGGCACTAAAAAAGAATTTGATTGCTTTAATTTGTTTTTAGGAAAACTCACGCTTGACCAAACAATTGACTATGCTAAAACAGAGTGATTTTTTCGACCTAACATCGCAAAGACGATCAAGGCGACACATAGGAATTGATACTCTCATAATTACCTCATTCCCCTTGCTAGCTCTGTCCAAGTCCAACCTATACTGGTTAGGATCTAGCAACAGACGAAATGTTCTTGAATCACCATCCAGCTGTGGCCTGGGCTCTGGACCTTCTTCTATGACCCTTCCTGATGCATCCAGCATGCCTTCAACTTCACAGCCTCGCACGTACACTATGCCCGCTTGGTCTACCATGCTCTTCCTGTAGTCGTATTTTGTACCTTTCAAGAAAAAAGGGGTTTGTTTTATCTATTTAGTGTAATTTGGAGTTGTCTATGTGTGTGTCAATGGCATCTGCGACACAGGGTTTCCTTAGTGCCAGGCTATGTTGAGTGTGTGCGTTAATAAACCTGAGTTATTCCCTAATATGCCAATGTGCCACTCTTGGAGGTGGAATATTTTCTTCAAATTTAAATTGGACCACTACAGAGGAAACCCCTTTCCAACAAGAAAGAATAATCGAAATCGGTTCACAAATATCCGAGTCGCTTAACATACAGAAAAAAATACAGTCCAATTGAGAACCTTTTTCTTTTTTTGCTTCTTCGAAATAGGGATATTACTGCGTTACTTACTATGTTACCGAAAACTTTTGTACAAATAAATCTTATAAAATAAGCGAATAAAATACTGCAGTATCCGAAAAAACTTGCTGACGTAACACTGTTCTACCAATTTATTTTATATTTTACCGAAAACGTAATTTTTTTAAATAATATCCAGCGACAGGACGAACAAGTTGTGCGCCTGATAAAGCTATGGTTGGGGTTTCTCTGATGGACCGAATTCCTAATGAAGTCAAACGTCAAAAAACGTTTTTTTATAATATCAAGTGACAGGACGAAGAAGTCGTGCGCCTGGTATTAAGTAACACGCATGTCCATAACAGTTGCAGTGCCACTCAGATCTTTAAATTGCAAGGATCTCAGGGGCACTGCCACTGTGCCCGTCACCCTGAGACACAAGTTGACAAGTCCCATATGCCAGTAATTACACCAGCTCCCTTACCCTTCAAAACCGGAACGCAGTAATGCTGATTTTACTGCTTGACGGTAGAAACAGGTGAGATGGCAGTACTACCCTGGACAAACTCTTTCACAAGGAGTTCTACTGTCCTACCGGAACATGTATTGGCATATAATTTTTATATGCCAATACATGTTCCTGAGCACATACAATCAGAATGTCTTTGCTCCAAGGCTTACGCACGAGTAAAGTCCATTAAAAAAAATAGCTAACACGTTTTCGCTCTGGACTATTTCGAGGCATGATTTGTGATGATGCAATCGTGCAAAACAGTACAATTTTACTTCGTTTACAGATGACTTATACAAGCTACCGGTAGCAACGGCTACAGTCGTTAAATTACATGACGTATTGCAATTAAAGAGGATTATTTTAATCGCGTTTCCAAACAAATCTTATGTATGAAAGTGAACAGGCGCTAGCGTAGGAAATTAAACAATTTTTTTTTTAATTTTTGAGAACATGACATACGTTGCTCTGATCCCAAAGTAAGTAGCTAAAGCACTTGTGTTATGGAAATCGGAAACAACGATGCACCCAGACTCGAGACAATATAGAAAAGTTAGTTTTCTACACTGACCCGGCCGGATCGAACCCGGGACCTCAGAGATGGCGATACCATGAAAACCGGTGTGCAAGCCACTCGACCACGGAAGCCGTCAAAACATAGAAAACGAAATTATTGTTTCGGATGTAAAGTTATTATTGTAACAGTTGCAATGCTGCCTCAGAGCTTTAAATCGCAAAGGTCTGAGGGCAACTTCCACAGCGCCTGTTACCCTGAGACATAAGTTGACAAGCCACATGTGCCTGTGAAAATGAGACCTGTAAAGGGCCCAAAACGTTGGTTTGTTTGAAAAAACAAGTATATGCAATATAAATCCAAAAAAGCACTTTTTTTTCCTATGTGTAACATTCGCGAAAACCTATGAGCTCGATAAGCGCTAGCGTGTTTTAGTACAGCGTTAATGTAGTAGCACCAATCAACCAAATATAAAAAACAGGTTTATTAATATAAGTATTTTTCGGAGATAATTTTATAAAAAAAATATTTTAGTTTTATACCTTAAAAAGTGTAACAAACAGAAATTAGAATAGACAGATATTATAAAAACTTCCAGTAATGTTCGCTTAGGTATCATTAAATAGATTCAGGTACTATGATTATCTATTCGCCAACTTATCACATGCGAATAAAAAGTATTTGAATCATATTTTCATTGTTACTAAATCGCTATTTTAAACGAAGTGTAAAAACGTTTATTATTTATGTCTTACCTATGCCTTGATTTGGCCGTACAGTGATAAGGAAGCAGACATCGTGCTTTCTCAAGTTCTCCCACTCCTGTTTGATCTCGTTGCGCACGCTCAAAGTCACTGTGACGTCAGCGCGTACTCGCGAAGGCGCCTTCTCTCCAATGTTAGGTTTGGCTACTTCTACTACTGCAAAGCTCGTTATGGAATGGGCCATACGTGCCCAACCGCCGAAGTAGACGCTTCCATCTTCTGAGCGCCTTGTAATGAAAATAAACTAGTTACTCTTTTATGCTTGTATCCAAGCCATTAAATGAGATGTTTCGTTGACCGTAACACCTAAAAGCGGTCGGCCCGAGTTTTTAAAGATTTCTTCGCATAGCAAATGACAGCCACACATCTGCCCAGCCCATTTCATATTAATAATTAACCAATTACATAACTGCCTCCGTGGCCGAACGGTTACCATGCCGGACTGCCACGCAGAGGTTCCAGGTTAGATTCCCGGGCCGGGAGAAATGTTTGTATAGCCTGCATTTATTTCTCTCGTGATGTGTCCATGGCACCCGCGACACAGGATTTCCCTAGTGCGGGGCTATGTTGAGTGTGTGCGTTGTGTTATTATTATTATTATAATTGCAGAATAACAACCCATTGCAGCTATTTCAATAATTCCCCATTTGCAATTTTGATTCTTGCTCCTCTACAGACGCGTGTGCATCATCACAGACGAGTTCATAGGCAAAATCACAAACCTTGGAAAGCCATTAAATACTTAAAATAAAGCCAGAGTATAATGGTGAACACATACCTGTAGAACGCGAACTGCGTTAATAAAAATACTATAATAAAGCCGACAATAGCCAGTTCAAAAACCAGTACCTTTAGCAAAGTATGTAATAATAACAATTATTAATATTTCCTTATTGGCGGCAAAAAGGCTTAATTATAATTTTAGGGAAGTAACGTGATAATGTTTTTATTTTTACATTTCTGACAACTCACCAGGGTGCCAATCGGTATACTGCATCTTCAATATCTTGACGGATTTCATCTAAAACAACAAAATCATTAATTCAAATTCAAATATATTTGTTTCAGATAAAAATCCATATAGTGTTATAAACAAAATAACTTAAGATCTAGTGTTAGTATTAATTAATTTTATATCATTTAATAGGACAACACAAGTAAATTTATTCTCGAATGCGCGACCCACAAACTGCACGTGACAGCACTTGACAGTAAGCTTTAAATAGTGTAATTTTTACCTGTTTAGTAGAACGTGCAAATCTGCGAGCCAACATATTACAACGAACAGCCAGCGACCTGCGCACCCTCTCTATGTCACAATTGCAATTGAGATCCTTTGTGACCCAATGACCCAAATATTTTAATTTAGACACCCTGGACAAAGCTGTACTATAAAGTGACACTTCAGGTATTTGCGCATAGTTCATAGCGGCCGCTTTAAACACCATGAACTCACTTTTCTTCACGTTATATTAGACCGTGAGCCACAGCATAAGCCTCACACGTGTGTAACAGCTTCCTTAGACCACCTATAGATTGACTCAACAGCACCATGTCGGCATAACTTATATTATTGATGCAAACACCATCGATATGACAACCCACCCTAGTGCTATTGAGTTCGTCCATTAGGTGGTTCACTTAAATATTAAAGAGGCGAGGCGAACTCAAACCACCTTGGCTCACACCACACTCTAATGAGTACACATCAGAGTAACAGTCAGCTCATCTGACGCTGTTCTTCTGACTACTGTACCAATATTTAAATAATGAAACCACTTCGGGAGCAATGTTTTCTAGCAAATTTTTCTAGATGTAGTCTTCTAGTCGTAGAGAGTACTGGACAGTCTGCTTGAGAGATAGAATTGCGCTCTCAGTGGAAAGTCCAGGCCTAAAACCAAATTGATTAACCGATATTGTAGAGTGCCTGGCAAGATGTTTGTCAAGCAGACTATCTAACACCCTGGCGATGATAGTAGCCAGCGATGTCGGCCTGTAGTTGGACAAGTCGGTAGCGTCACTCGTTTTATTTTTAATTATAGGTACCACCACTGTTTGCATTAGTTCATTGGGTAAGTACCCGTGGCTCAAACACAGATTAAAAAACATGGAGAGCACCCGTGGTAGATGTACCCCAGCATGCTTCAGGTGCTCGACGCTAAGATCGTCGTGCCCTGGAGATTTACCCTTGACCATTTTTTTAATTACTACGGCTAGTTCTTTAGCTGAAAATCTTAAGGAGAGGCCAATAGCATCGACGGCCTTCTCGTCAGAGACCCATCGCGCATTCGTTAACGAAGGCTCAACCTTAAAATATTAAACAATGTAATTGGACATTTATTATTTATTTTTTCAATGCCTTTTTAACCTTTTTTTAATGCACTTGAATTTGGAATGTTTGCAATTAGTTTGTTTTAATATAAAGTAGTTTGAGCAAAAACTTCAGTCCTTTGCATCTTCTATCCTCTTCAAACATGCGCACTTTTGTAGCGGCTGTTTTTATTACGAGCCGATCACCAACCGATGAATTGGCAATTTCGGTAAGACTGTAGTCTTATCTATACAGACGAACTGTGTGCATTAAAAATTACGCAACATCGAGATTACGTATAATTTTCATTTATTTTTCGCCACAAGTTAGGATCTGTCAGAAGTTAACTGTAATTTTTCTTTATCTGTGCCGAACTGGGTTTGACTTCGCATAACTCAAGGACCTAAATACTTGGAATTACGAGGTGAGTGGGGAACGTTCCTGTAACTTCGCCCTGTTTACATTATTCCAGTCCGTAAGAGAAGATACTTTGCAAGTGTATTTTGTGAAAATAACTTAATTTTATTTAAAAAAGGGGTACGAGAAGGGCACAATGGAAACACGTCTATGGATGCAAACACCCGTCCCATACGTCGAGTTATATAAAATATTAATATGCGATTAAGTTCCGATTTTTGTTAAATCAAGTAATGTGTGAAAATAGTGAAAGTTTAAATTAATGCAACTTAATTTTATATTAAATCGCAAAAATGCAGTACGCTATTTAATTTATAGTTTGGCTAGGTTTTTATGTCTGTTCCGACATGTTCTGACTCCAAATAGGTTACACAAGAATTAATAACATTCCAAAATGAATTGGAAAATTAATATAGAAGTTCCAATGGAACAACAATATAACTCGACGGGAATTCTTTGCTAACAAGCCAACAGCGTGCGTAATAAAACTCACATGTACTCTCCAATCTAAATAGATTAAAGTTCCTCAACAAATAGTCGTGTAAAGTCAAGAACTGCAGGTTTAGTTTCGGCAGAGCAAGGCAGTTTTCTCCGCTGTATATTTCTGTGGGTACGACATTCTCGTCCCATATAACTTCCTCCGTTGGATATAATGGCATGTTGTTCAATTCTTCCAATTGGGATATTCGACGTTCATGGCGTGATATCTGGAATAAATTATCATTATTATTCTAAAGCCCGTTTCATGATACCTATGTACATTTAAATTAGTATTTAGGTCAAAAACATTTAAAATGGCGAAATTGATGGCCTAACTGATTTTTTTTATTGACCTCCTGGGCACAAGTTAAGGCAAAGAAGATCAAAAATAACAAGAGTATTGATGCCATTTTTGCATTATTCGCAAAATATTCGATTTTAATATTTATTACTATTTTTTTTATGAAAGTACTCCACAAGTTGTTGTTATAATTAATACAAAGATCGAGCAAACTCAAAGAAAAAAAACCTTTGAAAGACTCGAACCAGGGATATTTTCGCCTAACGCGGTCTATGCTCTCCCAACTTTTACTACTTTTACAACTTTAACTTCCTCTGTGGCCTAACAGTTACCATGACGGACTGGCACGCAGAGGTCCAAGGTTCGATTCCCGGGCCGGGAGAAATATTTGTATGGCCTACATTTATTTCTCTCGTGAGCTTGGGTGTAATTTGTGGTTGTCTATGTGTGTGTCCATGGCACCCGCGAGACAGGGTTACCCTAGTGCGGGGCTATGTTGAGTGTGTGCATTATTATTATTATAACCATTGACGTACAATTATATGGACGTCGGATCCGCGCTAAAAAGTGTCCGAACTTATAGGGCGTTAAAATCGTATACAGAGCGTCATTCACGCTTTAGTTTTCGTTTGTTCGACTGACAGCGAAGCAAGCAAAATTAGACAGTACTGCGATGACATTACAATTTAAATTCAACGTTTTAGCTTTTTCATATTCCTTTACATGTCACTACGTTTAAATAGGTTGACTTGGGACATTTTTTTCGTGGTTTTTGTATTAGACCCGTCGTTTATTTATTTGTAAGTCAATGATTATAACTGAGCTACTACGGAACGAGTCAGCAGATCTTACGAATTTCTCTATGTGCATGCTGAAAATCTTTGTGTTTGGTTTTTAATGGCTGTTTTGCCGTAGCGCCTCCTTTGAGAAAACTATGATTTTTTTTCCTTCTCAGCCTCCTCAGGCTTCAATTAAAAATGTTTACAATAGTGTGAAAAAAGTTTTTTTTTTTGCAAAAGACAGGGCCATGAGTGTTACATAACAAAATATGTTACTATTTTCACGATCACGTTACCAGTAGTTCCTTGAGAAAGATTTTATCCAAGCGATGCCATGGTGCTTCGTCCTCTTTGCCTTCTGGAGGTATGAGATTCAGGTACGTAGCAATGGCGCGCAGTGCTTTGTCACTGGAAGAAAACATATCGTAAAGAAAGCTGAGCAACGAGGAACAATAATCACTCTTTGTTAATAAATCGAAATTATACCTAACTAATAAATGTTACAATAATTTAAGTAAATACTTTAATGTTAAAAAATAACAATATTACTATAAATTTTAATAACAAAATTAGAAAATAATAAATAAATCTTGAATTGCGTTATATTATATAAATATATTATTGTAATTTAATTAAATTGAAATTTTCGCAGAGACATACTTCATATTTATACAATATAATATTTGATAGTGAACAATTCAAGTGACTAATTGAAACCTCGGCATGCCTCTGCTCTTAGTTCTTAGGTCAGCAAGAAAAATCCAACATATAAACATAAATAAATATCTCTGGAGTTACATGATAGTATAACTTTTGAAAATAAAACAAGAGTGAGAAAAATTTTTAAACTTCAAACTGCCATATCTTGAAAGTGACTGATGGGGATGTGCATAAGATCCTTTTTGTTTAATTACGTCCAATTGTGCTCTTTTATGAAGTAAAAAGTTGTATGTAAACAATTTTCGCCGGAAGTATAAAATAATCGAAATTCAAACAAACAAGATAGCCGCCATATCAATTTCAAAGTCTTCTATCACGGAAACTATTAGAGATAAGTAGGAGGTGCTGGAAGGAATGTCATAGAGGGTAATAGTGGTCAACTGCCTGTGTCAAAAAATTCAAGATGGCGAATTCGAAATGGCGGCCGAGTCTTTTTGGAGTCCTTAATCATAATTTGGGATCGAAAGTTCTTTTCGCCACTTTTTAATACGGCTGCGGTCAGGTATCGTATTAAAAAATGGTACTTTCCATTAAAAATGACTGCCGAAAAAGGCTTGCTCTGATTTGATTTAAAACTGACACGTGGAGGCTTCTAGGAGTGCCTGATAATGGTGCCGCCACACGAGTATTGTTTTTCGATGTAAGTAAATGACTGTTGACTGTTGAAAATTGGCACGAAAAGTTTTCTATGATCGCCTAATAATAATTTGTTCTTAGTTTCTTAAGAAAGTACCCAGGTCGTGGGCCGAGGTTAGATAGATATATAGGTAGATAGTATATGGAGGGTCTATTACGAGTAGAAGATCTCACAATTGCTGAAAATGTAAGGCAAACTTCCCGATGCAGTGGAAATAATAAAACCGATTCAAATTTTTTTTTTAAAATTGAAATTTACATGAAGTAATGGCTAAATCATGCTCGTACTCCCTTTATTTGTGTTGTAACACAAATGTAAACGAAAGATAATTGCATCTCTTTAGGGACTTACCACTCTTATTAAAACGACATTGACTTGAGCCAGTAAAAGCTTTATCTCCATGCAATAAATCGAAAATGCCGTAGAGCATTTATTTCGCTACCGCTCGGACCGCGCCGGCGCCGACGCGAAACGCACTTCTTGTTCGCTCATATTACATAATACACGGACGTAAAGCTTTTTCGGTCGACCAAATACAGCAAAAGCAGTTTGAACTGTGTGTGGGTATTGTATTAAAATACCACTTGAGATTCAAATTATTGATTAAAATTATTGAAAACGAAGTTGTACAAGTACAAGGTCACCTTGGATTCAGTTGAAAGGCTTGCCGAAGATTGTAGGTGACTCGGATTTAATAGAGGCGAAGCTACAAGGTTTTGAACACCGCCGTAAAGTGTGGGCATGGATAGACAATCCATGTAGGATATAAAACTTTTTTAAACGGCTTCATGCGATTCCATCTCGATAAGTGTGGTGATGGCCTTGCATGCCTTGTAAAATAATTCTAGTCAGAATAAGTATTGACTAATATTTTTCGTTTCTAATATTGTGCAGTATTATGTGTAGGTTTATACATATTATTGTAAATTGTACTGAGTACAACTGCGTCAGAGCCTCTGGGGGCCTACCACAACCTCTTAAAACAATATTACTTTAACCTTACATTGAGTTTTTTCGTACCATAACGCGCTTAAAGTAAGCTTATTGCAATGTTAAAGCTATGATGTTTTATTGGCAGCTTTGTGACTATTCATTCACTCAGTTCGTGCTATGACGCGACTTTAACAATAAAGTAATATTGCTCTTATGTCAAATTTAGCAATCTTAAAATAGTTACACGGATGCAATGGAAACAATATTACTTTCGAATTTGTAGTCTAAATATTGATTTGTAATGATTAAGAGTCAAGTTGAACTTATTTCTTTACATATATCTCTTCAATATTTTGTTTATTTTTTTATTTAATAGTACATACTAAATAATTTCTCGTTAAATAAAAATACGCGATGTTTATTTCGTAAAATTGTTACAGAGACATCTATATGCTCCTTGGCTACACTAACAGTCAACAGTAGACTCTAATTCCGAATTCACAACGTGACAGTCAAGACTCAGCTTGTATTATTTATTTTTCTTCATGAAAATGCAAAAAATTAATTGAAAACAACGTAATTTTAATAAATTTCATTATTACATACTTTTCTTTTTTTGGCAGTTAAAATTCTCTGAATGTAAATAATATTAAGTACTTTAACATTATGCCACGATAGGACGATTCGAAACATCAAAAAAAGAAAGAGATGGCATTGTACAGTTAATATAGAGTTATTTCTTTCCTTTTTAGAGAAGGGATAGACAATAATGGGAAATCACTAGTTCTTTCAGTAATTTTAGCAGTAATACATTTCTTGGTAGACAGGTTTGTCATGGCACGAATATGAGTAATATTATAACAAGCTTACTTTAAGCTTACATTGAAATATATTGTTTTTAGAAAGGTTATGGTAGGCCCCCTGGTATTAGCGCGACAATGAACACTGTAAAGGGCGATATCTTATCTTTGCATAAACATTATGTTCTGGAATATTGAAATAAAGCTACTAATACGCATAGCGCTGTTTACATTATTTGTTTAGGAGAACTGAGGCTATTCGCACAAAAGCGTTGTAACTCCATGAAATGTATATAGAAGTTAATAAAGCATTTCAAATAAGGCAAATTTAATTTTATATCCGGGAATCATATACCTACGACCCATACATAAAAAAAAATTAAACATGAAAATACCACCCAAATGTATAATAATTATGTACTTAAGTATCATTTAAAGTAATATTGTAGAACACAGATGTTAAATGTGGGTTACATTCACAGAAATCTTAGATACCGTTTTGCGCTGATAACCTCAATTATACTGGAAAATGTTAGATGATGTACTAGTATACCCGATTTTTCGTAACCTTAAGCTATTTTAATTCACAGCTACGTATAGGACTCAATAAAAAAAACGAAGTATTTAGTATAACAGCCACGCTCTGAAGGCGAGAGAACAGATTAGCGTAATCTAATATACCCTGACTTACCTCAGATTACCAAAATGTTTGTGGAGAGATTCTCTTGTATCAACACTTGCAACGTTTGCTAGAGCAAACAGTCTCAAATCTGGAAACTTGGCGAAAGCTGCTTTCTGTGAAAAAAGATACCAATTAATAATAAGCGTGTAGAAAACGTGTAGAGCTATGGTTGGGGTTTCTCTGATGGAGCGAATTCCTAATGAAGTCAAACGTCAAAAAACTTTTTTTTATAATATCAAGTGACAGGACGAAGAAGTCGTGCGCCTGGTATTAAGTAACACGCATGTCCATAACAGTTGCAGTGCCACTCAGATCTTTAAATTGCAAGGATCTCAGGGGCACTGCCACTGTGCCCGTCACCCTGAGACACAAGTTGACAAGTCCCATATGCCAGTAATTTCACCAGCACCCTTACCCTTCAAAACCTGAACGCAGTAATGCTCACATTACTGCTTGGCGGCAAAAACAGGTAAGGGGGCAATACTTCCCTGGACGAACTCTTTCCAAGGAACCCTACTGCTACTTGACTGAAGTGATCGATACAGCTCGCAAAATCAGATAACCTTATGACAGTGGCAGTAGGCCGGACATGTTTGCAGGAAGGAAGGATGGCCGATGACTTGTTCTAGTATGACGACCACGTCAAGGCAAAAGTAGTATAGGACGCCCTGCGGCTAGATGGAGGGACGATCTAAGAAAGGTTGCCGGCAGCGAAGGACCGGGAGAGTTGGTGTGCTTAAAGGAAGGCTTACGTCCAGCAGTGGATGAGTGTAACCTAATGATGATGTGTAGAATTCTAAGATACGAATTAATATTTGTACGAGCCGTAACTTCGACTTGGAGAGCAGATTATACGGATTTTAGAGCGGTGCGTATTGGTCTATGGACAGCCAAAATAAATAAATAACCACGGAACTTCGTAGCGGGTCTGAACTAAAAGGCAAAATGGCGTTGTTTCATAGGAACTAAGAACAGTTCCATGCGGAGAACATTTCGAATCAGATCTACATCTGCATTACCTCAAAAAGATCGTGGTTTGCAGATGGCATAATGGACAAACTTAAAACTAGCCTTAATCCTTACCTGGAGAGAAGTAATTCTTGAATAGTGCATAAGGGTCATGTCACGATCGCTCATGGGATCTCCAGTTTCATCATTAATTTCGAAGCGAGCATAGAACTTTAGCATTTGAAGTAACTGACGACAAAGAAAAAAAATATATTAAATTTAATAAAAAAAGTTTCCATGAAACCAATGTTTTGGGTTCTATAGTTCCTTTTGAGGGCTGGCGCTGGACTGAATTTGGGCCGGAGTCTTGTTTTTCTTTGTTGCTGTTGCGGACGGACTCGGCACTGGAGTGAACGCATTGGCCGTAGAGGTGGGTGATAAATAACGTCACGATGAAAAAAATTCGATGATCCGCCGTCAAACAGTATCACCGTGACTCGTTCCGAAGGAACGACGTTCCAAAGTCATATAGGTGTTCCTCTGTTCCAATAGCTATCCCCGTCACTCACATCACGACATACGTATTTGATATAATGCGCGATCTCCGTTCTGTGGTGACTGAGCGCGCCACTCGTAGTTCTCTTCAAATCGGGCCATTTCGGCGATGGGAGTGAATGAAATAGACTTTCTTTGCTCACTCACAAGGGGCGTAGGTGCTTATTACTACTAGAAAAGGCGGATGAAAAAAATCTGCAGCAGTTATTATAAACCTATTTATGAACAAAGTAAAATATATTTGTATATTTGTTTTGTTATAGGAAGAATTGGTATTTTATATTTATGTATAATCTACTTTGTGTATTCTACTAGAAATATAATTACATTAAGCAATAAAGTTATTGCTATTTTTAACAATCCAAAGATTCGCATTAAATAAGTAACAAACAAAATTACATTAAGTACAAAATCAACTTTTTTAATGGAATTGAAACTTATTACAAAGGGAGTAAAAACTTAAATCATTCTATAAAAAACGGCTATAAGTATTAGAAAGAAGCCGCTGGCTGAAACCGTATATCGTGATGTAAGTTATAGGCGTGACAAGGTCACGATGATTTATCACTGTGATTTTTTGGAATGGGAACGACAGTCACGGCGATAGGAATGTAATGCTATTCCCCATGTCTGGTTGGCCGTGTCGTGCGCGCCTATTATCCTTTTCGCAGGCGTTTGCGGCGTCGAAGTGCGGGGAGGCGCGGGGGGAACACGACAGCATACGAAGCTGTGAGGCGGGCTCGAGCAATACGTTAACGAGAGCCGGTCGGCTCAGCTAGACCTCAGCAATACCGTAACGAGAGCCGCGGTTTTATTTAACATTTTTACATCTATTCTATTTATTCCATTGAGGAAATCTTTTTCTAAGACAAGCTTGCCTATTTCTTTTTTGCCCATTGCCTAATTCTATTTCTAGTTACTATCAAATTCAAATTCAAAATAATCTTTATTTCATAGGTAAGAATTATTACACTTGAAATCGTCACAATGAGAGCCCCTGAGAAGAATGAGCAAAAAACTCTAGGGGTTGCTCTTTGTATTTGAAACATCAGAGATCGAGGCTACCTCCATGGGTTAAACGGGTTACTTACTATCACGGATTTTTGTCATCCAAGTACGCAGAAGTTGTATAATAACCTTTAGTATAAAGTTTTTGTTTCACTATAGTTTTAAGCCTCGTGAAAGACAAATTTTGTATATCAACTGGAATCTTGTTATAGAAGCGTGTACATTGCTACTTAAATGATTTTTTGACTTTGTGAAGACGACTATCAAGAAAAGCTAGTTTATTTTTATTCCTCGTATTAATGTTATGTCTGTCACTATTTTTCATAAAGAAATTACTATTCCTTTTAACATAAATTACATTTTCATAAATGTACTGTGAGGCTAGTGTAAGAATATTAATTTCCTTAAACTTATCTCTCAAAGATAGTTTGGGGCCTAGATTGTAAATTGCCCTAACTGCACGTTTCTGCAGGACAAATAATCTATTGATATCGGCGGCATTACCCCAAAGCATAATGCCGTATGTCATTAGACTGTGAAAGTAGCTGAAGTAAAGCAATCTAGCGGTTTCGACGTCTGAAAGTTTCCTTATTTTTTTAATCGCGTACACTGCAGAGCCGAGCCGTTATGATAACTTACTTATATGGGGACCGCATTGCGATTTAGCAACTAACGTTATACCTAGAAATACAACTGTATCCACAAGATTCAATTTTTCGTTTCTAACTACAATGTTTGTAACCGTCTCTCTAACATTGGGTAATGTAAATTTCACACAATTTGTTTATATCTCATTAAGGAGTAGGTTATTAACAGCAAACCAATCAACTACTTTAGATATAGCATTGTTCACATCGTCGTAGGTACATTGGTGTCTTTTAACTTTAAATAATAAGGAATTATCATCAGCAAACAATACTATCTCATGTTTTATACCCTCCATAAAGCTAGGTAAGTAATTAATATAAATTAAAAACAAAAATGGGCCTAGAATTGAACCTTGAGGGACACCCATGCTAATTGCAGACCCTGATGATCTCGTACCGTTAACATCGACCCTCTGTACTCTACCACGCAAATACGATTTAAGAAGGTCGAGATCACGTCCCGCCACACCATAATGGCTAAATAATTGATTGTGTGCACCATAATGGCGCACACAATGAAAAGCCTTGGAAAGGTCACAGAATTCACCAATAGCATCATGTGAGACTTCCCATGCATCAAATATATGATTAATCAACTCGACACCAGCATCGGTTGTAGATCGACCCCGAGCGAAACCAAATTTTTTAGGAGACATTAAGTTATTACTACAAAAGCTGTGCATACAAATGATTTAGAATATTTTTTTCAAATATTTTACTGAGAGTTGGTAGTATTGATATATTGGGTGTAATTTGTGGTTGTCTATGTGTGTGTCCATGGCACCCGCGACACAGGGTTTCCCTAGTGCGGGGCTATGTTGAGTGTGTGCGTTATTTATTTATTATTATTTATTTATTGATATAGGTCTGAAATTGGTGGAGTCAGAAATACTACCAGATTTGAAAAGTGGAATCACTTTACTTTGCTTCATAAGGTCAGGAAAGACACCATCATCAACACATTTATTAAAGACACAGGCTAAATAAGGCCCAATACAATCAACTATAGAACCAGTGTTGGGCAATAATCAATTAAATTTCAATCAGAAATTCAATCAGATTAAAAAATCAATTCAATTGAAATCAATTGCAATTGATTTTAATTGCAACTGATTTCAATTGAATTGATTTTAATTGCAATTAATTTTTTTTAATTGGGGGGCCGGTTGAGGGGTCAGTTGGGGGCTGGTTGGGGGGCCGATTGGGGTGCCGGTTGGGGGGCCGGTTGGGAGGCCGTTTGGGGGGTCAGGGGTGAGTGACCCACCCACAACCCAACCCATACTCAAACCCACCACCAACCCCCTCACCCACCCGTTAACCCACCCTCATATTCCCTATAAATTTATCATAATTGTCAGTTTTAATTGTTAATTGTTAATCAAAAACATTGAAAAGATTGTAAATTGATTAATTAATTGTTAATTGCGGTTCTCGCTACTAACAATTGATCAATCGTTAATTGCTGTTTCGCAATTGACAATTAATTAATTGCCATCAAGACCATCAAGATCAGCAGTATTTTTTATGTTTATAGATTTAAAGGCTTTAACAATGTCGTTTGGAAATACATGACGGAATCTTAAATTAGTGATGCTAACTGCATTATTTTCTTTTAGTAAGGATTCAGCGGCGGTGGGATATGAATTTAACGACTTAGTAGTCAAAATAGGAATGTCAGTAAAAAAAATTTCAAATATTTTAGCAACTTCTGCGTCCGTAATTACAATTTTGTCATTAAATCTTAGTTGAAAATCTAAGTTACGAGGTTTGACCCTTCCAGTTTCGCTGTTTATAATATTCCAAGTCGTTTTTACCACATTCGCGCTGCTTTTTATTTTATTATTTATAAACATTGCTTTGGCTGCCACACAAACACGTTTAAACATTTTCAAATATTTCCTAATAAAATCATTAAAACTATTACTAGTATTATAAGTCCTTTCATCGTAAAGATCATATAGCCTTTGTCTACTTTTGTGAATTCCCACAGTTGCCCATTCACTAAATTTCAATGAATTATTAACAGTTATGATTTTGGACTTAAAAACATTATCACGTTCACTTTTCACTATGTTGAAAACTGAATTATACAATTTATTGGGATCGTTAACGTACGAAATGTCAGTTAGTTTAAGCATTACGTTATTTCTATAAGCTTTAAGTCGACCATTATTTATCGGAACACATGTGATATCCTTTTTTGGCATTTTGTCCACAGTTATATTAAAAGTGGCCAATTGACCGCAGTGATCAGAAGTTAATTTATTTATAATAGATTTATTACTAGGTACGGCGTTAGTATAAATGTTGTCTAAACAAGTGGCAGTAGTAGAAGTTATTCTAGTAGGCACCAAGAAAAGATTCACAAGATTATAACATTGGAAAAATGATATGAGCCTACTGCTAGCACTGGAATCTTCTAATAAGTTAACATTGAAGTCACCACAAACAGCAATATATTTATTTGGATTATTTAATTGCCTAACACTTCATCTAATCTTTTTTCAAATAGTTCGTAAGATGAATGAGGGGGTCTGTACACGCTTAATATAACAAGCCGTTCAAGCTCTATGCAGGATATCTCTATAGTCCGCTCAGTAGATAGGCTCACAATATCTGTACGTTCTTTAAATTTTAAATTATTTTTAATAAGAATTAAAGAGCCGCCATGTATAGCTTTTTATCTGCTGAACGAACTGGCCACCTGGTGATTGTTGAAGCTAAACATGAACTGATGTTTTGATAGAAAGTGGTGCTCAGTAATACAAAGAATATCAATATTATTACAGTTAATAAATAATTCTATTTCTAACTCTTTGCTTTTCATGCCTTGAATATTTTGGTGCACCAGGTTTAATATACAATTTGTTTTATTTCTGTGTGTTTCAGGTTGGTTTTTTACTGACGTTGTGTAGCAAGAGTATCTCTCCGTTGTCTTATTAATTAATTAAAATAATTAGAAATTGAATTATTTTCAACAGAATGATTATTGTCAGTAAACTGGCCTATGTCAACGGACTGCTCAATAGAAGCAGCCGG